AACATTTTAACACTCAATAGGACTAAAAAAAGTAGCCTTCTGCTCTCCATCACAACCCACCACTGATCAGCGGGCAAAAATGACTGACTTTATTTTTCAAGAGAGAAATGTTTTTTTTAAATTTAAGTTTACGCGATAACTCATTTTGTGAAGTTTTATTTTTATTTTCTACAATTAACGTACCTGTTTTACCTTCTATTTATGAGTTTAACAGTCAAATTATTTTTTTCCCTCAGACCGAGTATTATTTCGAAAGTAAAAACAGTCGCCGCTAAAGTGAGACCGCCCAAGCCGATATAAATCGGCACTACGATATTGAACTGAACGTAAGAATCAATAATCGGCTCTTTTTCTGATTTTTCCATTATCTTCACCGTCATCACGTCGATCTTGAACAAATTGTTTCTTATCCCTGACGATTGCAACAATCTGATTAATTTATTAACTCCCGTCAAATAAGGCGAATCGTTTTGAAATGGGAAGCGCGTCGTTCTCGAGGTTATACAATTTCTCATCATTTTCATTTTTCGCTGGTTTAATTTTTTCATGTGATGTAGAACTCTCATCTTCGCGAAAAGTCGCGACATGAGGCACGACACGTTTTTGTGTGTCAGTAACATGTATATACAATGATTTCTGCTAATCCAATTTTGAACGGGGATTTTTGATGTGATGTTGTATTCGATGCTTCTTTCGTCGGGCGCTAATTCATCGTAATTTGCCTAAAAATCAAAATATAAATGAAATATCTATAAAAACTTGATCGGTATATACTATTCATAATGGTATTGGCTTCACCTGTATTGAAATGTTAAATTTGACGAGGTCACTCAATACGTCTATATCAATTTGCTGCCTGCTACCTAACTTGATATTCTGAATCTCAGAAAAAATGTAGCCCAAATTGTAGATGGAAAATATGATGATACACATCATAAAAATTCGCTCAGACGAGTTGTGCGGATTCTTGTGTACCGATATGCCCAAGAATATTTGCAAGGTGACGAGCCACCTCCAATTGCGTTGATCGAAATTCGGCAAGTAGGCGGTGCCAATTTTGAACATCGCCAGCACCAAGACGCTCAAAAACGGATGCAACAAGTGCCTCAAGACGTCGTATCGCGGCGACTCGAGCACAGGCACAACCAAGCAATGCTTGTCGAAGCCGATCTGGTGACTGTAGTCGAATTCTCCCCGTTCCAAGCCGTCCATCGGATGGGTCCGGTCGTTGGCGATGAACTCGGCTCGTCCTTTGCGCAATTCAGAAAAATAATCCTCGTAAGACGCCTCCGTCCAGACGTCGTTGCTAAAAAATGCAAAATCCACGTCATTACTTTCATCCCTGTCATCTTGGGATGATTACAGGTTTCGTTCTAGAGATAGCCTACTTCATTTCGACAACGCGTGGAACTATGTCGGGCGTGAAGTTGATACCTTGAGCGATAAAGTCCAAGATTTTGGCTGCTGAGCCGTCCGTTGCCAGTACGTGACCCGTAGCATTTCTCTTTACGTAGGCAAACGGAGGATCATCCGAGAGGTCGACTTTCAACGAGTGACCTCTCAAATCGTCCAATTTATTTGGATGCCAGAGCGTGTTTGAATCGCAATTTCTGCTCGAATTAATCACGTCTTCGAACGGATCGTAATTGTGAACGATGACTCTCCAAGTCGATGATTTTCGCACGCTATCAAGAGTTCCGGACTCGATCAACTGTAAAATTGTTACGTCCGCAAAATTTCTCGACCAAGCATAACGTAACAGTTCAAGGTCGATCTTTGAACCGCGAAAGACCAGGAAGAATTTCGGTAAATGTCTCGGCCATTTGCGGTCGAGCAAGCGATCGAAAATAGCTCGCAGCCTGATCGAATCAACGGTAATGAAAATGAAGAGGATACTGGCGTGCTCGGCTTGCACATCGCTGACGTTGGCCAAGTTCACGTGAGCCAAATCGTTGAGCGCGAGGAACAACTGGTCGACGATGTCGCTGCCCGCGACATCCGTATTTTCCACAAAGATAATGGCTTGATAAAAATTCCCTCCCGAGCTCGAGTACTCTTTCAAGCTCGCCAAACAATCCTTCACGCTATGGCTGCTCTTTGCTCCTTCGGCTAACGAAATTACACATTTCAGCAACAAACAAACGATCGGGACGCTGAGTTTCATATTTGCCTTATTAATGGCTGTATTGCTAGACTGATTAGAGTACACTAGGCTGCGCCATGCGTATTGAGAAATATCGATAATACTTTTTTTTCTTTTACAACTTAAAACAAGGTCGTTACACAGTCGAGTGGCTGCAATTAGCAGTACATGTTTTTTTCTCTCTCTCTCTCTATTTTTCCATAGTTGCTTGAGTGAAAGTGTCGATTATAACGTATGTGCAACGCCCGTCTATTCTTTGAATAACGCGAAAAATCATTTTCTATGATACTCTCGAGTGTGATCTTGGCAAAATAATCAAGTATGCTTTGCGCAGCTAGATATTGTCTTTTTTTCAAATGAAATTGGCACGCTGCTTAAGATACTCCATACAAGGAGCAAGCTTCACATCGTATTATCTCGTTTGCGAATATTGAGCTGGACTCATTGGCTAGAACCAATATAGAGCTATTGCGCTCCAAGGATGCTACTTAACTAGTTTCGACACTTCGCCATGAACATCTCGTATGCTTGGATAAGGATAAATCTATCGTTGAAATCGTTCGTAGAACAAATAATGATTTCATTCAACTAATGCTTTGCATGAGCATCTACATAGACTTTTAAGGTCTTGACTAATTACATAATATAAATGAACTTCAAATTATCAACTAACTTAAAGTGGTAAGTATATCTATGAAGAAAATAATGAAGATTGTATAGTAAGCGAAAAACAAATGAATGCTGTTTCAATCTCACTTTATGTTGTAATGCCGGAACTGGCATTATCTGTTGGGCCGCCCTGACGAACCATCGTCGACTTGCCGAGTGTATAGTTAGTTATAAGAATCGTTATTAATAATTGTATTTTGAATATGATTTCATGTGAGCGCCAAGTGTGAAATAATAGAACGTAAACACGCGTATACGTTGAGATACTAGAGCGTACATATGAACGGAGAAAGGAGTCGAAGATTTGCTTTGAGAGCGAACGGAGCTCGAGTGTGAGAGTTGAGCGCGACATCCTGGGGGATGTCTACGTCGGATTGACGAGTACCGCGCGGGCTAGTAAGATCCTACGTCGCCCGAGTAAAGAGTGCGAGGGCCGGTACGAGTCGATCCGAGTGCGCGAGAGAGAACCAGCGAATCCAACGGCCGAGCAGACCACAAGGACAACCAAGGGTGGATCTGGACCAGGAGAAGATCTCGACATCGTGTGGTGAGTCGGGCGGCCCAGTTCTTAGTCGTTGTATATGTGAGCCGTACGCGCCGACGCGCCCACCAGGGCTACGATCGTCGCGTCTGCCGTCGACCGGGTATTCGGGTACTCTCTGAGGCCGTGTATATTGTTTATTTAATACGAATAAACCTGGTAATTGTTATTGGTAATATTGAGTGTTTGATTCTTGATGGATGTGTGAGTGTACAGAGCTTTCCTTTCACGTATTGCATGAATCTTACAGGTAGACCCCGGACGTGCAGAACGGATCCACAGAGCCAAGGGACACACGTAACCGACGAGGTGCGTCGGGGTGAGATAATAGGTTACAATGTACAAAACAATAAATTAAATATACTTTGTAAAATATTTATTATATAATAAATATTTATTATATTTTATTATATAAAAACTATTAGTCGTTGTAATTGAAACAACAAGAAACTATTAACTGACTCGTATTTGATGAGTGACTACAAATAAAATCGGTATTTCTTGAAATAGATTTCCTTTAAAAAAAATACTTCGGGAATGGTACCTTATAAATTATGCAAATTAGATTATAAATAAGATATGTAAATGAGATCCTAAGGCCTATATCTAGTTCCAGATTTTTATCTTGATATGCATCTTTGTGTATATTCGGCTGAGCTTTGAAGCAGCCTGCGATCTCCGCAACCAGTCCATCGAGTAAGAACGCCGTGGTAGTTTTGTGAGGGCGATCCAAGCTTCAACCGAAAATTTTATACGTATATGAACATTAATTATCATAATTATTATAATAAACAATCAATAAAACTTTCGATTTTGAATATAATTTAATTCAATAAAAATGATTTAACGTTTGAAAAAAGGACTAAATTTTTTACACAATTTTGAAACTCTCCTCAATTTGTATTATTTTCATATTATGACTTAACGTTTGAAAAAAAGACACCACATGTGCTTCCACTGACAATTCCTGGTGTCTATGACTAAAAGTCATGACGTGACCTTTCATGTTAGTACCAGCTCATTTATACTGCTATGTATTGTACTGTGTCAATGAATTTTCAATAACCTTCGAATTTTATGATAATATACAGAAGGAATGTTCCGAAGAAGTGCGCGTTTGTTTACATCGTAAAAGTTCGGAGTAGTAACGTAGTTTTGCTTGTAGGACTTGAGACTTCTGCTAAAATAGTTGCTATACACCATTTTTCACAGTCACCACGAAACGTGAACGCCACGAAAGTGCTATAATACCGAAATACTGTATATTGCAACTTGATTAATATAATCGAGTTGGTTTGTCTCTACTACTTTCTTTCTATAATTTTTATAAGTGTTTTAACTTGAGTGAATTTTTTTTAATAAACTGGAAAAAGTGGAAAATAGTTTACGTGCTATTTACAAAATTACGTTAAACTAATTTTGAAGAAGAGGATGTTTTATTGACAGTTTTATTTGACAGTTCAGTTCTATTTGACAGTTTAAACGATGAAATAGTAGTCGAATTCGTGTGAATATGTCCAGCTAGTAAATAATGTTTTTACGCCATTTACTAGTGAACTTATAACTCGGTCTAACAAAATAGTAAAAAATAATCTCGAGACTGAAATAATTATTAAAAAAAAAAAAAACCTATCGTTGGAGAGGACTATGGGTAAGAAAATGGATGCAAGATTTTACATCAAAAATGATTCAAATACAAATAAACCTCAGGGTGACATGCTTGAAACTTATAATAATTATTTTCAGAATATGAATAATGAAATGAAAATGGTCAAAGAATTAATACTTGTAATAAAGAAAGGATATAATTATGATAGTAATAAAGTGTTCGACAAACACCGTTATTCCCACATTGATAAAATCCAAGATAGTGACACGAATAAAATTGAAAATAAGCACAAGTGCACAATATGCGAAAAAACGTTCCGAAGAAGTTGGTCCGTCAAAGTTCACGTCGATGGAGTGCATAAAAAACTTAGGCTTCACGTGTGCCGCATATGTCAATTCGCTTTTGGACGTAAAGAACATCTCCAAAGACACGTCAAAAATGTACATGATAAAATGCGATCGGATAAAATGCAAAATCTGATCGAATGCGAAATATGTTTAAAAAACTTTAAACTAATTGAAAATTTTGAAAAGCACATGATTACAATTCATAACGGCCCGATGAAACACAACTGTAAGGTATGTTTCAAGACATTTATTCACAAACGACAACTTAATTATCACATTAGTACAGAACATGAATATAACTTGAGTCGACAAAAGGGTGAAATAGGTCAATAGGCATTCAGTTAACGAGCAGACGTTATAGACAACATTAAGAAGACAACGTTGTAGAATCGGACAAATGCAAGAAAATTCAAGTGTAAATTTTGTCGTAGTTACAGTCTTGAAATGCACAACAACATCGTACATTACCAACGCAAACTTTTTAATAATTCGAGTTTTCTGAAAAATCGAATGGACGCAAATATCATCTTCAGAGGCACCTACCAAATATTCATATAAACTGAAAAAATTTCAGACTATGTAAAAAATCATTTCATGGACAACACATTGCAAAATTAATCTTAAATTTAGATTATGTCATAACGCATTAACTTGCCGAAGCTATCTCAAAAAAATATTGCTTATATACACGATCGATTTGCCATATAAGTGTAACAAATGCTAATGTAAGTTTCGATTGTTTGAACTTTTAAAAAAAATTTACGTCTGTACATTTCATTCTGGCAAATACATATTATTAATCTAAATTATATTGTAATTAACAACTTTGTAGTCAAAGTTCATTTTAAATAAATCTTGTTCATCGAATAATAACTTTTTGCAAATTATTCATTTATGTTTTAAACTATCAAAAATATTTCTTTTATATCTTTAATTTACTAACTTCGCAGCACTGAAACAAATAATAACAAACTGTTGATCAAATACACATGGAGGAATTGAGAATAAAAGTTATTAAATCATTCAATGAAAATCGGGTATAATAAATATGAATTTAGATATCAAAATTGATCGTTATGGATTTCTCACGATTCCGAATCGAAGAAAACAATTTACCGCGTGTTATACTGACGAAGTCAATTTCACGCCGAATTGTTCGTTTTTTACTAGCTTTTGCAAGGACAATTCCGATGGGCTAACGCAATCACTAATTCTACAAGGCGGAAAAGTTGAAGAGAAATTAGGGTTAGACACAATCAATCGCATTTATTTTTAAAAATCTATGTTTGAAAATTAGTAACATAAGAGTGAAAACGTTTCGTAATAGGCGGCGCTTGAAGGACTGGGACTTTCCTCGCTTAATACTTTTTCTAGCAAAAAATAAAAATGTCACTAATTTGTGTTTAGCCAATAATGAAATCACGAGTACCGGTCTCATGAACTTGATTGACCACTTGACATTGATCGATAGTAATCACATAATTGAACTAGACCTTCGTAATAACGAAATCAGTAACTTGCCACCATTCAATTACCTGGTTCACAAAGCAAGCCGATTGTTGAATTTACAAATCTTCAGATTAAGTGGAAATAATGTCGGGATCGATGTAAGTAAAATTCCTAAAAAATCTATTCACTTGCTCAATTAAAATTTTTTATACTCAGAATTCTAAGAGGATAGCTCAAATGTTAAGCCAAAACAGATCGATTCAGCGACTTGATTTGGCCCAGATTGGACAAGATGAATCGAGCTTGGTTGCATTTTTTCTCATGCTCAGCAACAATCGAAAGAATCCCAATACCACAATAAAAATATTGGATCTGAGTCGACCGGTACCACGAAGTAGTATCTGGGTGCTTGATACTTCATTCATTTCCGTTGAGTTAGGTCTTATGCTTCGAGTAATTTTCTTTTATATTAATTTAAATTTTTTCGGTCCAAATTTACCTACTGATTATTTTTTCAAAGTATAATCAAACTTTAGAAGAACTTCGTTTACAAAAGTTTAATTTTTATTGTCACGATATCGACGAGATGCTTGAGAATGCATCGTACAACAAGACCCTGAAATTACTCGATTTAAACTGCAATAATATCGGCGATTTTGGGTTAGAAGTACTATCTAAATGGTTGAAAAAAGGATCAGCTCTCGAATCTCTCTCACTCTCGTGCAACATTATCACCGATCATGGCTTAAGGTATTGAAAAATAATTCATATAGTCGTTACTAAAATTACAATGTGGGGATATTCAATTTTAGAGCACTGCATCACAATATTCCTTATTCGAAGTTACGCGAGTTAGACTTGTCTTACAACTGTATTGGTGATGAAACTGCTGTTGAATTAGTCAAATATTTAAGTCTTTCGTCAATCTTAAGAAAAGTACGCATCGCTGGAAACAAATTAGGACCTCAATTCAACAAGGTTAAATTTGGCTTTTACTCTCTTAAAAAAAATTAAATCCTTGATTGTATCCCTTCGATTTCAGGTTCTACAATATATGTATTCAGAAAAACTACTTACTACCGATAATATCGATGTCATTCCTCGTGATTTTGACGATGATTTCTAACAAAATAGGGCGATGTAAATGATTTCATGATGCATCTAACTATTACATGCAAGTTATAACAATGCGGTGTAACTAAAAATTTTCAGTTATGTACAATATGAATATGCAAGTTCTCGTTAAAAAATATACGCATCTAAATTCATGATCAAGTAAGACCTTTATTCATTGTATTATAAAAGCATTCCTAAGATGAATAATTTTTTTATCCTGACAAGCCGGTGAGTGTTGCGTGTGCTTTAAGCCATTAGGTAATTAAAACTACTGTCAATTAACAATAATTGCGACTTTAAAAAATTCTAAAAACAACTAAACTTAAAAAAGTTCTAAATTTCTCAACGCTTAACTTGAATCTAACTTAACTGCAGTCTTGACCATTTCACAATTACATATTAAATCAAAGGCACTGTCGTAGTCTTTTAATTCTTTTCTTAATTTTTTCATCAAGTCGATGTGAGTTTTATGAATTTTGGTTGTTTTCTTTCTGTATCTGACTCCATTTATCATCTTATCTAGAGTGTAATCAAGCCACAAAATATTTGTATACGGATTAAACTGTTGCCAATCATTTCTAAAAAAAATAAAGTAGTTAGATATTTGTTAATGATAAAAATAGGCAGTAATTATTTTAAACTCACTGAACGCAATCTTTCATTAATCGATAAATTTCAAATTGATATTCTCCTTGAGCCGTGAATAAAGAAGGATCGCTGGCTAAGTCATTGAAAATCTTACAACCTTTGTACGACATTCGTGATAGTGTAAAATCAATTACTGAGACCTGATGAAATAAAATTAATATTCTTAGTAAAAATTATTGTAACTTACTTAATATTAAAATTTTTGAATATACCAACCTTTACACCTTTTGAATTCAAAGTCATGTCAACATTATCAAGTTTAAACGATGCAGTGGTATCTTCAGACTTTGACACCATTATATTACCCCAATGTAAATCTCTGTGTTCAAATTCAAGGGATTTTTCCGCAACGGCCAAACTTAATGCTGTCTGTAATCAAAAAATTGGGTATTAAAATTTTATCTAAAACTACATTAAAATACAAAACTTTGTTACAAACTTGAAGAAAGATGGAATAAGATTCTGCGGCATTTGCGAAAATGTATGCTTCAAGATCCTGACCACCGTGTTCTAATTCTAAGATTATATACAATTGATTTTCTTTAAACATTGTAGGGCAATCATTTTCTGAATTTTTTTGTTCATCGTAAGCATTCCAGAGTTCGACTAATTTGTTGGGATACTTCCCAACAACGCACATAATTTTGTTTACTCCGACAAAACCATTTGTTTGATTATCTGAGGTATTCCTCAGTTTATGCAATTCTCTAAAAAAAATGTACGTAATGTTTCGGTAAAAATTGTTCATTTCCTTCAATTGCATTTTTAACTACAACTCACTCAGAAATAATTATTTCAGACAGAATTTCATGAAACTTTTTCTGTGGCTCACAATTAACTAATTCATCTCCTTCTATCGGTATTATTTTAATTACCGATTTTTCGGCGCCATTATCATGCATGAATACTTCACCGTAAACTCCTTCACCAATTTTCCGGCATTGTTCTATATATCTAAAAAAAAAATTTATTGGTTAAAAAACAATCTTTTTGACTCGTGGAAATTAATTATTGAGTGTTTATTCACGTGTCAGGAAAGCGATCGCTGAAAGGTACGTAGTCAACTTGTTTGCATCGTTTAAGAATAATTTCTTTGGCTGATTTTATTAAATCTTCTTCAGATTCTATGATAGTGCTTCTTTTTATTTCTGATAATTTTCATCAAATGATTGTTAGTTAAATGTAATATATGTATATATATATATAAATAAATTTAATAAAAATACTATTAAAACTCACTTAAAGATGTTTTTCTAGTATTTCGCCTTCCATCTGTCACGTAATTGTTAGTCGATGTACTGGCTAAATCATCGCTCAACGTCGATCGTGTCTGGTCAGGAATAAATCGCATAGTTAAACGTCGAAAACTTGGTCTAACATGAGGAACAATCAATGAAGATCCAAGCGATGAAATAATTTCTGATCTTGTTGATGTATTAATACTGACATCTTTATTTTCTTGATAAGTTTGATTGCGAGCTAGAAGTAAAAATCAATAAATAACGATAATAAAAAAAGGTTATTTATAATTACCTTCTTGTTGCATATCCAAAATTTCCTTAACACTGTGTGTCCAGTTTTTGCCTCGTCCAACTGCTAATTCATCCAAATTTTGACTATTGCTAAAGTTATTTATTATGGACAAAGACCTTGCCCATGATTTACCTGGTTTTAAAAAAATAGGACAATTTGTTTCATCACTTGTAACATTGTCAATAATTCTTTCAAGATCTGAATCTTTCTTTTTTGCAACCTCTTTTTCAGAAAAACCTTGTTCTTCTAAACAAATAACATTATCTACACTCTTGTGTTCATTGCAAAAATTATCGTTAGCTTCTTCATGAATTTTTTTTGAAAATGCTGCCAAAGGCATATAGCCTCTCTTGGGAACATTTGTTTTTAATTCGGATTTATTTACATTATGCCTTGTTAGTAATATTCGTAAATCTCTACAATTGAAGCTTTTACTCATATCACTCTCTGAAGTTTGCTCGATGACAGTACTTAAATTTTTCATTTTTACATTTTTTTTTATATTCGATTTTAATTTTTTACCAGCAAGATATTTATTTTTTTGTTTGCTAATTGTTTTTGCTTTTTTTAAAGCGTGTAGTTTTTTAACATGTTGATGACTGCCATTTTCTTCAACTTTTTTACTGTTATTTTTAGCATTTGGAAAAACTTTATTGCTGCGTAATGAACTATGATTCATAAAATTTAAAAATTTTGGAGGATTACTTTGAATTTGATTAGAAATATTTTGCCTACTAGTTCTTGATACAGAGCCACAAATATCTTTTTCTTCTAATTTTTTCAGTTTTATCAACAATTGTGGTCCATTATTTATTCTCTCGATCAAATCTTTATTTCTGTTTTTAGTATTAGAAATTTCTGAATTATTGATCATAACTTTGATACTATCATCTTTGAGTGTGACTTCTTGGATTACATCATCATTATGTTTTGGTAACGTTCTTCTTGATTTTACAAGAACAGATGAATTTTGACTGCGTTTAGAAAGTTGATTTTTTGAATCATTTACTTTCAAATTTTTAAGTAAATCATTTTTCTCAGTTAAAGTTTGCTCAATACTTTCAGTTTGTTTACTAATTGAAGACCCCTTTTTGGAAACAGTTAGTAATAATGAATCTTCTATATCTTTAGAAGTATTAGAATCCGATGAAGTTTCAACATTTAGAGAAACAATTGCTTTTATACTTGACTTTTTAGCAATTTTAATTATACTTGGTTCCATTGGATTTTTTATTTCAGAAGTTACATCAAAAGAGTTTTCCTTTTCTTTTTGATTAGCAAATTCTTGTATGGCATTAATTTCTTCATTTGATTCTTCTTCACTATTCATGCTTCTCATACGTTTTAAAGTTCTGCCTGATTTTCCAGGTGAAATTCTATCAATGATAGAATGAATATCACTTCCCATAGTTTCCTGACCATTAATAATTGGAATAGATTGTAAAATACTTTTATTTTGAAGATTAGATAAATTTTGCAGACTACCCTCATCTGTGTTAACATCAGTGTCATCTTCATCAACATTGCTATGCATATTTTCAACATCAAGACTATTCTCACTGATATGCATTTGATTATTTTCATACAAGTTTACTTTCACAGGGATTTTTGATTCAATTGTTGAATGTAATTCACCGTGATTCAAACTTTGTTGATTTTCGCTAGAGTTAGGATGAACTAGACTATCACCAATATCATGAATTTCATCACGTATTGTTTTTCCACCTTTATTATCAGTATTTTGTGAAAGTTTATCATTACTTTTGTCATCAGGGTTTTTAACATTGTGAGAAAGACCAACAATGGTATTTTCTTGAGCACTATAATCATTGATAAAAAAGCTTTTGCTTGTTTTCTCATTATTTATTAAGTTAACATCTGAGGAAAGAATGTTTTTAACTCTGTCAGATTCCAAGTCATTTCTAGTACTAGAAAATTTAGAAATTGATGAATTAGTAAAAGTTGAATTTTTATAGTTTTTTGTCATAATAGAATCACTAGAAAATATTTCTTCAGAATTTTGATTGTTAGTTCTGTGAGAAGATACTTGTTCTGTATTTGAGTTTTCAGGAAATTCATAAGAAAAATCGTTATCATTAGTCCAGTCATGTGGATGAAATAAAGATGTGTCATCGGAATTTAATTTTGAATTTTTTTTACTCAATGCTTTTTCTTGAATATATGAATTTTCTGGTTCTTTTGAATCTGTAAATAATTTAATTTCTCTATTTGACTTTATTTTTGCTGATTTTTCATTCTCTATAGTATTATCAAGTAGTATAGATGATTCATTTCCATTTTGTAATTGTTGAATTCTTTCTGAAGGTAAATCTGAATTATTCTGATTGACTTCAGTTTCAGTTATAATATTTGGTTCTTTATGAGAATTTAATAATTCAGACATACTTGAATTATGATTGCTCTCACTATTTACATGTTCTCTTTTTTCATTATCCTCATTCAAATATTCAAATTCAGTACTTTTGGTTCCAGTTTTTAATGTGTCTATATTATCATTACTAGCTTTTTCATTATTTTTTATATTTGCTGATAAAGACATATTACTGGCCTTAATCATTGCATTATTTTCATTCAAAGCTATGGGCGATAAATTTTGTACATCTACAATCATTTTAATTCTATTATCTCTGGGTGTACTGGTAGGAAGAGAGTTTGATTTTATCAACTGTTGTGATAAATGGGATATATTCTTGGGTTTATTGAGATCTCTAGTTGCTAGGATAGTAGATGAAACATATTCTTGTTCAACAGGACTAGCATCAGCATTGCATCTTTCTAAAACTATAGAACATTTTTTTATAGGCGATACTTTCTTTTTTTTAAAAACTCTTTTCATTATCTGAGCATCACTTTCATCATCATTATTTTCAGTTGTGACTTTACGTTTTTTTCTCTTAATGCCAGTTTTTTTAATAGATGTTTTATTATTTTCTTTATTGACCTTAGTACTTCGCATCTTATTTTCCTTTAGAATTCGTACTGGTTTTTTAAAATCTATACTACTTTCATTAGCATTTGAAAGATTACTGTCCTCTCCACTGTTGCTAGGTACCGAAGGCTGGGGACTGTAAAATATATAAAAAATAACAAAATATTCATAACCAAGTCAAATTAAAAATAAGCATCAACCAACTTAACATCTCTGGCCATCTTATCGAAAGTGTCGTTTAGATCGTCTACGACGAGGGTTTTATCATTGAGACGTGATTCTCGAACGTTAACCGCATTTTCTGAGTGATTTGGAACCAATTTGCAAATTGGCTCGTACAAAACTTTTGGTCTTACTCTGCTGTAAGTTTTTACAATCGGCCAACTCATGATTGCGGTAATATTGCACTGGTAACACTGTGTATTAGATACCGCAAAATCAGTTATAAAAAATAACGAACGATGCACACAAATATTCGATTTTTGAACCCAGCAAACGCGTCTTTAGGTGCGCGAATCGCGATCACAAAGCGAGCGTATATAATAGTAAACAAGATGCACTGGCATTTGTTTTGAAAACAAGCTGACTTGGAGCGTCGATAGGCGGTTGAAAATTCAACGGACAAAACAGCGCGAATTTGTACTTTGACCGTGAGCGCCATCTAGAAGTTAACTCATGAATCATTATCATTATGACGCTCGTGCTTCGTGTGTGCAGTTCGAAGTCGAGATTCGAATCAAGACTTTCATTTACTACCAATACAAAGATTCAAAATTTTTTTGGGGATGATAAATCAATAATTACAATTGGTTGAAATAAAGTATCAACTATCGGATTCTTTGTACTTAAAGCGATGGGATAATTACCATAACAACTTTTTTGAAATAAATAAATATAAGGGAGAAAGAAACTAAAGATTATTATGAATAACAATCCCAAGTTTTCGTAAAAAAAATTCATTAGTTTATTTGTCTCGTCTAGTCGACATAATATTTATCCACATGAAAACGTGTATACAATAGACTTGCAATATGTGCATAGAGGGCAAATCGATAAGTCACTGTAATGATGCAATGCATCGTGCACAACGGCGCTTAATCTCGAGATTTGCAAATTTTTATTTATACGCAAGAGCATGGATCGAGCATTACTGCACCAAACGCTTTCATTTGCCTCTTAATCGCGTTTCATGATTTAATTTTAACAGAAATGTCATTAATTACAATTTCGGTTTCTCACGCGTGTCATTTTAGTACACAGTTAAGAGCACGGCGTTTGACTTTAAACAAAATGTTAAATGGTAGTAAAACTTTTAAGTAGATTTTGGTAATTTCATCTTTTGTTTCGATTGTCATTGAGAAAGTGGTTGGGCAGAGTAAATTTCCTCATTTCACCACTATTTTAACCATGATTGTGTATTTAGATCTGCCAAACAACAACTATGAAACACTCCAAAACGAAAACATGTAAAATGATTTGTTTTCTGCGCTCGATTCGGAAGGAAGTTGTTTGCGTGAAGTATAAATCAAATCAATGAAACAATTGGTGGATTGTCCACGCTGTGACAAGTTTCCTGACAAATTTTTGATACTTTATACATCAAGTTCACAGCTAGCACGCTGAACGCCCATCCTTCCTTATACCAGAATCAAGTCTCTAGCGTATCATAAAATAACTGTTCCCTCAAGATGTTCTTTCAAGTAAAATTGATCGGGTAAAGCTTTAAACTTACAAATGGTCCAGAAGCTCATGGGCAAAGGATCTGACTTAAAGCTCGTCGATTTAATCCTTGGATAGAGAAGTAACTTTTTATTCAAAGTAGATCTCTATATTTAAAACAAAAAAGTGAATGTAATAAAAATAGTATACTTTTGATGATTTCATTTTTTCGCGAGAAAATTTAAAACTCTTTAGAAAAAACTATAAAATGACTCTGCCGAGACTCGTATAAGGCAATAATATATCAATTGAAATACCACAGAATTATTGTCAATACGTAAGAAAAAATTAAATATTTTTAAATTGAAAAAGTGATTATCGATCCTATATTTACCATCATAAATATTTAAAAAAATGTCGATAACAAGAGCGTATGCACCTTGGATACTTTTCAACGGTAGTCTGTAAATATAAATGCGGATTTGTTTTGAAATGTCGGCATTTTTTCTACTCTCCTTTTGTACTTACGTAAGGTGCGTAACGCTGCATTCTGGTAGACGAGTTTAGATAATTTCATCGCGATATCGCAGTGGAACTCGGAGCTAGTGTAAAATCGGGTTTTTTTTCCAAAACTCAGCGAGTAAACTGCAAGGACACCCACGAGATATTAGACGACACGACAGTTGTCTTAGCTGCGAGACTCCGGGCTATCGATCATCTCAATGAAATTGCATCAAATCAACAAGTTTTAGCCCTCATTTATGATCATGAGGATTTTTGCCTGAAAAAATTGAAATTCGATAAGTGCGACATGGAAATTATGCGCAAGGTTCAAGCAAAAGTTTAATCAGCAATGAGAATATTTCCGCGGTACGCGTAAATTCCTCGGGCAGCGTGTGTTATCGTGAAAACCTTGCGCGTGTGGTATTTTTCAATGAGCCGCCCGCATGCAATATACGCATTATTATATTATTATGTTGGTAAACTCGCGTCGAAGCTGCTCCGCAGATATTTCGAAAAGATAAACGACCGATTAAATTTTTGTGTGTGATGTGTAATACATGGGCAGAGCAAAGGAAGCGTGTGTATACGATGTAGTTTGATTTTTCGCGATAAACGGCGCGGCGCAGTCCACATCTTACATATACGCATACAAGTACATTGCGCATGTATGCGCGAGCGTCGACTTGTACTCTCTCGAACGCGTATCTTCAATCATGTACTGCACTAAAAAATTTGAGATAAATCACGAAATGCATCCGTCATTGTTGGTGCACAGCTTTTTTTTCTCTTATTCCGAACTCTTGTTTGACCGATACAGCCCAAAGCAATACATCGGATGAGGTAAAAATGTCGAAGAGATAGAAAAACGTCATCGTTTGGACGTACGTACGGTAATCGAAAGAATTTGCGTAGAGCGTAGCGTCTTCTAAGTGCGTCAATAAAAGCACGATACATTTCAATAAACCTCTACAGCAACATAGTCGCAGTATATAACATGTCAATTTGCAGAAAAGCGTCTCGAAAAATCGGTGATCGGTTTACGCGCGTAACGCGGGAATATGCGACGCAGCCACCACCGTAGCCCATTGTATTAGTCAATCGTCTTCGGGAAAAATTAACTCTCCAGAGAAAATCTTGCGTATCTCCGAAAAAAGATGACTAGCTGCACAGTGCACCTATACGCCTGTATGTATTAATGATTCCCACGAAAGATGCAATCGTATACGTACCCCACTCAGACGCGGGTCATCATCGCGAGACACATGTGTGCTTATACGTACATATCGCGCACCAATCCGTGTGCATGTGTTCCTGCATGTGTATGAGTGTGGCTGCAGTCGCGCGTGAAGTTTAAAAGCTGCACTCCGTCTCGCAGCTATTTTATTCAATTTTCAGTTTTCTTACTTGCGTTACCTCTTGATACGTACATTTAGCGCGTACATCAAACGAAAGCTAAAGGTTTGCAATCGAAGCCGACTCGCTTCCGATCGAGCCTATTTAGCATAATACAGTAAAAAATAGTTTTCGTTGCCACGCTCATAAAAATAGCAGTCAGGATGAAATTATTTGGACTGTTTTCTTGTCTTCGTCGAGAAGAAGTGGAAAAGCCAAAAATGGTACCGAACGCGCGTGGACTTGGCAATAGTGATGAAAAGTCCAAAGCTCCGGTTACCATAAGTTCTTTGTATGCTGAACATTTCGAGGGAAAGACTTCTATTGTCAAAGAATTAGAGGCTCTGGGCATCGATAAAACCAAGTGTCAAGAGGGTCGGCCTTTCAGGAAGCGAGATTTATGGCTCCAGGCTTTGGCTGCCATCAGTGGTACGTTAAATGACCTTCTTTTTCAATCATAATTGTTCCAAAACTAGTGAAATATGCGCGTGAAACAATTCTGCACGAGACTTGCTAAACATTATCAGTCTCAGGTGAAACGTGAGTCAATGGGATCATTATCGCTTGCAATATCGAATTGTTTATTCATAAACGTGACTTTTAATCGCGCCTGCACGAATAATAATATACTTTAGGAAGCTGTTGATTGATTTCTTCAGTACTTGATATTAGGATAAAGAACGAGTCAATGCAATTTTCATTCAAACTTGCATAAGCTATTCAAATCAGGCTGCCAGCGGGTTTGTTTTTAAAATTAAAATTTAAGATAATCAAGATCGGTTTACTCTATTATCTCTACCCTTGAAAAAATTTTCTGTAGCTCCTGTCGGAATACTGTAGGACTCTTGTAGGGGTTTCGCAATTTTTTAAGGGCTTTTATGACTTTCTGCAAGGAATGCAAATGCTGCATGAAGCAATAAATAAGCAACAATTATCCTGCTGACAAAAAACTTTACCAAATAGGTAAACGAGCATTAATCGGTCTCTAAATAGATCGGTAAGAATCATATCTTTCATACGATTTTTTGTCACTTTCGGCATTAAAATTAAAATCTTGTGCATTCGAATACAGTAAGCTAGTTAAGAAACCAATGTACAACCGAATTGAAACTAGAAATTTTTCCAACCAATATTAAGACCTGCAATCACAGATGCGATAAAGCGAAGACAGGCAAATTAAATCGGTGCACATGAACGTTCGAAATTGAAACAACTCGATGCACGTTAAAAGTCGGTGATGTTCTTACGTGAATTTTTGATTGTCCAAATTACCATTCTCATTACGACGTTATTACCTAGATGCAAAATAATCAAATAGCTTTTTCCGTTATTTTAATTTCTGGGCATGGGAGTGGGAGAAACCCCGAGAAAACGCGATTAATATCTTCAAATGCTTATACGTGGTTTTTACGCATGTTTAATTGTTTATTTTCCAATTTCTTGATTTTCATTCGATCGATTGTTTTTCAGTCGTTGTTAATAGATATTCGCGTTATTCCATTTTCAACGTAAACAGCATCTTATAACCGATCTTTCAATAATTATCGGTCATACTTTTATACAGAGGAATGCATTAGATAAATAACTGGACTAATTGTAAGCATAATTTTTTTTATATCGCTCAAAATCATAACGGGTGTCATAACGATGTGTAAATTTCATAATCGGAGGAAAATTGAAAATTTATCTATAAAATTATCTCATCTGCTTTGTCGTTTTTTTCAACTATTCTTAACACCTAGCACAAAAGTACGGGTCGAAAAAAGTATTGTCACATTACATAATTGGCGCTTTGCTATTTGATCTTGACTCGTAGTACAAATGCTCGCGAGCGTTTGCGATACTGACCGGTTGCGCTTACAAACATTTTTATTACAGCATAGCACGCTGCAGGTATGTCAATCACGCCGCTAATTATGCTCGACTGCTCGTATAGGTACATACACACATACGCACACACACACACGTGTTTCGGAAACTTTTCTTCTTTGTATTTCCGAAAGAATTTTAATTGTTAGCAAAAAATGCTGAAAGTTTACGACTCCTATTGTTCACGCTCGTATTATTATGTCACATATAACACCGAGAATTGCCAATAAGTCGCGGGTGATTTTCTCCCGGGGGATTGATAACTTACGTGCAAATACGCAAACTTCGAGAGATGATTCAATTGTGATGCAATGTCTCAATTGACCGCTTCTCGCTCCTTACGCAGTCTCAACGAAACGTAGCTCGAAATAGCCCCAATTATATGTAACTTGCTGAATGAATTTACAAATTACTGAAAAAAAAAAAAAAACTTTTGAGCGACGAACGCGACTCTGGCCGGCTCATATACGTAAATGTTGCTCTGTGCACATATCGTCGGCGTGCGTATATAATCGCTGTACGAATTATCCGTGGTTATGTAAATAATTACTAGTCTCGGCGGCGCGCATAAACTGACGGACGCGCGGAGATTTTTTGACGGTACTCGACGATAAGAGCGACTTTTCGACTCGGCGTACGATACTTTAATAGCGCGTCACTTTTCATTTTTAATAATCGCCATCGACACAGCTGGGTAATTATCGAATACGATGTATTTGGTGCTTGGTCGATCGATCGATCGAACGATCTCGTAGCCTGTCGAGGAAAAAACCAAATTGAATTCTAATGGCTCGATCCTTTTTGTTGTCTGTCCTGCTCGCAGCGAGCGTAGCTCTGATCGCGTGCGGCGGTCACGTGGGATGGACCTCGCCGGCGCTGCCCTACCTCGAGCGCGAGTACGGCGTTAGCAAGGTGCAGTCGTCCTGGATCGCCTCGCTCTACACGCTGGGCGGCATACTGGGCTCGCTGCTGAGTCCTCTGCTGCTGGAGCGCCTCGGCCGGAAAGGCTCGCTGCTGATGTTCGCCGGGCCCCAGATCGTCGGCTGGAGCATCGTCATACCGGCCCGATCGGTCGAGCTTCTGCTGCTGGCCCGCTTCGTGGCCGGGGTCGGGCACGGCGGCATATTCAACGTGGCGACCATCTACATGGGCGAGATCGCGGACCGTCGGGTGCGCGGCGCCTTCGGCACTCTGCTCAAGCTCAGCGTCAATCTGGGCGGCCTGTTCGCCACGACCGCCGGAGCTTTTCTGCCCTACCAGCAGCTGAACCTCGTGGAGCTCGGGCCGCCGCTGCTCTTCGTGGCGAGCTTCGTCTTCATGCCCGAGTCGCCGTACTTTTATCTGAGCCGAGGCCAGACCGAGCGGGCCACGGCCTGCGTGCTGAGGCTTCGCCGGCGCAAGTCCCTCGACGAGCCCCTTCGTCGAGAGCTCGACTCGATGCAGCGGGACGCGCTCGAGAATCGCGACTCCGAACACCAAGGGGGTCTCGTTCGGCTGCTGTGCGAGAATCGCCGAGCCGTCTGGATCGTGCTGGCGCTCAAGTTCACTCAGCACATGTCCGGCCACCAGGCGATCGTCAGCTACACCCAGGAGATCTTCGGCTACAGCTACGACTCGAGCGAGGGAGGCTCCCTGGGACCCGAGCACTGGGCCATAGTCCTGGGACTGGCTCAGCTGGCTGCCGGTCTACTGGCTGCCCTGCTGGTCGATCGCCTGGGACGCCGACCGCTCATCCTCGTCTCGGGCTTGGCTGCGGCCTTCTGCCTGGCTCTCGTCGGCTACTTCTTCTTCGTTAAGGAGGAGCTCGGACGCGACGCCTCCCATCTGGTCTGGCTGCCGGCCACCGGCATCATAGGCTACGAGATCTTCGTGTCCTTCGGCATCGGCACCATACCCTACGTCCTGCTCGGCGAGATCTTTCCGGCCAATTTGAAGGGCACAGCCGTGGCCATGGCCATCGTCGTTGGCTCGCTCTTCGGATTCCTCGTCAGTTTCGGTTACCAGCACGTCGTCTTGCTGCTCGGAGTTTATCCGACCTTTTGGATCTTCGCGGCCTGCTGCGCTGCCGGGACCATCTGCATTTATGTCATTACGCCCGAGACCAAAGGAAAGTCGCTCGAGGAAATTCAGATCATCATCAACCCGAAGAGATCTCAAGTCTACGTTCGTCCACCTTCTATGACCAAAGTCTGACGTGTCCAAGCTCCGCGATCCTGCTGTATTATGTATAGTATTTGCAATTGTTCATATGTTGTATATAGCCATGTACTTCGTTAAGAATCTCGCATGTTTGTATTTATATAGCATTGTATATTTTTGTACATATTTTTAATAAATTACAAAATAATTAAACCTCTTCCGAATTGGGTTAATTTTAACTTTTCAACAAATATTCCACATTCGTAAGAAACTATACTAACTATCATTATTAAATAGATCGTAAAATATATAATCTTATACTGGAACTAACAATAAGTCAGTGTGCATATAAAAATATGTTTATTGGCAATTCTAAAGTTTAGCTAAAAACTGGAAAAACCAGTTTTGCACGCGCAAAAACGTTACTTTTATCAGTCTATAGTATCACAGTTGTGTATCGGGTACCCCTCTTCAAGATTGCCGATTCCTTTCATCCTGAAAATAAAAGAAAAAAGTGGTCAACGAAAGCTTGATGGATTAGTGGATTAGTTGCATGGATCATGACATAAAGGTCTCGTCAGTATATTTTTATGATCATAAAAATCTGGAATACAATACAAAAAATGAGAAAAAGAAAAACAAGTCGTTTTGGTATTTTTGCTTTTTTATACAGTTTGTATTTAATTTCTGTATCTGTAGTTAACTTCAAATATCATCAAAACCATGACAGCCAAGTCACAGTTACAGTCATTTTCATAAGCTAAAATTCCCTTTCACCAGGGCTTTTATCTATAATTATACATATAGGACATCTCATGTTTATTTTATTTTATAGACGTACGGATAAAATTGTTTCTCTATTTTTTTCGTTTAAAAGATATAAATTATTTATGTATGAAAAAGTATATCATTTAGTATAGCGCTCGCGCTTTACATATTTTTTGTTTGTTTGTACCTTTTGTTATCCTTATTTTCTGTTTCTTAATTGTTATTTGTTTACCATTCAGCTTTGCAATAAGACAATTAATATATAATGGTACTAACGTGTTTGTTCATTTCAACCGAGTTCAAAGGTTTTAAGAATATATATATATATAACGAATATACGAACACACACATTTATTTAACAGTTAATTTTATGCTTTAGATGTCATGTAAGCTTGGACAATGAGCTTGTTAAGAAAATAATGCGCTATCTCTTTTTATATTGTATGTTATGTGCTTTGCTTTTTTACTTCACCATAGTTTTTTATTCAATCTTTAAATGATACTAGGAAACCAAGTGGTTTTCTCTTAATTCAATTTGAAGAATTTATATCTTACTCGCTTGCACATTATTCTGCACGGGCACAATTTTTATTGTATCGAATCCGACGCGTAAATATACAATCACCATATTTATTACATAAAACCTAAAAGATAACTATAATATCTCTCGTTTTTTCACTGGACTTTCAACTTATTTTAGTTGCATTGAAATAAAAACATGATATTTATAAAGTGTGAAAAATATATCTTTTGGACGATAAAAATGCATTTCATCATTTATAAATGCAGCACTTCACGTTAATTATCTTAGGCTCATTATTGGAAAAAAAGTTAATGTCTCAGAAAATATTATTCATAAAAAATATTATTACCATGATTTTTAGGTCAGTTAAGTATCGACTCTTTGAGTAAAGCACTTTAGAGAGTTGACGTGAAATGTTACATATCGCAGATCAACGATCGTTACTACGTCTTAGTTAAAATATTCTCGATATACGCGCGAATTTACCAATATTTTAAAGTACAATAATAAATTATATATATACTAGACCAATGAGTCAAGTATATTAAATAAAAATATCTATATATGCAAAATACTCGACTTCTGTATGAAAATAATAAAGTACTTGTGGCATTTATTTTTAATAAAAACTTGAATAAAACTAAATATATAATCTGACTATATTATTCAACACATATTAAGTGCAATTAGTGTATATAAATTTATCTATACGATTGGTTATTGATATATGAATATATGCAAATCTATAATCTTGCTTTTTAATAAAAATTCACACAGTAAAATACAAATATATTTATAGCTATATGTACATACGTTTTGTATTTTATAAAAATTATCAAAATACTTTCGATAATCTCCTGCGTCCAATTAATTAAAATATTACTATCTGTTTTTTTTTTCATTCTTGTATACATAAAATTTCTTTTTTTCTGCAATTTTTTGTTACCTCTTTATTACGTTACTAACCTTTCGCGCCCGAAAAGTATATGTTCACACAGGCACTATTATTTAATAGTTATGACCGTGATATCCGGCAATATTTTGAGTGTAGTAAATATCAGTATTATTGGTGATGATAGAAAATATATGAATAATTAATGTGGCGAACGTAAACGAGTGTTAAGTAAGGATGGTCATGGTGATAGTAGCAGTTTAGTAGTAATAGTTGTGGTAGGATTAGCAGTTCCTTTTCAGTTGCAGGCTCGACGTGGTCAAGTGTGTAGTCTTAAAAATTTTGTCTCAATTCGTGACGTGCGTCCTGCATTTTTTGTAACGAGTCGGTGTCTGTGAAGACAAAGAGACATTGTTATATTTTCTTTGATGATTTCAAAGTGATATAGTGGAAAAGTAAATAAGATGTAACTTTTGTCTATTGAAGCTCATGTTGATTTCCAATGGTTTACTTTTCTATTAAAAATCAATAAAAAGTTACTCACGTTTTAATAAGGCAATTACTGCTCATCTCCATCATCCATTGTTCTGAGTCGTTTGCGTCTATCATCATTGACATTTCTTTCTTCAGCTTCAAGGACCTTCAAACGAGAACCACAAATTTCTTGTCCATGTAAAGTCTACAAGCAAACGTGAAGTAAAATTTAATTTTAATCTGTGTGAAAGTAAAACAATAATTTTTTTTGACATGAAAAATAATTATTACCTCAATAGCTTTGTTGGCACTGTCAACAGACGCATATTTAGCATAGCCACAATTTTTACCAGGAAGCATGTATACATCTATCAAATTTCCAAATCTGCAGAAGGCATCTTTCATTGCATAAATTGGAGGCACTGGAGGTCCACAGACAATGAAACATCGTTTAGCTACTTCTGCATCAATGTTAGCCATTGGTTGAGGTTGAGGTAGTTTACATATTGTGTGATCTAGAGCTTAAATATTATATACAACTAAAAATATTATTATATTAGCTTAATGAAAAGTAATTATAACTTACTGGGTGCTGTGAATCCAGCAGCTTGTATTAACGATGTAGCCTGTGCAATTGTCTCTGCTATGCGAGCCAAATCTGGAGCTGTAACTCCACCTTGGCTAGGAATATTATTATTAGGTAAAGCGTGTTTCAACTTTACACCTCCCGACAGGTCTGGTTTGACAATTAATCTGTGCCCAAGAGGATATTCTAATCCATGCAATTTCTCTCTAGCATATGCAGCCGCAGCTGGATTGGAATACACTACAGTAGCTTGACCTCTAGCTACTCTATATCTATTTTCGGTTTTATAATGACAATAGTCTAAACCAGGGGCAATGTCAAATAGTCTCCACAATTGGTCTTGATTTACAGCTGGGTGTACAATTACTTGAAGTTTTGTGTATCCCTCAGGGTTGGGATGATTTGCTCCTATCTCCATGCCAATGCTGTGTTTGTTGTAATTGTTGCCATAATTTGAATTAGAATTATCATAATTCATAGAGTTACCATTAGTGTATTTTGGTTCTGATTCATTTTTTGGTCTTTTTGGCTCTGCGAACACAGCTTTGTATTTCTTGTCACACTCTTCGAATGCTTTAGCTGCACTGGAAACCTTTTTGAATTTTACGTAACCAAAGCCTTTGGATTCATTGGTAGCTCTGTCTTTGACAACTGTGACATATTCAATAGCTCCAAATTTCTGAAATTCCTGTTGCAATTCATTTTCAGTCATTGACTTTGGTAGTACGCAAAAGAGACGAACCCAACGTTCTTCTTCGTTTGTCTCTCGGACGGAACCTTGATCTCGACTGTAATGAAGGAAAAAAAACCGTTTTAGTGAAAGACTCTCAGGGCTTTATGACAATCAGATGCATGAAAGCAACCCGCTTAAATTTTTTTTTAACATAATCCAGTTTCAGGTAATTAAATGATATTTAAAAAAACGCGCTTGGTTCTATCGATGTTAGTTTGGAATCATGAAAAGGGTGCGTGCATACCCATAGGATTAAGATAAAGTAGCAAGAGCATCACATTGCACGCAATAGCTGGCGCCAAAGCAGGATAAGGCTTATCGGGTGCTCTAATGGTAACAGCATGTGTTTCTCTCTCTCTCTCTCTTACTCCAGCACGCCGGGGGAGCGTCAAAGCAGGGAGAAAACAGTGAACGAGTGAGAGAGAAAGAGAGAGAGAGGGACTGAAGCGATCAATATGAAGGTTGTCTACGTAGTTTCGATCATATAACGCATATACGCACGTATTGGAACATGTAACGTATTAAAATCCAAAAAGACTTGAACGTGTGTGCGTATATACTTATTTTCTTACATACATAAGCTTGATGATGCTGTTGCTGCGATGTATATAGATATACATGTATGTATCTCTATAAGTGTATACGTAAAAGTATGTGAAGATATAGATGGTAAAACTGGTTTTGACTCACTTGGAGGCGATCATGACTTTGATAGGCCTGCCCACGTTGCCCAGCATCTTCCCGTTCATTTCTTCGAGCGCGATTGCTGCTTCGGACGTCTTTGAAAACTTGATATAGGTTACCCCTAAACATTTTACAAAGAAAAAAAAAATTAGTTTTATAACGAGAATGAGGATTAAGCATTTTAATGCAAAAAATAGAGTCAGGCAAAATGGAGCAATTGAATAATTAGAAAAGAAGGAAGAAAAAAGCAACTGACCTTTATTTTCGCCAGTGTTGCGATCCTTTACCACCCAGATGTCCTCGATTTTGCCGAACTTTTCGAAGGCTCGCCTCAGTTCATCCTCCTCGAGGCTTTTGTGGCAGATGACGAAGAGCCGGGAATTCGGCGGGTCATCGTTTTTGGATCGCAAATCGGCTCCTCCACCGCCACCGCCGCCGCCGCATCCACCCATGTTGTTGGAGTAATAATCGCGGTGATGGTCAGCCATTTGCAAGCTTTGATAAAATGCGCCGTCGATATTTATAATTATTAAGGCTTGTAAAAGGCGAGCGTGGGACGTTTAAAAGCCAGTCGGTTGCAGAGTAGCGACGGCCCGTGTGTATGGTTGTAGCGTCGTTGACGTTTTCGGAGTCCTTATTGTGTACGGCGCTCTGTATACGTTGTGTGGAGTGGTGTGGTGCGTGCGTGTGTATATATGTATAATACCTGCACCGACGCTGCGAGGTGCGTGGTCGAGACTGCAGTAGCAGCAGCAGTAGCGGCAGCAGCAGCAAGCGCACAGGCGTGCAATGAACCGGTGTGCGCAGAGAGCAGCAGAAAGAAGAAGCAGCAGCAGTAGCAAAAAGCTACAACATCGCGCACTCACTCACCGATGTATTTAGCACACACACGTATAATCTACTGAACATATGCGTATGGTCCGCGTCGTGCTCCGCAGTCCGTGTACTACGCGCGTATACGATGCAGCAGGCAGGAGGCATCAGTCGAGTGCAGTTGCTCCGGCCCGATCGAGGTGCCTATGCAGCCAGCTCGTGTGCAGCTCGTGCACGGCTCGCCGATTCGACGCAAATGCGACAGCACAATTATGAAAAAGCACGTCTATTGACTTTTATCCAAAGAGGCGTGCCAAAGATCGAGTGGATAAGTCGGGCACTTTTTATCGCTCACTTTTGTCGCTTCGCCCGCTCGATCCAGCACTCGACGAATGCACAACTCCGTTATTACGAGAAAGTTGTTAATTCCAAGTGATTGTCAAGCGTTGGCGCGCGTCGAACGCCGTTGCGTTCAATGAGCCAGACACGCGAAAACTGAATGAGTAAAAGTCATGAACGTGTGCCACGGCCAGTCTCTGTATACGATATTCACCTGTGCGACACATACACAGTACACACATACACACACGCACACACAGAGAGACAGACAGAGAAAGAGAGAGAAGCACGAATATCGAGTGAATATAATACGCGACAGAGTCAGGAACTTTGTGGACGGACGATTGGCGACACGCAGTTCGGAGCAACGCAAAAGTATACGGTACGATCGCCGTCGCTGCTGACTCTCGCGCGCGCAGCATGAGACAGAGACAGAGACGAGGATGTGCCGTTTGGTCGGCGCGCGGGCTTGACTCGCGACTCGCGAGACTTTTGCTACATAGGTGTAGGTATGCGCAAAGAGTATACATATATACAGGTGGAGAGATGTGCCGCCCGGCGTCGTCGCGCGACTATACTACTGGCTTTGTGCGTCGTATGTACAAGTACACACGCACACAAGTCGGAGTCACTAACACTGGTGCGCGAGTGAGAGTCGACTATACGATGTACACACACGCACACACATCGTAGTCATATATACGCGGAGTGCGGCTTGTGCGCGACTCGGCTTTCGCGCCTGCGGTGCTGGCAATTCTCGATTCGCTGCTATATAGGTACATTTTCTTCTTGTTGCTAGCTCGAATTCTCGTATACTCGTGCGCGAGCGAGCAACTTCATTTGACCTTTAGGCGCGTATACGTACATACACGCGCCTGCTGCACACGTTATACACGAGTGCATCTTCGCGTGCTTAATATATATTTATATCTACACGCTGCAGAATACACGAGTATGTTTGTATCGACGTAAGAATCTGCGCGGCGGCTATTCGTTCGTATGTGATGCAGAAGGCGGCGTGTGCATGAGCCTAGCTCCAATGCCAAGGTTCGTTGACTCTCGGCTTTACTCATTGCGTGCACTTCCCAACTGTTGGCCAAAAGAAATAAGACAAAAAAAGGAACGCAACGCTCGCGTAAGTAAGAGTATAAGCAGCCGAGGCATCCCGTGATTTTCCTTGCGTCGACCAGCGCGAATCTATCCTTCAAAAGGACCACTGATTATTTTTCGATGCGCCGATAAAATCCTCGCGTTGACTTATTTACTCGCAGTAAGCTACCAGTTATGTGCATGCAGTTGTTGTTATTTTTTTCTCCTTTATTTGAGTACGTTTCATCGTAAACGCGCGCTATATAATCGCATTGCATCCAGAGCTTTTACGTAATACACATAATGCCGCTCGACACACATTATACACGTGCTTTGTATATATGAGTGTGGGTACGATTACTCGGGGGCCGATACAAACGACGATGTACTGTGCGTGATCCATGTATCGCGTCCGAGAGTCGCTCTCGTTGTGCATATAAAAGTTTTGCGCGCCAATCTTACGTAACGCCGACTATTTGTTCCGTCCGTTCGTTATTCAATTATTCAAATGTATACCGATCTAATGCATAGTCGGGTCGCGCTTATTGTACGTTCAAAGCTCCCAGTATTTTTTGCTGCTTCTTCTCTTTCTTTTAACGCTGCAGCGCTGCCTTCCGAATTAGAGCGTTTACTCGGGATACTTTCGATGTTTACGTGTATATTACATGGCTGGCAAGAGAAAGAGAGACGACTTGATTAAGCCCGCGCACTCGCCCATGGATGCCGTAACGCAACTAACTCTTAGCAGCGGGAAAATTAAGAAAAGCTCGCGCGAAAACCGTGCGTAGGCTACGGATGCATCGGGCAAGGGAAGCGTCGGCGGCTGCGGCGTAAAATTAGAAAATATTGTCTGCAAAACACGACCGCTCGGATGTGAGCTGTATCGCGCGCCTCGTTAAGTACGCAAATTAAACATACACGGAGCGAAAATATATGCCGTAAATATACGCATAAACATACGCATCTTAGTATGTACTTCCGAGCCAGGCTACACGAGTAGAATTTCTTCCTGTAAACATATAATATATCGGTGAAGATTTTGACGCGGATTACGGTGTTTGTGTGACTCGGCGACAAAGAGACAAAAAAACTTGTGTCGAGCGCGGAAGTAAAAACAACGACGTACATCGCGGCTATTGTTGCTTCGAACGAGCGTCGCCTCGCGCAAATGCTTACGATTCTCGGAAAGTTCAGGTGCTAAATTGCCGCGCAGCAGTAACACGCACGACGCGAGGGCATGACTCGAAGGATGCTGGATCGTCAAAAAAATAATGCTTGCCATCGAACGCCAAAAAGCCTATAAATATTCGCGCCACCGCAGGAATGTCCGCACTTGTTCAAGTATACATGTGCTGCGAAATTCCAAACGCGAATGTGGCACGAGTCAAGGCTCGGGACTTTTGACAAAGCTCTCATAACGTGCAGCCAATCGTTTGATATCGTACCTCCATTCTCTCCTTCGCCACCGTTTCCGCTCGTTTAAATTTGCATAATTATCCATTTTATTATGCCCGCGACTAATTTCCATAGTCACAGAAACGGTAGAGATTTGTTGCGCGTTTAAGCTAACAGCGAGCGCTAAAGGGTTATTAAATTACGCAAAGCAACGCGGTTGCCGGAGCAATTTCACTTTTTTGCATCTAATCGACTGGCCATTTCCGGACAAGGCGTCACGCGCGATCGCAGAAAAATTTCTCCGAGCGAATGTACGAGCGGCCGTCGATCTGTGATCACGCTTCACTCGCCAACGAAAGCGAAATGTCATTCAGTCTCTGCTCGATACAAGATTTGAAAATACGCGCATACTTTTGACCTATTGGCGAACGGCGATATTCGGAGCCAAATATGCTCCTACGGATGCTACGAGGAGCGATCGTTGCCGATGACCGAGTCGTCGATCCCGCTCGTACCGGTCTTTGTAATCGAGAGATGCGATACGCAGCCAGAATGAGTCACGTCCAAGGCCCCAGACACGAGAACGCCCATACACGCCGTCGATTCTTTTTCGTTTCTTTCTCCTTTTTGTTTTTTTTATTGATGCCCGCCTTTCCCCATCGATCGGGCGCCAATACAGCAGCCACGCATCCGCACGAGTACACGTGTGTTATTCGGTCGATCGTTTTTTGCGCTCTGCAGTGTCCCAACAATTTGGCGATTGGCTCGTAAACGTGGCCGCCGAGAGGGCATCCTTTCGATGCTAATTGGTACGTTGTGCAGCTGTTTGCGATCAGTAATTCTCTCTCTCTCTCTTTGGGGGATCGTATAGAAGATGGAAAAAGTCGAGATACGCGTACACGCGTATACACTGTGGGACTCGTCGAGAAAAGAAGAAAATATATATCGAAAGTCTGTCCGGCAGTAGCTTAAAGAGAGCCAAGCTGGAATTCTTTGGCATATGCGCGTTGACCGTTAACTCGCCTTCTCTCGGCTCTATCCCTCTTTCGTTCGTCTCTTCCGAGGACGGGCATGATCGGGCCGCGCGACGGCATCTCTTCTATATAGCCGCTCACGTATTTATGCACGCGTGTGTACCGATTGGATCGAGAAGGAGAGAGAGAGAGAGAGAAAGAGAAAGAGAGAAATGTACGTATATGCCTAGATTCCATCGATAGAAAATATCTGGCAGTGGGCGTGTGGTCAGCCATCGACGATCGTCGACAATCCACATAGAGACTCTGCTCCAATCGGCTCTAATTCCAACTCCCATTCATAGTCGATTGAACGGTACAATTGCTCGCTCGAAATCTGTCCTCTCCGTTTCTCTTTCCCGAACGTATTCAAGACTCGTCGAATTGTCCATCGACTCGGCATATTTCGCATAACTATATATACTCGATCGTTTCCGGCGCATCCAAAAACCGTTCGCCTCTTTTCGAAAAAGTATATAATCTCTACTTGACAAATACATTTGGCCGATCTTACGCGGCGCAGGTGTTGCATTCGAGCAATGGGATATCGTCAATAAATCGCTCTTTTTACAGCTACGAAAAAAGATGCTGCTTGGCGATCCGTGAAATCGAAGCTCCTTCGGAGCTGCGTCGTAGTGCATTGCTCCTTGCGACGTCGCGCTCTTTGCTTATTATTTGCGCGAACGCGGAGACGGAGCCGCGACACGGCGAGTTTCGAGAGCCGCTGCAGAGAAAAAGCACACGCACACGTATAGGCGTGCTGCAGCCATGTGCGCACGCGTATAATTAAGCGCATAATACCGTTGGGCCGCGCTAAGAAACCTGTGCAGATGAGAAAGAGAAAAAGAGACACGCGGGACGAGAGAAACTTAATATACGCGTATAAGCTATTTACATTCCACGCACAGCCACCGTCTTGCTCTTTTTTCATTATGTAACTCGTTTTTTTCGACTTGCGCCTCATATTTTTGTACATTACCGCGAGCGCGACCGACCGACCGATGGAATGCCAACGTGTAGTGCAACCGATCCGAGGATCCTTAAGGGTGCGACTTTTTCCATCTCGAGACTCGACTAAATTTACTCGACTTACGACTTACGACCAACACCTCCATCGGATTCCCCTTCAAAAAAATACGAAGCACGCATGAGAATGTCGCGCAAATATTTTTACATCTATTTACGGTAAGCACTTCCCGATATCGGGCAAGTCAACGCTCGCATAAGCACACGTAACGTCGAAAATACTTGAGCTGCATACATAGGTCGCGCGACCGATTCTTTTCCTCTAATAATAGCCTTGATGAGTGACATTAGTCAATTTAAGCAAGCAGTAACGGGATGTAAAATTATTATTGAAAACCATCGTTGAGATCACTTCGCGCACTCAGCCGAGCCGTATTACGAATTTAATGAGCTGCCGAGAACGGACGACAAATCTCTGTCGGCCTTTGTGAAAACAGCGTCAATTTCACTGTCGACTGCCTGCGATAGATTTCTCGATGTACATCAGGAATGAAAGAGAAATTCATTATTCTTCGTATTACCAAAGCTTTGTCGTCTTTTCTTTTTTATCGTGTACCAAAGATCGTTCATGTTTCAGATTAGTACTTATCATAGCATGTTATAATTGCAATTGTAACTTATTATTTCCGTCTCAGACAAGTTTATATTTTTTAATATATATAACAAGCTGACACGTGTTAGCATTACACGTTTTTTAAACAATTATTATTTGCTTCAAAGTGTGTGCATGAAAGTTTTGACACGACTTTTGCTTGTATTTATTCATAAAAATGGATTTAAAAACAGGAAAACTTTACTTAGCTGATGAGTTGAACAATTTTAACTTTCGGCAAACCATATTGACGAATTTATTCTCAACTCGATTCGCAGTAAATAAATTAATACCCATTCATATGAATTGTTGATGATAATAATTTTATGTCACCCAACCCTTGCGAGTCATAAGGTTCCTGTAATGTTTTCATAAAAACAGTCAGCAATTCAATTCAAAAATATAACTTAGATATGTTAAATTCTGCAATTTCATGGGTGTTATAAGTTCAATTTTCAATAATAAATATAAAAATATATGAAAATATTTTATGAAAATCCAAAATTTAATAGATTTATTTGTCAAAAGCCAGCAATAACATAATCACATATAATAATTAATTTCATTTACAATAGTTCGATATGAACACACTTAAATGTATAAACAGTAAATTGCAACCCTTTAATTCAGTTATAGTTTTTAACACTTACTACTATGTGAATATCAACGTCCCAGCGTAGATGATTGTAACATAAATGCTCACTAGTTTGTACAAAAACGACCTCGAATATTACAATAAGCCCTTTCAGAAAACAACAATGACAACAAAGATATATCTACATTATCATTACACTTGACTTTGGTCAAATTTGTTCATGCAGGCTCTTCAAAAAATTTAACCAATTTATTTTGACCAATTATAAAGTTTTATATAAATTAAAATTTCTCCGTTATCAAAAATCAAGTACTTAAGCTTCTCACTTATAATTAGAATTATGTTCTTCATCGCTTTATCAAGGTCCCGCATCTTTTATACATGAATTCAATGATTCTGTACAATTTTCTACATTACCGACTTTTTACAAAGACGATTTTTAAGAACGATCATAATACAATTTGAAAAAGCTCCCGTTGAAAAAACTGAATCTACTCTTACAAAGAATTGAAACATTATACAATTTCACTATTCCCTTAAGCATCATAAGTCGAAGCGGATACATTGCCACCATGTCCGGTCCAATTGGTATGGACAAATGTATTCTCTTGGCCGAGCAATTCGTACGTGTGAGCTCCAAAGTAATCACGCTGAGCTTGCAATAGATTTGCTGGCAGTTTGGCAGTTCTGTAACCATCGTAGAAAGCCAAGGCAGTTGATAGAGCGGGCGTTGGAAGTCCTAAATTTATAGCTAATCCAATGATTAAGCGCGTGCTCTGCTCGCAAGAGTTCAAAGCTTTTGCAAAGAAATCATCTATCATGAGATTGCTCAAGTTTGGATTTTTGTCGAACGCCTGCTTGATGTTACCTAAAAATGCACTGCAAAAAAAAAACGAATTCATGTTTTATTTCATCAGAAAAAGCCACGAATTTACTTGCGTGCGACTGCGTTAACATCCCGAACCGGAAGAAAATTTTGCTGAATGTTTCAAAGTTCTTATCAATAATTCATGTTTACGTCATATACGTCACAAAACATGAGTTATATAGAAGATAAGACTTTTTACAATCAAAGGTGCTAGTTTAGTAAATTTATTGCGTAATTTAATTTAAAAAAATCGTTAGTAAACACATGTTGTATGTACCTTCTAATAATGCAGCCTCCTCTCCACATTAAAGCAATGCCACCATAATTCAAATTCCAATTATGAACTTTGGCCGCTTCTTTCATAAGCATAAAGCCTTGAGCGTAAGAAATAATTTTGGAAAGATACAAGGCCTTTTTCAATGCTTCAGTCATTGATTTGACATCTCCATTGAATTTAGTACTGGGTCCTTTTAATAATTTACTTGCTTCCACCCGCTCATCTTTTAAAGCAGATAAACATCTTGCAAATACTGATTCACCAATTAGAGTAACTGGAACACCATAATCTAATGCAGATATAGCTGTCCATTTTCCAGTTCCTTTTTGACCAGCTGTATCCCTTATTCTCTCCAACAAATATCCTTCTTGATCTTTGTATTTAAGAATGTTGCTAGTTATTTCAATAAGGAATGAATCAAGCTCTTCTTTGTTCCATTGAGCAAAAATGTTGCTCATCTGCTCATTGTTGAGATTTAATCCATTACGCATTATGTGATATGCTTCACCAATCAACTGCATATCACCATATTCAATGCCATTATGCACCATTTTGACAAAGTGTCCAGCACCATTGTCTCCAACCCAATCACAGCATGGCTCTCCATCAGCTTTTGCACAGATTGCCTGCAAAAAAATTAATTTAAACCATTTAAATTAACAATAAATGGTATTAAATATTTTTGTCTTATTCGTAAGCAATATTAGTACCTGGAAAATAGGTTTGATATGTGGCCAAGCTTTTGGATTACCACCTGGCATAAGCGAAGGGCCATATCTGGCACCTTCTTCTCCACCACTTACTCCACTACCAACAAACAAAATTCCTTTGGATTCTAAATCTTTGGTTCTTCTTTCAGTATCCTTGTATTCAGAGTTACCACCATCAATAATGATGTCTCCCTGAGATAATAAAGGCACCAACTTATCAATAAAAGCGTCAACAGCTGAGCCAGCTAAAACATCATAATAATAGTTATATTCAAGTTTTTTTTTCTTCAAAAACAAAAAAACGTTTGATTTTTTACCTTTTACAAGCATCATAACTCTCTTAGGACTTTTAAGTTTATTGACCATTTCTTCAAGACTATATGCACCAACAACATTGGTACCCTTGGCTTCATTTTCCAGAAAAGCTTTGACCTTGTCAGTAGTACGATTATAGGCGCACACAACAAAACCATGATCGTTCATGTTTAAGATGAGATTTTGGCCCATTACTGCCAAACCAATAAGGGCTATATCTGCAACTCTGAAAGGTTACGAGAAAAAGTCGCTCAATTAAATGCTTCGTTACAAAATAGAATGCAAGATTTTGCCTACGAGGCGGATGTACGTCGGCGCAAAACATTTTAATTGACTTAGCCGTGACTTGACACATTCAAAAGATTGGTTGTTCTCGAATATAAACGAGAATCGTTAAGAAAACGATCAAAACTCGAGGTTCCAAGTACTTAACGGAAAAAAATTCACTTACGGTTGCGCCATAGTTGTATTGTTAATGTAAAATAAGGCTCAAGGAGAAAAATGAACCGTGCGAATGCAGTCGTTTAGTCGGAGTCACCGATCAACAAGTGTCAAGATGCACGTATTGTAGGCAACGTGTGAATCGACGTGTACTGCTACAGCCTTGGCTCCTGCAAGTATACTGGTCAAATCGTAAATGAAACACAGTATGCTTCATGAAAGTCGAAGCGGGACGCGTTCGAGTTCGTGTCAGCTGAGGCTGGTATCAGCCAATAACAGGAAGATCAGCGACGACGGTGGTGGTGTCTTGCCACGATTGTATATCTACGTACGTATGAGACTCGTATTATTATTATAACTTGAATAGAATCTAATGATACGATTTCATAGGCATTGCGGGAATATCGTTTTTAGAAAATTTAACGTTATTTTAGTCTTCATTCCGTTTTATCCCGTAAATACGTATGAGAGAAAGTGAAATATGATGTAATGCGGTAAAATTTAAAAAACGGAATCGAACTTTCGAAATCTTTTCGATTTAATAAATTTTCTGGTGCTCTTGAATGTTTCATACAAATGAGAATAATCATCGATGCCATCTCGAATGCAATAAGGTAGATTCCTGTCGCGGAGTCACGAAGCGACGCGGCAGGTACAGCAGTTCTCTACGCAAAATGTGCCTGTGCTAATTTTGCGAGTGCTGCTTTCCCACACATCTACAGTACATAAGCAATCTCCCGCTTATGTCGCCGCATGTCGATGTATTGGGCGTCAAACTTTGATATGTATAGACAACCAATATGGTGACGTCCACCCGGGGATTAACATGCGTTTAAATGGGGCAATGAGTTGTTTAAAAGTTCAGATGTCGCTTACGTCTATTCCATTTAAATGCATCTTAAACCCAGGGTACTGTTGTCTGTACGCCACCATAATGGTCGTCTATATATATATATATTAAAGTTTAACACGAATGAGCTGCCAAGACATGCGCGCATACACAAGCAAACACATACAGGCGAATGCTCTTACGCACTATTCCAGTATCTCCTCGAGTCCCACATTGCGAAAAGTTACTGCGAAATCGTTCTTTCATGCGTGTATATGTGCCTATATAAAACTGACTTAGGTGTTTTATAGCTCGCATACACATACAACGAAATATGAGAGAGAAAAAGAGAGGTACACATGTACACAGCCTCGTGCTTGTGTCTTAGTGGTTGTGCGTAAACGAGGAAAGGAAAGCACATAAAACTGCATTAGTAGCGATCTGGCAGCGAAGGTTGTGTTACACGCGAAAAGCGCTCGAGTTTAATATAAAGGAAAAAAACAAAAGTTACGTGTAGCACTACATACAATATGTCGCTGGCGATTTTCTCAGCGATTAATAGATAATTGCTAAAACTGTGAGACAGTGTGTGTGTGTGTGTGCTCTACACCCCGTGAGTAGCTGCTGCTGCGTTCAAAAATTCCATTCGCGAGACGATATACAAACACACATTTCAAGAAGTCTCAATACTCGCGAAGAGAAAGTTTTCCTTTCTTTCGTTATTCGGATATCCTTTATACGGACGTGTGTGTATATGTGTAGCTTCATCGTTACGGGCTCGCTTAGCTTCTGCTTTTGGATTTTACGGAACGCATAAGTATGAAGACATGAAAACTCATACACTGCCGAATTGAAACATGCGTGACATAACGAAGCATTCTACGTGATAACGTGATATAAGGAGCAGCTATATTGACTCTACAGTGTCTCTCATAATCAATTAATCGCTACTCCTACCTCGCAGAAACTTCGCATTTTTTCCTGCTCTTTCGAAACGCCTCGACTTCTGCTGCCCGTTGAAAGAATTCCAAACTTATTTTTATTATTAAAATTAGCACAACTTCAATATGGGGCTCCTGTTTGCGAAACTATGGAGTTTCTTTGGAAATGAAGGTGAGTCTTTTCGCAAAGGTCTTGTTTTTTAATAAAAAAAAATTATTTCAAAAATTAACTCTTGCTACTCATTCGCTTATGAAAACAGTTAAAACTAAACAATCTGTTTGAGTAATGACAAGCCAGTAATTTATGTATTGTTTTTTCTTTGCAGAACACAAAATTGTAATGGTTGGCCTCGATAATGCTGGCAAAACCACTATTCTTTATCAGTTTTTGATGAATGAAGTTGTTCATACATCGCCTACTATAGGTTCTAATGTTGAAGAGGTTGTGTGGAAAAACATTCATTTCATAATGTGGGACCTGGGTGGTCAACAAAGTTTACGAGCAGCTTGGTCAACTTATTACACTAATACAGAGTTCATTATTGTTGTCATCGATAGCCAAGACAGAGAACGATTAGGAATTATCAGAGAAGAACTTTACTCAATGCTTGAAAGGGATGAACTTAGTAAGGCAGCTGTTTTAGTATATGCCAACAAACAAGACCTAAAAGGAAGCATGACTGCTTCTGAAATTTCAAGACAGCTAGATTTGACATCTATTAAAAAGCACCCTTGGCACATACAGAGTTGTTGTGCGCTATCAGGAGAAGGGTACGTTTTAAAAAATATGACAATAAGTAGTCAAAACTAGCATTTCTTTTTTTTTTCTAGGTTGTATCAAGGATTAGAATGGATTGTGGAGAGATTGAAGAAATCATGACGATACAATTACTAAAAATAAGGATTAATATAGAGTATAAAGTATGAAAAAATGCAACTGCTTTCAGAAGTCAAAAATACTGAAGACTATCAAAAATTCCAACATCCTGAAATGATGAATTTAGTTTTATCATTCCAGGATCTATTTTATTGTGTAAATTTGTTATTGACTAGAAAATTTTCTGTTTATAATTCCAGTTCAAGAAAGTGACAAAACATTTTGAATCATAGTTAATTAGAGACACACTTGCCCAGAATGGTACTTTCATGTATATAGTTTTGATAATTGCACATAATGAAGAGCTTCTGCTGTATAAAACTTAAATGTACATTGATGTACATTGATTTGTCGATATTGACAAAGTAATCAAGAGTTATCTTTCTGTGTGTTTTCACTATGAGTAAAGTAAAGAACTAAAGACTTTCTGACAAGGTTAAATGTGCATCCATTTGAGAGCATAAATGATAAAATTATTTAAAAAGCAAGTTATATGTATACTCTGTGATACACATCAAATTTTCGGTAAAACAGCCATCTTTTTTTACAAAGATTTTATTTCAACTGTAACAGTATTAAATATGACCAAAAATTTGAACTAGTGAGAAGAGTTGACATCTCCACTCCTTGTTCATTCATATTTCTTACGATAAACGTCACAGTATGAAAAATTTTATTTTACTTACTTAGTAATCTGGTAGCTAAATCATTTGATAAAGAGAAGGCTGTCTTATCTCGTAATTGTTCGAAATATAGATGCAACAGCTAGTTTTTTGTGACTATATGTCAAATTTTACTAGCTCAAGATATGATTTCAAGTCTATTCTCAAATTAGAAAAATTCTATAATTGTTAAAGAGATTATCGAAAATGGAAGACCAATTGAATAATCTAGTAATTTACTGTTTAGCTTGAATGCAAATGTAAAAATGAGACAGTATAATTTTTTCTCATATTGAGAAAAAGATCATTTACGATACACGTCAATGAGATTTTTCGTTTTTAATGATTTCATTAATTCTAATATTTTTACTTTTGATACGAGTTCTCGTATTTCCTCTCCATTCAATTGTTACTTTTATCATTCATATTTGTAAATTAAAATATTTATGTATTAATTGAAAAAAAATTGAAACCATTTTAAATTTTACTCATTGTAAATCATTGTATCGCGTCGAATTTTATTATAGAATTTAATTTGATTAAGAAAAAAACCAACGTTAATTCATAATAGAAATAAAAACTATAGAACTAAAATGTTTTTATTTTAAAATATTTTTTCCATGTAATTCTACAAGGCTGTGCAGGTAAAATGAAAACGACGAGTATATTATTGGTTGAAACATTTTTCTATTTATTTTCGGCTCATTTATTATAAATAAAAATCAGCACTCACGCATTCATACTTGTTATCGATGGATCTACCACCGGTTTATTCTCCATCTCCAAAATCATAGATAAAGATTTATAACTCGGGGTATAAAAAAAAAATAGTTGGAGAGATTAAAACATAACGAAAGATAAACTCCAATTATTTTCGATAAAAAGGATTTAATTTTGCAACAGATAAAAAGTAAAGAGCAAAGACTCACATCGCAACAAACAAAAAAAGAATTTTACGAATTGACTGTTCGAGCGTTACAAAGTTTGACGTTATAGTATTGCTAAAATTAGCACCAAGGCGTTGAGTCGTTCCACGATTTGAAAAATCGAGCTTCATAACGCTTTTCTCATATTGCTTTTACTTTTTTCATCATTTTTTTCACATTAAGTATTTTGGAGGGAGCTCCCAAGATTATCATAACAAATAAAAGCGCTCGTTGTCGGTGGTTTTGTCTCGTAAAAGATACAATTGTTTTATCGGTTTCCATTTTTTCGTTCACAGTGGTCTCTATGATTCTAGATAATTATATCGTGTGACGTGGTTATACAAGAGGGTCACTCGACTAATACTATTAAATAGTCACACATATGTATTGTCTAGTAATATTACATATTACCGTCATCGACGCACTACAATGTATATGTAGAACAGTCTAAAACGTCGTTTCGGATTACACTTTGTTTTTCCGATGCTTTCTCGTTTTGTAAAATTTCATTCGAAATGGTTATTATTAATTCATTTTAATGTGTCTAATTGAAAAAAAAAACTAAATGAATCTCTGTCTCGCGCATGGCGCGTGAGAATCGATCCGCGAACGATACATTTAGACGCACCGTTTGCCGTTGAATTCAGATACATTATAATATATAACGTATAGTCGACCAAAAATTTAAATACTCATTTCTGCCTACTGTTAAATTATTCAATTACTGTAAATAACATTTGGTAACAGCAGCGCTTTGTCACGACTTTTTCCATACTTTTTCCTCTTGCGTCGTAACTCGTCAAGTACATGAAATGCATGTATAAAGCGACTTGATAACAAAGTTTTCAACTAACAGTGGATAGTATCACGCTGAACTTCAGCGCCGGCAGTATGCAATATTTTGATAATACATTTTATTTTTATTCGATTATACGCTGCTTGTGTATAAACTAACGCAGTGAATTAAGTTTCGGTCGACTTCGCAAAATAACGATTTGAACTAACTTTTTTTGTGGGATTATGAGGGATAGGGAGGTTTGTGTAATTTAATGGAGGTAAAGATGTTGATTTATCGGCTGACCAACACGATATGCAGAAATTATCTCGATTTCAGGCCATGTCCGATCACTGTCGGAGCGAGGCGAGAAACAAGTGGAATCCTACATCGATAATCAGATCATCGCTATTATCGTCGTCAGCCGGTTAGTGGTTAGCGAGTCTTGAATCAATGAATCGATCAAGACCGTGTATGTGATTGTGTTGAAATGAATTACTTAGGCAGCCTTTACAGCCTTCATGAGGAGATCGGTGCTGAGAGATTTCGGCCTCTCAATGGGCAGACCCAGAGCGCGGGCCCAGACGAGATTAGCGAGGACTCCGAGAGCGCGCGAGACTCCAAAGAGAACGGTGTAGTAGTTCATTTCCTTCATTCCGTAATATTGGAGGAGGACACCGGAGTGAGCGTCTACATTGGGCCATGGGTTCTTGACCTTGCCGGTTTCGAGTAGAATTGGTGGCACGACCTTGTAGACTTGCGACACGAGCTGCAGAGTAAAAAAAGAGCGTGAGAGAGTGGGTAAAGAATTAACATCAATAAATGCAAGTTAACGCGACAAAGAGGTTGTCGTCGAGCAAAGATACCAACCTTGAAGAGACTGTCATCGGGCAAGTGCTTGAGAGCGAATTCGCGCTGGCAGGTGTATCGTGGATCGGTCTTTCTAAGTACGGCGTGTCCGTAGCCAGGTACGACCTGTCCGCTCTTGAGGGTGTTCCAGATGAAGTCCTTGAGCTTCTCGTCGCTGGGGTTGTCACCGACTTGCTGGCGCAATTTCTGCAGCCAGACCAAGACTTCCTGGTTGGCAAGACCGTGGAGTGGTCCAGCCAAGCCGTTCATACCGGCGGCGAAGGACAGGTAGGGATCGGACAGAGCCGAGCCGACCAAGTGAGTCGTGTGGGCAGACACATTGCCACCCTCGTGGTCGGAGTGGATGGTCAGGTAGAGGCGCATGAGCTCGATGAATTGGGGATTGTCGTAGCCCAACATGAGGGAGAAGTTGTGGGACCAGTCCTTGCCGGCGTCGACGGAACCGATACCTTTGCCGCCCTTGTAGAGATTTCTGTAGATGGTGGCGGCAACGACGGGCAGCTTGGCGATGAGGTTCATCGAGTCCTCGTAGACGGTTTCCCAGTACTTGCTTTTGTGGACTCCGCCAGTGTAGGCCTTGACGAACTCGCTTTCGCTGTTGAGCAGAGTGATGGCAGCCGAGAACTGGCTCATTGGGTGCAAGTGCTTGGGGAAGTCGTTGAGGGCCTTGGTCACGTGGGCGGGCAGAGCACTACGAGCAGCCCATTCCTTGGACAGAGCCTTGGCCTGGGCATCGGTGGGCACGTCACCGGTGATCAAGAGCCAGAAGAGACCCTCGGGCAAGGGTTCGGCACCGCCGGCGGCCTTTGGCAGAGCTTTTTGGCATTCGGGAATGGACTTGCCACGGAAGCGGATACCCTCTTCTGGATCAAGTACTGATGGTTCCCACACGAGACCCTTGATTCCTCGCATACCTCCGTACATCTGTTAACGACCAGTCGAATGATTATTTTTTTCTCTCTTTTTCAGTACTTTATAACAGCAATTTGTATGCTTTTGCAAAACCAACAAAAAAATTGATTTTTCATGCACAATTTTCATTTACAGTAAAACTATAAGAGTTTAATTAAAATTTCATAAATTCAAATTTATATAAAACGAAATCCAGCAATGATTATTTTCAAAATTTGTCAATTTGTTAATTGAAGTGAACGTACATCGCGTAACAAGATTTTTGCAGTCACGCGATTTCGTAAACATGTAATCATCAAAAGGAAACAGCTGTAGATCGAGTCACGCGTAGGCGCGTGCATGAGTCAAAAGAGTCGGTCTCTTTTTTGTGCAGCGCTTTGAGCACGGTAGCCATGTCATGTGCATTTGAGGCAAAGAAAAATATATATATTTGATAACTCACCATGTCAACGGTGACTTCTCCAACTTTGGTGGCACCGTGAGACTTGCGGAAGTTCTTGATGCGTTCCTGTTCCTTGGGAATTTTATCGGCAAGGACTTTTCTGAGGTCGGTCGACTGATCCGACAGAGCGCGGATTCCGACATTCTGGCTCAGCTTCTGCAAAAAGAGGAAAAAACAAACAATTTTGAAATCGCTCTAGCAACTGTACATATTTTTAACAAATATCTCCAAGGACACAACACGATGCGTGAATCGTTTTTCCACGAGCTATGGAAAATAATTTCTACATATTAGAGTGAGCGAAGTGCCACGAAGTCAGTTTCATCGAACAGCCTCGTTACAGCAGGTAGCTAGCTGCACGTAGACAATTATTAAAACGTCAATAGAGGGACGGACAATGATGCGGTGTGCACACTGCATAGACTTTGACCTTGACAAACAAGAGCAATTTCAGCAACATCGGTTGCGTCGACGATCGTCTCTGACTCGGGTGTGTGCGTGCACGTTACAGCGTATGCAATAAACGAGAAAAGCGCAGGCGTTACGTAAACATTGCCATTGTCAAAGACCCTGTACTGACTTTCTCGTGCAGCTATGAACTTCGGAGTGCGTGTGCGGTGGCAGTGCTAGCGAAAAAAACCTCGATGGATTTCTATGCATAATACGCGCGAGCGAGCAGTTGCATCTACGTCATTATTTCTACGCGGAGCTTCGTAATACCTTAAAGCGAATTATGTAACGCCTGCACTCGTGGCACGTGTGTGGCTCGAGAGTTGAATTTTTTTTTTCGTACTTTTACAAATATCTACGATTCGACGGCACGCGTACGATGAAAAAAAAAAACGATAAGATGTCAACAGATTTTTGACATCCAAGTCAGACCTTTAGTACGTAGTAATCGCGGGCAGTTCGCTCTGGCACGTATTCGTCTTATCAAAATAAATACACATGACAATTGTCGGATCAGCGAAGAGTATTTACGATAAAGCGGTATACTGTAGCGGTTGCACACATTGCAGCGCGCATGTGTAGCACTCGAGAGAGGCGCATTTATTTAGCCAGACGCGGGGAGTAAAGAGCGCCTTATCGGATCCGCAGGGGTATTTGCTCCTTCGTCTGTCGCGAGTGTAAATGTATAAGCGAAAGCAAAAAGAGTGTCTGTATCAGCACGAGACTGTCGGTATCGCTCGTCTCGCACATATACATAGAAGTAAGGTATTACAACAATGCGCCGCGTGCGCGACCGATTATGAGCATATAGACCCGACGTTGCGGGCACAATTACGAAGCAGATATTCGCGTTTGGCCGATTATTATTGACTTTTGTTTTTATACAGTATACACATACATGCGACGACGGCTATCGCGCGCACGATGAATTGCAGGAAAGTCCCTATAAGCGCCGAGCGAATGTCATTACACTCGATGGGTGAAACCAGCCAATAAAAATAATGAACCGCCAGAGTTCGTGCGCTCTCAAAGAGAGAGAGAGAGAGAGAGACTTGTCTTGTATATGACATTACGGATTGCTATACGGTGAGAATTGATCCTTTACGACTCATCGCTGCATCAATTTGATGCCAAACTTCGTAAATCTTACACTACGATGTCGAATGAACTTCGACACATCAATGATAATATAAATGCAAAGAATTCATAGGACAATCTTGGCGAGAAGATTTTCTTCTCGCGTCGAAAGACGCGAAGCTACGTTTAAACATCCGATGAAAAGCATCGATTATCGCGAATTTCCGAGCGAGATCGTATGAGACTCGAGGCTTGCGCGATTATATCATCAGTTGGAGCACACCGTCGTCATGCGTGCGTGATGTATAAAATGATACATAAGATCGTTCATCGTGCATGGGTCACGGGCAAGGCCACTCACGTTCCACCATTGATCGTCTACACATCGTCCGATCGCACATGTCAATGGAATTGCATCGGCGATGATTAATTCGATTCTTATCAATTTATGTTGGCCGATCAGATCCGCATGCTTGGGAAATCATCGTCGATGATTCGCAGCGGCGTACAATTCCTTCTTGCGCGAAGCCTGTACGAATGCGATAAAACCACTGCTTTTACTTTTCTGCTTTTCGATAGGTTTATAACATTAGCGATAAGGTCTAATGCCATCAGAAAATAAGGATCTCGTAAGGTTTAGGAAATTACCATCTTTGATATTTCAACATCTGGAGAACTTGATCGTGAAAGTAGAGCTAAGTCGATCTGCGTGAGAAAAAAATCAGGACCGATTCGACTTTTAGCATAATGAATGCAACTGAATAAGATAGCGCGAAGTATGTATTTATAGGCGCATACATGTATATATATGAGGGCACTTATTGCGCTCTTGGTAGGCCGCTCCACGTTATCATCGCACTCGCATACTTGCACAAGCATGCACAAGATGCGCAAATTAACTTGATCGAATTAATTCATTCGAGTGTCGACTTGCTTCTCGCATCACTCTTATTTGCTGCTCGACATTGATCTTGGACGCGCGGGGCGCCTTCGACTCGGATCAAATTTATGTGTTGCGCACACAATACAATCGCGCGCGGATAAGAACGAACTCAACGCAATAGGTACGTAAAAAAATCGATTAAACGCTGAACGAGCCCACAAGTTGCGAAAAAGATGAGCGTCAACGTATATCGTACGGAAAAATTATCGGCGACACCGATTTAAAAATTTACGTCATTTGCACAATTATTATAATATCTATTGGTAGAAAGACAGCAATCATTTTTTATTATTATCTACTTTATTGTATGCATATGTGTATAGATGTTTATAGAAAAAGAATCGATTATAACGAATCGGAAAAATCTAGAAGCGCGGGCAAATGTAAAATACCTAATTAGTGCTGTCACGTCGAGTGTGTCTGTGTATACAATGACGTTCAATCGTATCACGTACAGGCGAAACTGGCAAATACCTTTTCATGATATATACACGTGTAAATATCTATATACGAGACTGGCGGATCACATGGGGGCACGCATAAGCCGCGTGTAATCGAAGCTGTTGAACGTGTAAGTTTAACGAAGCATGGCTTGTCGCGCGGCGCTGTAAAAGATTCAATCGTTTCGTTTTCAATCTTACAAGACGAGTATCGAGCTTTTAATTTTTTTTCTTTCTTTTTACAGAGTTGAGCGGTTAATTACGCGCGTTGAACGACAGCCGCATTTAAGCTGCCGAGAGAAGAATTCTCTTTGGTGCACTGCATACGCGCTCGCTATTTTTCTCTTTTTTTGTTCGCGAGCAAACGTTTCCTCGTGCGTGACATTGGTGCAAATAATTTTGCAACAGTCATCTAATGAATTTACGATAGTCGCGCGCTTCACAGGTAAGCTGCGGGCAAATTTCACGGACGGCGAGCGTGGAGGAGTGCGGGTGCTTTTCGCGCGACACGCCGCAGCGCCAATGCATCGCGCGATAAAGACGTTTATCAGACGTGGCCTGTATTATAATACGTGTTTGTATTTCTCGAATAAGGCCACACAACATATGTTTACATATAAGCGATCGTGCGCACGTCTTGCTTACTCATCTCGCGCCAAGAGCTGCTAATTGCACATGTGCGCGCGCTTCGTTTTCTGACACTATCCATATTTTTGCACTTTTTTACATATTCAATAATCAGTGGCAAGCTCGTGACTGCTATTGCGCGTGCGTGTCTTTATCCGCGATGGCCGAAAAAATTGCTAATTACAAAAATAATTCAGACCCACCCGCGGTTAGATGCCGACAAACTCGATGAATTATTTACATAGGATATACGCAACATAGAGAGCGGCTTTGAATTTTTTTCTTACGTTGATTATGCATACCGTTACCAAAAATCGTAAACTAAAGATTTTGAAATTTGATAACACAACTACGAATGCTCGTATGTCTCGCACTATTCATGATAATTTTTTCCTTGCTCTCTAGCTCTAGCCTCAATCGTACGATATTGAAAAAATGATTATCTCATACAAGTAAGACTAAGAATTCAGAAAATTGACACTTATTTTTTCATAGGCATCGATAGAGTATAGAAAAGATGATATCCGAACTAGTAAAGCAGCTGCTATTGCATACCGGTTACCGTTGAGTATCAATTTTGGAAGTTGCGTCGAGTGATTCATCGCTTACATCCAGTTTTTTTTATTTATGAAAGTTTCGTCGATACAGACGCTCGATGAGAGAAAGAAAGCCGAATGTTTTATCGACTAGAGGACGATCGAGAAAGGTGAATTTAAAAATAGGCCTAGGCAACGTTAAAGCAGGCGATGAACGGTTTATTTTTAATTGCGATTCGAGAAGAGGCCAAACGTCTTATGTAAAGGCGAGCTTCTGCTCGATGGCAGCTGGCATTAGCAGATTGCATAATAATAGAAATTGATATACGACTAATAAAGTACGTGCGACGAGATTAGAAGAATCGAACATGCGATGCACGAGTTGAGCGAAGGTGCATAAATTAAAGCCGTAGAAGGAGTCGCGCTGCACCCCCCGAAGCTTCACCCGATTATCGATCAATTATGTCGCTTATTATTCAACGAGTGACGCGAGCAATAAGTCCAAGTGAGCCGAGCAAGGGTGTACCTATATCGCAGATAGGTACGTGCGTGGAGCTCGGCCAATTTTCTCTCGCTTTCTCAGGTATTCGAGTCGAGTCGTGTTGGTCGCGAGGCTTGACCCTGACGTTTCGCGGCGCACGTTCGATCGACCATTTGGAGCACGGGCCGGGCTAATTTTAGCGGGCCGCATTTAGCGGTCATTCATTCGGGCGGTCGTGCGAGGTGGAGATGCGTACGGAAAGGAAGAGAGAATAGTTGCACGCGTGCCGTCTATAACGCCTCGTGCGTGTAACGGATCGATTCCAAGGTCGGAAGCGCGTCGATTCAACGTACGCGGCTTATCGGCGGCTCTCGCCGAAGGAGCTGCTGCTCGATGGAACGAAAGTCTCGAGGCGCCTGCCACGCGAGTGCTTCATGTGCGCAGGCATGTGCGTTCATTTTTGGAGGTTACTGCAACAAGACGTCGCGCGTTCGTCGTCGCTGCTGCTTCGTCTCCAAAGTCTCGCTGCACTCCAAAGTTGCGGCATTCGCGAGCAAGTCACAGGGCCAAGTTCACTCGAGACATTTGGCGGCTTGCGAAGGAAAGGCTGGAGGACGAAGGAGCAGGAGCTTTGTCGGACCTTGCCCCGAGTCCACTGTCGTTCGGCTTACGTAACGAATCGCGGGGGAATAGGACCGAGTGTCAGGATAAACTCGGGCTCGTACGATGCACACAGTGGACGTTCGCTCGTGTGTCATACGTGTGTCTGCTATAAGCTCGGTGTGCATATAGCTGGCCTATACTGGCGTTGGCTCGGTCTCGAAACACGGCCGCGAGCGAGCCTCTCCGCGCGCGTCTATCGACCGCTCATGAAAATGTGCCATGCTCGCCTCGCGCGCATGCATACCTACTTGTAAATGAATACGTGTGAGAATCCAAAGACACGAGAGTAATATGCATGAAAACGGCTTTCTTTCCTCTCTTTCGGCGAAAAATCGACGATGCAAGTATAATTTCATTTAGCGTGTATACAGAGCTCTCTCGCACACACGGAGCTGTTAGTTTACGTATATCGCGTATTGGCGAGCACAAAAGTTTCTTCTCATGAGTTTCCTGTTCTTCTCTTTGGGTATGTACACTCTGTTCGCTCGCTGGCTCGCGCGCTTTTCGTGCGTGTAAACGAGTATAGAGAAACAAGAGACTTTTAGTAAGAGAGAGAAAAGGAGAGAGCGCGAGAGAGACCGTCACGTCAATCGCAGGAGCATATACATACATGGAAGTCCACGTGTACCATGCGAAGCCGAAGGCGATAACAGCGAGCGCGACGTATTTAGAAAAGCTCCTCCTCGCGACCTTTTGCCGTTACATAATCGACACGGCACGCCAGAGCTCTTTCGACTTTGTATACTTGGACTCGGCGTCGGCGGCCTATATCCATCGAGACTCGAGCCACACAGCAAACTGCCTACATTAGATGACACGACATCTCGAAAGCTCAAAAAAAGGAGACGGTTGAGACACGCCAACACTGCAGTCGGAGCAGCTTCGAGGATCGGAGACAATTATATGGGTGGTAAAAACCCGTAGGCTCGATACTCGTATCCCTACTCTCTGTCTCTCTCGTCTCGTCCGAACCGTGCATGGGCCTCGTCCTCCCTTGGATGCGAGTTATACGAATGCGGCACGAACGTAAGAATGAAAAAAACCTCTCTCTCGAGGCGTATGTGCGTGTCCCATACGGCCAAAGGTGTATGTTATGGCATGCACATGTATTGGTACGCGCTAAGCTCGTGTGCGTGAGTCTGCTTATATGTGTAAGAATAATACAGAGGGAAGACCAGATGCGGTAACCGTTTCGCGTTTGGCTCGGTTTAGTTCGGGAGCAAAAAAAGCTAGACAGAAATCCGTCGATTCGGCGAGTCGAGCCGTTGCCGAGTACGGACACGCGTTCGTTGTACGCGCGGCAGAGATGCCGAGAGTGCCGCGGGCAGCTACGAGGGTAACACGACGCCAAGTTCGAGGCGATGCTGCTCGCGTCCTAATATACGATCGTCAAATTCCGAGGGTACGATTCCGAGGTACTGCCAAAGGGCCAACGTTTAATGGAAAAAGGGCTGCAAGGCTTACCTGAAGCTCGACGGCTTTGCGGCTGGTGACACGGTACAGCAGAGACATGATTGCTCGATGTGTTGTAGTAGTCTTGTCGAAGGACGATCCAAACTAAAGGAACAAATCTTTGAACGCACCAGGTGAGACACCACTCGCACGAGATACAATTCGTGAAGGGGGGGGGGAGAAGGAGACGAACGGAAAAAAGGCCAAGTGTTCCGCACTATCGGAGCTCTAGCACCCGACTCTCTCGCTCACTAGTCGAAAGCACTGCAGCCGCGTATTATGCCTTGCTCTTTCTCTTCCTCTCTCTCTCTTGCTCCTACGTTTTACCTATCTATCTCTCTCTTTCGCTTTAACTTTTAAGATTATAGCTGCTCACTGCGTGTGCTGGTGTGCTGGTGTGCTAGTGTGTGTGTGTATGTGTGTGTCGCGCCGTTGCCCGCTCATGTTATACATGTACAACACAAAGCCGCCGACGCACGCGCACCTTCTCCCTCCTACTCTTCTCCTCTTTTCTCTCTCTCTCTCTCGCTCTCTTTATCTATTCCAGTCCTGCCACTTCTTTCTTTACAGGCGCGCCAAATTATTCGTGCAGATAAATGCGAGGATTGCGTAAATTTAAATCGGCATTGGGTAAAACAGCTACAACGAACGAAACGACCTTACCGACAAATTGTCATTATTATTCTGGCTGCTGAAAGCGCCAAATTTCGAATTTTGCGCAAACACGTTAAAGAGCACAGCTTGTACACTTTTACGTTTACTTTTATAAACATTGCGTTTGTTTGTTTAAAAAGTATGGGAGGGGGAAAGGAGCGAGCGAAGAGCTAAGTACAAGTAGTTACCTTGAATTTCCCATCGAGTCGAGAGAAAAGGAAGCGGCGCATATTAGCCCGATCGTGTCATGCCGCTGCTCGGTGTCACTGGGTCAAGGTCTTGGGGCTCGCATCCGTTGTTTTTACGAGCGCAGGTCCGTCGGTCGATTCGGCCGAGTCTGGAGCGCGATCGCAAGGGCCAGTGCAATGCGGATCGGCTTGGAGTCGATTAGAGCGGTATGCAGGGCTCGATGCAGACTTGGAATCGCCGAGCAGCACGCGATCTTTGCATCGCTCGTCGCCAAAGCCTCTACCAAGCTTCAAGGGTCTGTGGGGGGAGCTCGAATCGCCCCAGAGAATGAAAAATGTTACTTTGGCGTTGCAGTTGCAGCTATATAAGTCGGCCGTGCGAGCTGCAGTCCCGACGAGCCGATATCACAACGTATAGGGTTGCTAAGCGACTGCTAACACGTATGTAGCGCATTACGTCCGAGGCTCGGAGCTCTCGCTGTACAAATGCGAGTCGCGTTCGCGCGTAACGTCGTGGACAGAGGATAGCGCACGGAGGATGCGGACGGGATAGATCGGGAGCAGAAAACATGCCTCTATCCGAGACGACCTACTGCATAGAGCAGATCACCGTGCCGCCCAAGCTGCCGGCCATACTCAAGCAGTTCTGCAAGTCGGCCATACGCACTCAGCCCTACGACCTGCTCAAGTGGTCCAGCGCGTACTTTCGCGCGCTCGCCAACGGCGAGGAGCCGCCGGCCAAGCTCAGACTCGAGTTCCCGCCCGAGTACAATGCCGCGCACAGTCTCACCTTCGGCTATCTCAAGGTCCTCCTCAGGCTGCTCGGACGTAAGTCGAAAGTTCATCGATCCATCGATCCCGTCTGCCCTTCCAATTATCTTCTCTTCTTTATGCGCAGCCGATTTGAACAAGAGCGTCGCGGTGGACACGGTACTGCAGCGCTGGGACTCGCTCTGCCTGGATCCGCGCGACGCCGAGCTCATCCTCGGCATCGGCAAGTTCTCCTGCGCGTGCGTCGTGAAAAAGTTCCTGGCCATCGGCCTGGGCCTGCTGAGTCGCAGCCTCACCGAGACCATGAGCAAAGTCTGCGAGCTCTTCACCAACGAGCCCGAGGGCGGCTCCGCTCTCATACCCTACAGCCTCTTCATGGAGATCTACGGCTATCTCGCGGGCCTGCGCTGCGACGGCTCCGAGAGGGCCAGCACCACCAGCTGCAGCTCCACCAGCGAGGACATCTGCATTTGCTCCTACGACATGTCCTCGAGCGCACCCTCCGAGGCCGGCTCCGCCGCGCCAGCCACCTCCCAGGACGAGCAGCTCCAGGACGTGCCGGAGCCGGCCCACGACGCGGCTGCAGCTCCGACTTCCTTCGCCAGTCAGGACACGGAGCGCGACGTCGATCTCGATTTTCACGACGATTTCGAATCGGCCATCAGTGAGTACTTTCCTAGTTGATGTCCTTCCACCTACAGCTGCTACTCAAACCTTTAATTCTGATAATCAACGACCCGCGCTTCAACTTCCCTTAGCCATGGAAAGCTTTGGCGAGGATGGTGAGCACAGCTACCTGCACGAGGCACCCTCGAGCATTCGATCGGCTTACGAACATCACGAGGAGGAGAAACTCTATGAGGAAGAAAAATCCTACCTGGAAGAAGATGTAATCAGTCGTAAGAGCTCGGTCGGCTCGACAAAGTCCAAAACCATCGTCAAGGAGGAGATTAAAAGCACCGAGAGTCTCACCAAGTACGAGCGAACGTCCATGACCGAAGTCGTTCCCGAGTCCCGCGAGTCCCTCAAAAGACAACCAGCCAAAGTACCAACCCCGAGCGCGAGTTCCGCTTCGACTCGGACGATAGACAAATTCTACCCTTACGTACCAGGTAAGTAATCACTTGAAACTCCACGCGGAGCTCACACATACGATCTCATATCACATCGATGACGATGCAGGCATAGGGCGTCGTTTGCTGGCCCAAGAAGTTGCCAATGTAGCTGTTTGGTTGAGCGATTGTTCGAGGCGACAAGCCGGTATGGTCGGTCCACGAAATATTCGACACATCGAGTGCCCTCCGCTCGAAGGGGCTTCAGCCTGCGACGCTACCGACTACAGTTACCGAAACGATCAATGAATTATGCGCTCAAAGTAATTTACCTCCTTTTTTTTTTATTTCAAAGACATTGTAATGTATGTATAGCCACGAAAAACTTTAAACGTATTTAAATATATATGCATGTCTAATATATTTACATGGCATACATAAATATATATTGTACATTTATAATTACGTTTAGATATATTGATTACTGCACAAATTGTTGTTATTGTTGTTGATCAGTCGTAAAATTAATGTAGAATAAAGTTATTCAGCTGCAGGTATTTAATAGTTGTAGTAAAAAAAAACAACGTAACTTTACGACTCGAGCGGATAGACCAATAAATCCATTATATATTTATATATAATAGTAAAATAAAGCAAAATTTTGATTTAACGTCAAACTATGTACAAGATTTTTGATAATCTTTCACTTGACTAGATCGTTGCAGATCATGATGTTTTTTTAAACATTATTGCAGCTGCAGACCGTTATGAGCATCAAAACAAAGAGACGCCAGACGAATTGTGATGGTGCGTCGGTAATCGCTGTCTGCTAATCTGAATAGTCGACGAGCAGCGTTTACCACCGTAAACCACTGAAGTGTGACGAATCGCGTGATACGAAATGAGCACGAGCAGCAGCGTAACGAGCAGCAGCACGATGTTTCGGGCTCTCGTGCGATTTTGACGCCACTCAAATAGCTCGTGTCGATGAGTGAAACGATTCCGATACTGCAGGGGTAGCTCGAAACTGCTTCTTTTTGGGTAGAGCGATCGATAAAAATCGTTGAGTAGAGCTCGGACTACTTCGTTGTCCGATTGCTTCGATGGATCTAGGTCGTCATTGAGACATATGAATTTCCTGAAATCAAAGCAATTTTTAATCGCTCGAATCGATTTCTTTTGTACATTTCTCGTTGTTAATATCGCTTACTTCGGTTCGCTTCGAATTTTGTCTAATACTCTGACGGTCGTCGTGACGTTACTTGTTAGCATTTCAAATATTTCGTTTTTACCAGCCTCGACTATTTTGTGCTGGTACTTTTGCAACTTGCCAAATTTCGAATGCAGCATTTTGACTACCGATTCACAGTTTAATATTAATTCACGCGTGACTGTTGGCTGTACGGAAATAAATTCGGGTGTAAAAGTTAGAAAATACGGAAAGTATCGATTGTTGAATGTATACTTACCAATGATGAATCGATATATCTCTCGTTAGGAGGAGGTGTGATGTTTGAATTATCGTTTAATTGAAGCAAATCTGAACAGTTAATTATTTTTTGTTCAAAATCGACAACGATACTATAATCGAGTGGTAATGGGTACATTCGAGATAACAAAGTTCGAATTTCTCTGTCAGACCAAGTCCTGGAAAATTATATTAGCTTTTCAGTGTGATTATTTATTTTTATTTTTATTTTAAGCAGAATAAGAGATAATAAACTCACTGTGATTTGTCCGTGTCGAAAACATCGAAAATATTAGCTATCGGCACATCCTGTTTCTCACTGAGTAAAAAATAAAAATAAGAAAAAGCGAATTGCATGTCATTCGAGCTTCTCACGCGATGACTCGATGTTATATCAAATTCTTTTGCAAATTTTAATTGCATATCCACAATAATTTGACGATCTAATAAATGTGGCATATGAGCAGGGACTTTGCGTCGAGCAAAACCATAAGCTTTGTTGTAAATTCTGTTGACGTTTAACAATGATTCGGCGTATGTATCCAAAGAGCGTGTTTTCTTATTTTGTTGATCAGATTTTTGAAAAGAATCGTTAACATGTACTAAATTAATAATATCGTCATTGGCAATGTATTTTTTTATCAACCGTCTATCTGTATTATTTGCAATATTTGTGGGATGAAATGTAGATATTTTTTTTTTTGTCGTTGCACTATTATTGTCAGTATTTTTTTTATCCTTGTGAAGTTTTGGGACATATTTGTAAGGTACTTCTGTAAAGACATTATTTTTTTTAGCTAATTTTTGCAATGCTTCTTCCCAAGGATTATTATCAAAAAGTAATGATCTCAAAGTATTTAAAGTTGAATCATTTATTCCTGGAGATATTGATTTTTTTCTCAACTGGATTGCTTCAAGTAGCTTTTCAACACCATTTGATCCTAGTTTAGTTTCTTGCATATACTTAGAAGGATAATCATCCTCAATATCTTCTCCATATTTCTCTGACTTATGTTTAGTTATATCACAATCTCCACCTATGAAACAATTTAAAAAAAATTAAATTCAGCACTTAAGTTTAGTCAAATATAAATTAATATTACCATCAAATTCACACAAAGTTGTGTTACAAGAAGGATCACATGCTCCATCTTGCACCCATGCCCAAGGACATGAATCTGAACAATCTGGTACCCACCAAGCTAAATAAACTTTTTGCCCACTTGCAAAAGTAATAAAATCTTCAGGCCATACTGTATCGCCTAACATAACATCATCATTAAAGTACAAAAATTTATTAGATAATCCAGGAATCCTGAGAAAATAAAAAAAACAGCAAATTTAATTTTTATTATTAAAAAATAGATTTTAAATTTCTAAAACAATAACTACCTGTGTATATGACTTTCTATAGCTGGACTAGAAAATGTTGGTAAGTGACTGATATTGATAAAAATATCCTCATGCGTTATAAGAGATACTTTTGGATTATCCATATCCAGCCAGCTTGGTATTTGTCCATTGGTAATAATATAAACTTTTCGTACCCAAGGAGCATACATTTCCAATGATCTGAGTGAATATTTTAATTCATCCTTGTCACTAAATCTAGAGGGTGCACTATTAACACTAGATGTTGGTACATAAGAATGTAAACTCTCAAGGAACTGTGGATCAGAGCCATTTACCCAAGTGTAAACAACATCGATAGGTACATGTTGACAAAGTTGCTTTTGAAATGATATGCCTAGTATGTTATCGTTAAAGGAATGAAACACCAATTTATATTTTTCTTTGCTCCAAGTCACCCACACCTAATCCATAAAGAACATTTGTTGATTACTTAAATTATTATATGATTTGAAAGTTCAATAAGATTACCGACCTCGCCAAAGTGGATAATTCCAACGAATATGCAGGTGAGTGCGACGAGGACAACTAGTAGCGAGTAACGATGGGACAAAAGATCGTAGCATCGTCTCTGTAAGAGCTTCCAAGCACTCATGCTGCGATGATAATTTGAATTATGAACGAGTGAAAACTCGACACCAGCAGTCATCAACTCGTCATTGTGCAATGATTGTTGTTGCTGATGGAGCACCGCCTCCATTCACACTTGGCACCGGCCGGTCTACTTGCTCGTCTATCCTTGGCAGACTTTACCTAAACGCTCGACTGCACTCCGGTATATACTGTTTTCTTATCGTGATGTTGTTGTTGCAGTTGCAAGTAGAGTCGGTCGTTGGCCGGCACACTGCCTCATCGTCCGGTGCTGCTGCTTCTGCCTCAACTGCATCATATTCGCCTCGCTGACTAGACATTCGCTTTGAGTTTTTTATGATACTGCTGCGATGGGCTTATTTCCGCGTGCAGCAATTTTCACGCGCAAGCAAATTCGTGTGTTGTATGCACTCATTACACATAATATCCTCCGTTATAAACTACTGTTCGTCTGCAAGTGTCAGTAAACTTGCGGCAGTGCGCTCTCTCAAGCATTGAACCCCCTCCACGCACAAGTATGTAAGTCTCGCATTAATATGATTGGTGCCCAAAAAAAGTCCATGCATCGGATAGTTTTTAGAAGCGATTCTTATTGAATGAACGCAGCTGGATGGAGAACAAAGAAAGATAGTGCAAAAGGTAAATAAATTAAAGCTGTACATTTTATGATGATAATTTATTTACCAATTTTCAACTTTTAAAATACAAATGCAGATGTAAACATATGTTTTTATTTATATATGCATATAATTCAATGTTTAATAATAAATCTCACAAAAAATTCTTGATTTAAAACATATATAAAATGTCATTTATACTTTTGTCTTACATTATTTTTATGAGTAGTTTGATTTTCTTTTTCATTTTGTTTGTTAACTCACTGAGTTTTTATTTAATCATTGTGCGAAAAATTAGATTATAATTTATAACTTTTAATACTTGAAGATATTTGTCAGTATGATTACGTAAAAAATCTTTGATTCATTATTTCACAAGTGTACCATAGATGGTTTTTGCTTATACAGTAATCGGTATGTGATAATATATGCGGTTTACATGTGGTTATTCAAATACAAAAAAACTTTCATCATTTTTTTGTAAAACATTGAAAAAATTCGTTAAAGATTAATAAACATTTTTTGTGTACTTCATTCTATGGTCTATTGATTACATAGTAAATGATCATTTAATACTTAATTGTAAAGTAGAGTCCCTGTAGACCGATCTCTTTTTTCTAATGTAATAGATATTATGCTGGTAATTATTATAATAAAGATGTCACAAGATTATGCAAATATAATATTCACTACCACTTTATCACTACAATAATATTCTATAAGTAATATTTATTTGCATTCAACTCCTTTTTTTTTATACATCATAACGTTTATCAGAGGTTGTTTTTAATTTTTGATTTTAAAGAAGCTAATTTTTAATTTTTGCGAAAAAAAATTGATAATTCGCTCAAAATGAAGTTTTGAACACCTTCTTTCAACTTTGATTTATTTCTTAGATTGTCTTTTTGTCATTTTTATTTTCTCTTCATGATATTTTAGTGTAAGAATTTCTTTTTTCATTAATTTGTCTTGTTTGAATTTGATACAATATTTAAGCTCATATGCTGCATTTCAATTTTCATAACAAAAGAATTTCCAAAAATTTATAAGACATTAGTTATAATAAAAGTACAAAAAAATTATAAAAATTGTATGTACTTACATTCACGATAAATACATACATTTTATCAGTTTCTCTGTATATCAGGTCACATGGAGAAATCAGATAAAAAAACTATTGCTATACTCGACATTACGAAGTCAGAGTAAATAAAATATCAGAACTGGCTACCCCTAACAATAATAATAAAATACTTGTTATTGCAATAAATATTCAAAGGTCAGTGTCGTACCAGGGTGCAGGAACAGAACTGTCTAGCTCTTCATGATGATCAAAGCTGAGTTCATTATCTGTTGTAGTTACATCCATTGCATCAATTGCTCCAAATGTAGAACCCCCGCCAATTTCTAGTCCTTGCATTGAGTCTACTGGTATCTGGTCATAGCCTATAAAAATCAAAAACTAAGTAAATATTTGGAATAATTAATTTATTCATAAAGTGCAATTTGATAAAAATGGTGAAAAATACTTTTTAATAATAAATTTTGAGTTGGTGTGCAGTGATTAATCTGAATAATATTTTTTTAAACTAAAATTCTTTTAAACAAATAGTTCTATTTTGCAAAAATTTATCTTTAAACATTTGCAAACAAAATAATATAATGAAAATAACTTTTTCTAATATAAAAAATTAAAACAAATTTCACAATTTTAAAATTATAATAATAAAAAATTAGGATTCAAGTTTTAATTTTATCTACAGAGTATTAACTTGTAACTTTTGATAAAATAAAAAGTTTGAATATGAATTTCCAAGTGATTATATGTGTTTGAATTTTAAAGTGTAATCTCAACATGCATAACGTGTATACAAATACACTAAATACATCTATAGCATAGCAACATAAAAATGCAAACATCAAAACAAACTAGATGAAAATAAAATTTCTAATTTATGCCAATTTTAGGAAATGTTTCACCTATGATGTTAAGCTGGGTATGTTATCCTTTTATTTATAGTTTAATCCATGGGTCAGGCTGTTCGAATAACAAAATAATTTGAGATTTTCTATGAATTTAAGATATTTGATAAAATATGAACAGTGATTACTGCGAAAGTGACATGTAATCAATGAATGAATTCTTTTAAGGTTTGATATTGATTGCCCTCTAATACCCAATTCATTTTTTTCATTTTTTTGTTTTAGATAAAATTTGTATAGTTGAAAAAGTCACATTTGGAGTAAGAAAAATATGAATTATAGGTACTTGTGATAATGAATTCATTTCATTATGCAACATAGTCCATTAAATTTTATATCAATTGAATGATTGCATGAATGAATAGAATAATGGTCTGTTGATAATGATTAAGACAATCATTTACCTTGAGGCTGATACATTCTACCTCCATGGCTGCTGTGTAAACTAGGTGGTCCTTGTCCATACATACCCTCATAAGTTTGTTCAGTGTTTCCAAGCATATCCTGAGAATTTCATCAAATATAGAGGTAAAAACAGAATTATAATAAGAAATAATAATAATAATAATAACAACCATAATAATGATTATAATAATTACAATATAAAAAAACTAAACTACGTTAAACATTCTATTTTGAACATTGAGACTATATAATGAAAACAAAAATTTACATTATTTTATAAGCTAAGCTCACCAACAGAAATGTAGAAGCAAATAGCATATAATAAAAAGCAATTGTAAGAATACCAAAAATTGTTTGTCTTGTGTGTAAAATTTACGAGTAAAGCTTTTTCATTTCAAACTTTGTACATAAATTTATTTGAATATATTATTTTGAAATAGTTTCAGATGATATATGTATGCTATAAAATTGAAAATCATGCTATATTATACTACAATAAAATAATTAATATTTTCTCTCAACTTTTCTTCGCAGATATCAAAAACTTACTTGTAAATCTGGACCCATTCCAAAATCTGCATTGTTCCATAAGTTTGTATCCTCTCGCAGTAATGAATTTGTCAACTCTAGCGATAACCGCTTTTTGTAGTCTTGTGGCTTATCTTCGCTCATGCGGAACAAAACTGCGGCGGCGTAGGTTGCGACACCTTCATTGCGTGAATGAAGAAGTTCTGTTAAAGGAGCCGTAGCTCCTTGTTGTTCTATCATCTCTGCACCTTCTTTGTCAGCTGCCAATTCACAAAGTACGCCAGCGGCCACCCGTTGTATGTTTTCAATTTCATTGAACAATAACTAATCAATAGACGATAATCAGAAGATCGGATGAAATTTAATAAAATCATTTTTTGTTTCAACATTAAAAATATTAACTAAAGATCGAGATCTCTTACCTGTACGAAAATGGGAATAACATTTTGCGATCTTATGATGCTCCTATTGTGAGACTCTCTGGCAAGAATATGAAGTGCGCCAACCGTGCCTTCGACTATTTCTTCCATGCGAACACCATCGGCGTAAGTGGCTGGGGGTACTGCGCCACCGACATTTCCAACTGCAGATCGTTGCTGAAATTAAATTTTTAACGTTTATTCAATAAATCAAAATGCTGAGTGGATAACAAAAGTTATTATGAATAACTAACATTTTGGGTATCCTGGAATGCACGAAGTAGTAGACGAACTAAATGAGGTATTGCACCGTGGTCCCTCAGTGGGCCATGATTAGCGGGACAGAGAGCCAAGTTTCTTATGAGACCAATGACAGCTTTAACCAAAGGCCATCGAGACGGAGGCTGAAGCAACTTAACGATTACTTGTATTCCATAATTCAGTCGAACAGAATTTTGAGCCATTTCTGCCTCAATGTGTCGGGAAGTTAAATGACGCAAAGCACAAACGGCTGGCTCGGTGATTTCCTCGCGATCGCCTGCGTTGACAATTGTACGGACAAGAGCGTCGACGCCTCCAACTTGGTAAACAGTGACCTTGTTGCGCTGATTGTTGCAAGTGAGATTGGATAATATACCGGCGGCACAGGTGACAACGTTGACGTCCGTGGAGGCTAGAACTTGAACGAGACTCTGCAGAAGACCTTCGAGGCCGTCAACTTTGGTGCCAGCATCGGAAAGATTGCGCAGGGTCCACAAGCAGTTTTGTACGAGACGTTGACTCGCATTTCCAAGATGCATCGCGAGAGCTTGCATACCGCCAGCTTCGACGATAGCTGGCTTGTTGCTCGGGCACACCGAGAGAACTGTAAAATCGTATTAATTAAAGATAAAGAAAGAAAAGATATAGTTTTGAAAATCTATGAAAAAGCTACCTTTCAGAACTCGAGAAGTAGTCCAGAGGAGCTTCTCGTAGTCGAAAGTGCGCATGATGCGCACGAGCTCGGCGGGTCCCTGACTGGCAAGAATTATGAGCTTGCTCTCCTGGTTGCCGTAAGCCAAAATCTGCAGACAATCGGTTACGATAGCTAAGAATTTGACGTTATTGCGCTGCAAGAGGATGACCATGCGCTGCAGACCGCCGGCTAGACGCACGGCCATCTTCGAGCCTTCCTGATGAAGGAGAAGATTGTGCAAGGTCGTGATGGCGTAAAACAGCACCGACTCGATGTTCGAGCTGAGGAGCTTGACAAGCGCTGGTATACCGGCGCTCTTGAAAATGGCCAGCAAACCCTGTCTGTGATGAGACAAGTTGTGCAGAGTGCCAACAGCTGCTTTGGTCGATTCGAGGTCCTCGCTGTTGGAGATGGCTCTTACGAGGGCAGCCACCATCTGTGAGCTGTTCATGATGGCGTGTCTAGAGGCTTCCTTCTTCGAGAGCTGATGAACCATCATAGCAGCTTGCGAAACGACAACCTGATCCTCGTCGTTGAGCAGTTTAATTAGCTCGGGTATGGCGCGGGTCGCGAGATCGGCGTCGTCCTGGTAATTGATGAGATTGACCACAGCATGCTTCAACATCTGGCTCGGTTCGGATAGGCGCTGCACGGCCGTAGCCTGGCTACCGTCGAACTGCGTCGACGGGATTTCAATGCCTTCCTCCAGGGTCTCGGGGAACATGGCCGCGCGGACACGCTGAGATCGCGTGTGATTCAGTTGCTGGTTCATCTCGTCTACCTGATCCTGAGTGAAACCCTGGGCGAAGCCTTGGTCGAGATCGAACATCAGCTGATCGCCCTCGATCTCATCGTCTTCCTTGCCGCTCAAAGACGGCGCCTGGGTCGCGGCCCCCGAATGGATACCCGAATCGGCCATGTAGGTGTTTTGCTGCCACATTAGGGTTTGCTCCTTGCTCGAACACATTGGCAAATCGGCTGGACCTTGCTGATAGTTTCCATGCGACACTGTTCAGAAATAAATCGTATATTCTCATCCACTTCGCTTGACACTCGTACTCGGACGCGATTCATTTGATACTTACTCGGCCTGGATTGATTCTGGGGCATTTGATAACTCATGATTGACTTGTTGCGGTGCCTTCACACCTGCTAAACAAATTATTTCAAACCATTTATTGTCCAGTTTTAATTTTAATTGGCAAATGTTAATAACAAGCGATTAAATCTATTTTCATGGATTAATATTGTACTGGCTTAATAAACCAACGAGATTCTAAAATAGTTTTCACGTTGCGTTTATTAATACGTTAAGTTGAAATAAAAATTAGTGACTGAAAAACATGTCCAAAGTATGATGAAAATTAAATTTTTCACATTTTTTCTCGAAAAATCTTTTAAAAATTGATGAATTAAAAATTAATTGCTCGAGCTTCAAAGCGAAAATTTCTCAAATTTGTTCTCAGTGAGTTCTTTTTCGAGTTGCTCGCAGGCAAACGATACAAGGCGAAACTGAGGATTAAAAAAGGTGCAGCCACAGAGCAGTAGCATTAGAAGCCGCTAAAAGAAATATATAAGTTTCGCGTACATAAAAAAGGCACCGGCAGTACCATACCGCATTCATATGTGCGCGCGTGTGTGAGTATACGTATTCGATTCTACATTGCAAACATTTTTTCTCTTTTTCTTTCGACTCTCTTCGTCCCACGCCAAGTTCGTGCAATTTCGGGATGAAACGAAAGTTGCAAGGGAGCCGCCAAAGAAGCATTGCGGTATGTATATATGTATGTATGTATGTATGTATGTAGTGTTTATACATATACATGTACACAAAACTGCGACCATACAAAGTGCTCTCGCCTTGGTATATGTGCATGCACCCATGTACACATCGATCCAAGAATGAGTCGAGCGACTCTGCGTGTGTGTATACATGCGTATATGTACAAGTGTACGAGCTCGTGTGGGTGTGCGCGGATATACTTCGTGCATCAATGTATAGATGTGTGTTATGTACAAAGAGAAGCACAAGGGAAGAGCCTAGAAGCTAAAGAGAAAGAGAAATATGTGAAAAAAACATACAAGAAATCTCGATGTTTGAAGAAGCGAAGAAATGAGAAAGCGAGAGGATATGAATGAATAACTGATTCGTACATATAGTATGGTACATATAGAAGAACGTTTTATTACAAAAATTCTCCAAGAAGCATACTAGTACGTCAATTTCACGGGTCGAGACGATCGAGATAAACGAGATTATTGAACTTGTTCGATGATACGCACGAACATGTATACACGTTACGCACTCGTGAGTACATAATATGACACATGCCTGATACGATTCACAATCACACGGAAAAATCCTCGACACTCACTGATGTTCGCACTCACTCGCGATGCATTCTATACCTTGTACCCTATCTCTCACTCTACTCTTGTTCAGGTTCAGTTGATCGTCACCGATTCTACTTACCGTTTATCTCGCTATGTGCAGTTATTGAATGAAGAACGTCGCGAAATCGACGCCTCTTATCGCTGTATCGTTTTCTGACGTATATATATATGTACGACTGCAGGCCGGAGCTGCGCCGAGCTGGCACTGTATACTCAGATATAAACTATTCGATGTAGCAATGCTGCTGCGAACTGTGCACTGTGCACGAGGGTAAACACACACACACAAGCACACACACACACCAAAAGCACGTATGTGTACTACTGTACGTGACGCACTGTCTGCGAGTTCTCAAATCACGAATTGCGCGTAGGGATTTTCGCACGCGCACACTGCAGAGACATACGCCAAACTCTCACCTATACGCAGAATCGCACATTCCGACGTTTTTGTTTTCGAGGTGGGGCGTAAGTACCGCGCACCGACACTGCTACCTGTGTAATGTAGGCACACCTACACGCATCCACCTACTACTTGCTCCTCAGCTGCTCGAGCCTCGAGAGGACGACTCATCGAAGCGATCTGTGCGTCAACATGTGTATCAGGCGTTTGCCGACGTAGCAGCTTAAAGCGGCTCGAGTAAAACGTCTAAATGTTTGTCTGCCGATGGATAAGTAGAATGCGGTGGGGAGCGGCCGATACATCGCTCCGTGCGAGCGCGATGAGTACAGCGAGAACACACGTATGATCTACTAGTGAAATCGCTCATAACATGAATCATCATCGCCATCATCGTCTCGAAATCATAATCATCAACGCTTTCTTGCACCGCATTTCTCTATCCGTCTTATTGACGAGATATATATAGAGAGACTCAAGTATATGTATTATTGCAATTGTGCAGGTTTTATCCAATGTTTATGGAGGTTCGTTTCTTTGGATCGAGGCACTATAATATTGGGTCATTGAACAGCGATGTAGTTTCGCGACCGTCGCATCCATTTTCGGAACTTTGTCATTGCCGGATGCATATTAATTTCATATAAAAAACATGAACCACGTACACATGTCACGTATAGTGTATATAGGTAGCCATAAAAAAATAAGCATTGTAAACAAAAAGGTGAAGAATGAAGCAGCAAAGTATGAGGGTCATTTTTTGGCCCATAGGGCAAGAACTCGTTCAAATCTTTAAAAGTACTTTTAGCTTGTTGTTTTTTTGAGAATCGTCTTTTCGAGTCAGGAATTCGATCAATTCGGTGCAAAGATTTCCATCTTCCGATTCTACGAATCTTCCGGTTTATCGAAGAAAAATCAAATTTCATTCGAAATATTTGATTTTGTCGGTACGTGGCTCAGACTTTTTTGTATTTTCGTGCTAAAATCTTACAAACGCAGAGTTACAGCAGGGACACACTGCGGCGCATGTCTCGGAACATGAGAACTGAGGGGCTGGGAGCGCTGTGCTGCTTGCCTGCCGCCTGCGTTACTTATGTTGTTTGGAACTATCGGCACTCTGCGTGCTGTGCAATGCGCCACTGCGGCTACTACCACATTTACAAAAACTGATCGAGTAAGCTGTGTATATAGAGTTAAGAGAGTAGTACACATTGTCCGTCCCCGCGATCCACGCAACATTGCCCCACAGTCGTCGACTCCATAAGTTCCCAGCTGCTCTTATATTCAATCAATTAATAGATCGTAGTTGTGTAAAGATTGTAAAAGGCGAATTCATCGTCGTTCCCATAAAAATTCGACGTTGTGCTTTCGGTGTTTACAATTTGTAGTCGTACCTTGGCTTTACCAATTTCATGTGGATAACCTCACTTTAGTGCATCTCGCAGTCTGTGTCTCAACCCCGTTGATCCCTTAAAATAGTAAACAGAGTTTTGGATATACGCTCGAGTGTGTTACAGTAAAGGATAGACACCAGAGATTGAAACTTAATAAAATCCAAATATTCAACATGGAATCCGGTGGTCACAATCATCCCGACTTTCACGATGCCGCTGAGCCTGAAAGATACACTGGTGGGGGCAGGGGTCGCGGTCGTGGTCTGAGACCTAACGACCAGGATCAGCCGCCCTTATTGCGCAGGCCGCATCAACAAGCTTCAGCTCCTGGTAAATTTTCTTTTTTATAATTTTTTTTTTTTTTTCAATTTTTTTGAAGTTAATTACAAAAATTATTGATTTAATTATTAATTGAACATTATAATATATAGGCAACGATAGTGAGGTTGTACGTACTTCAGTCCTTTCTCCAGAAGCTGCCGAGTTTGTTCCTAAATCTTTTACTTCGGTAAGTTTTTGTCCTAACTCAATATTTGAAATAAATTTATTTAATACAATTCGATGATCGATGAAAATATTTTTTTGTATACAGTCTGCTTCTGGAAACAGATCTTCAGTTCAAGATCGCCTTCAACTGGCTAGGGCGGAACAAAATGTTCACCACACTATGGTCCAAAGACACCACCAACAATCTCAACATCAACACTTTAATTGGCAGAGTCATGGTCAACCATCACAATACTATCAACATCAAAACTATCCTGACATGGGATATCAAAACGTACAATATCAGCAAATGTACAATCAACATTATCCATCACATGCTCAAGACTATAATCAATATGATAGTGGAGCTGGTGATTATGATGATAAATACATGGTAAGGTTTATATTTCATATTTATGAAAATAGATTTAAAAAACACTTGTTCATTTCATGTTTTTGCTTTTAGCCTAGTTCAGGAGCAAATGATATCAACAGTTCAGTGATGCAACTTGAAAATGCAATGAAAACTTTGACTATGAATCCTGGTAAATTTGATTCTTTAGTTCCACATTTAGTTGATACTGTGAGCCCATTTTTGGAAGATGCAAGTCATTGTGAAAAAATTTTCAATTTGATCATCCAACAGGTATGTAGTGACTAGAATTTATAAATCTATTATTCACAAAGTATTGAAATAATGTATTGAAATTTTTCAGTCAATCAATGAGATGAATTTCCGATACAGTGGAGCAAGATTGTGTACCCACTTGGATACTGTAGTACTTGCTACAGAATCCAATACATCTGTTTTTAGAGACACTTTAATTAAAATGTAAGTGAAAAATTCTAGTACCTTTTAAATATTTTTTTATAATTACTTGCAAATTAATAATCTCATTTTTCTCAGATGTAAAGATAAATCTGAAGAGCAATCTGCTGCATGGCAGCAAATAACAAAACACACAGACGACGTGGAAAAGAAGTGTCATGGATTAATATTCTTTTTAGCTGAATTAGTTACACAGATGGAGTTGGAGCCAGCTACAGCTTTGGGAAGATTACTGACCAAACTAATCAGTACTATACTTCAGAATCCAGGTCCTAATTCTGCCAAAAATGTTTGTCAAGCTCTCAAGGTAATACATGTTTTTACAACTTTACATACAATTAATTCTGTAAACTAAAATCAATTGAATAAATTCGATTAGTTGGCTGGTCAAAAGCTAGAACGAGATAATCGAACTGATATGGAGCAAGTTATGCGAAAATTGTCCGATCTAGTCATTGAAGGAAAAGTTGACCAAAACGTAGGTCGCATGGTTACTAGCGTAAGTGAACTGAGAAGTGGTAACTGGGGTGCTGTGTCTTCTCAACCTTCTTCAGAAGTTGTAGAAGAGCCTAAAAACTTGAGAGTAACAAATGATACAGTTTTTTATGGCCCAGATGGGCAAATATTATCAGAAGAAGAAAGCAGATTTTTAGCTTCTGCAAATAGAGAAGATTCCTTGTGAGTATTAAAAATTAAATTAAAATTCATCAACATAAACTTAAAAGGAAGGTAATAAAAACAATTTTTAATTATTGCAGAATTCAAGATCAATGGGAGAATGATAAAGACAATGATCCATTGGCTGAAGCATATGAAGAGTATTTGCACGATTCTGAAAATCCAAATCATAACAATGTACAGTCTAACTCTAGAGATTATTAAATATAATGAAGACGACATTTTTTAAGTGCATTGGGTAATATTGTCATTGTCCTACATTTAAGCAAAAGCCAATAATTTTCCAAATCTACTATATGTATATTGATGAAAGAAAAATCGAATGTGTACAGTTTATATTCTGTGTTTAACAGAAACTTAGTCTAAACAGATACAATGTCATAGTACAAATTGTACTTAGAGTTAAATCTTATGAAATTATCAAATGTACGAGAAAATAGTACTGTGTTGAAAATCTGACATATAGTGTTGATAAATATGTCTTTAAATTAATTTTTTTAGTTTCTCGTAGGTATATTAATTTGTGAATGAATTTAAATCAGCTTGTAATTATTCTATTATTATGTATTTATAATTCCGATTTTTTTACACGATTATTCAACAAATTCTTAGCAATTTTTTTTTATAAATTATCAGTTTTTTTATAGAACCTCGATAAATCTCGATACTTTAGGATTTCGGCCACACTTTTTTAAGCATAAATAAACATGAATAAATACAATCCCTAGATTTTTTAACTTTATCTATAAACGCATAAATTGTTTCTTTAAACTGACCCAATTCATAGCATTAATTAGTTTTGAAAATTTAATTCAATTTTTATTTCTACTATTATGACTAAATGACTGAAATTTTCAAAGTTGGTTTTGTAATTGCAGACACGTTTAATACTTCCTGAAATAATGCCACCCCATAGACACTCAAAATTTATTTATATATTATTTTTAAATTTGTTCTAATGACTCTACTATGTTACCACAACGACTAGAACTAATGAATTTGGGAAACCATTTATGTTTATGAGTTTTTTCAGTAACAATTTGCATAGTCAATTCGTGACCATTTATCCAAAATTATACAGGCAAGCCACACTTACTGCATCCTCCACAAATAGACTATAAAATTTTCTTACTTTTTGATGCAGAATGCAGCAATTTTATTGTTAACCAGTCACGATACGTATTTCATTTATGTATATGAGATGTATTATACAGCAATTTAATTAATTTGATGAGTTTTGGTTTTACTTGGTATGAAATTATATATATCTCGTACATAATGCATACGTGTAACGTAGAGTGACAATAAATCGCAGATTATGTGATGATATTACGAAGTTAATTTAGAAAGAATTAATTGTTCTTTCTTGTAATGAGATTCTAAAAGATTTTCTTATCATCTTTTTAATCATGGGCATATGGTTTGCTTCAGTTTGAAAGATTTAATTTCTTTGTAAAAACTGGTACATACCAGTTGAAAAAAAAATTTCGCGAGCTAACATTTTGCAGATCTAACGAGGGGTACGATGAAGAAGTGTACACATATAGGTAGATCAATCAATCAATCAGGTGTGGTATCAACATATTTTACCATATTTATCATAAAAATAATGTCAACCGTTAAAATTTATATGGTTGTTTTTGAATTTCAGTTTGAAACCCCAGCCTTTCCCCTTAATTAAATCCCATGGGCCATGACCTGCCTGAATATCTTATCCTACGCGTGTGCATAAGTGCCTTGATAAATGCGTATTTTTTTCAATTCATGAGAGTTTTTGCTTCGACCTGAAAAGTTATAGATGATTTAAGTATTAACTCGGAATTATTTTCACTAAATTTTCGTGACTGTATGAAATAATAACTGTAATTTTTTTATCCGTGTTTCTCAAAAGTTGAATACAACTTTTTTGTTTCAAACTTTTATTAATCGAATATGTTTTTAATTGGAAGGATCCTCTTGTTTTTAGTTTGTTACTTTATTGTGGAGAAATTCGAACATTTTGAATGCAATTACAATTAAAAATAAAAAATTATATGTTTTATCATGTCAGTAGCTATAAATATCACACTAGTCAAATAAAGATAATGAAAGCCGCTAAAAAGTGAAAACACGTTCAAATGCTGTTTCATCAACATCATCTACATAAAAAACTCGATTCAGCCATTACTAACTAAGCGACTTGATAAATGCCAAGAGACTTTTATGAAATGCCCACACCTTTTTTAACCATTATTGTAATTGCTATATTTTTTTTAATTTGAAGCGTGACATTTTGTTAGAGTGTCGATGTAGAAAACAATGTCTGCCATACTTTAATGATGAATGTTTTTTTTTAATAACAAAAAGGTTTTATTAGTAAAAAATTGAATTTACTTCAATAAATAAAAGTAAAAATTTCAATCAAGTATTTAAATTAATGAATGACTGTTTTACATTTGTATTTGACGTATATTTTTTGACGACCTTACAATATTTTTCTATTTTATTAAATTGTTTCTGTCCGTTAAACTTGAAAACTCATTACACGTATTTAGAATATATTAGTTAACATAATGTAAGAAAGCTCAATGGATTTTATGGATTTCATGAGAGTCATGATCGAACTTGATGATATTTTGACTTTTATGTTTCTCTTTATAATAATAAGCTACTTAAATAGTCAGAATTTTTTGGAGTAAAGAAGTTCCTTAAAATTTGGACACTGTCAAGTAAAAAGCTTTTCACTACTTTTTAGTACTTTTTTCACTCAAGGCTGAGCTCGGAATTTTTCAATGTTAGTAATAAAAATGGATTTCGAAAAAATGTAACCTTTGACACTGTAATAAAGAGTGATAAACGGTTTAAAAAGTTTTAATAAAAATTTGGAGATCTGTATGAAATCAATGAACAAATTTTGAGATTAAGACATTATACTAAAGATGAATCGATGATGTTTTCTCTTAGCTTTTATCGCGTGAGATATATTTAATTCGTCGAATAATCGCGTAGCGGCAATCGTCGAGAGCCGTTACTTTGCCTGACAGTGTATAAATTACTGGAAAATTAAAAAGATGAAACGATTTTTTTTCTACCGTACTGAAAAATTGTCTCTCATTATTACGAATACGCTCTTATGTTTCCGCAACCGAGAAATTTAAGTGCGCGCGCATTTAATTGAAATGTCGCCCGTCGTGCGTGGTGGCTGAACTGCACAGGCCGCTATCGTTTTTCCCAGCGCTGGGCCAACTCATCATAGCAGGCGCCGTGAATGCTACGCTCTAACATTGCGGTCAGTCGTTATTGTAGTCTCAATACGAAGATATTCTATCTCCAACATTAAGACATATAAATGCCTATAGGGAATGTTCCGTTACAAACGAATGAGCACATATCTACAAATGATTTATAAATGATGGCTAGGAACTTGCTTCTTCCTTATTGTAAACGGTCATGGACTGCAAGAAAAGCTTCTTCCCCTCTCTCGTACGATCGTTATACCCTTCGGACAACTTCTCCTTTTCGAGGAAACATCAACACATAAAAGAAGCAGACTCGCACACACACACACACATACATACACACTTGTTCTGTCTCTCTCTCTCTCTCTCTCTTTCTCTATCCATTGGTGTGCAGACTGCAGACAGGCCCTTAGCTGTGTGCGAATCGTGTGCGTGGTAATCATGGAGGACGACTCCAACTACTACATACACACAACTACACAGAGATGGGCCTGCGTCGGATTTCGACCCTCATCTAACGCATCATCGTTCTCGATTTATTAAAATTTCGAAATAGAAGACTGAACAAGGGAGTGAAAGTGTATAATTAATGAGTTCGTGTATTCATCTTGAATTAGTGATCGAATGTACTGCTATAGGAATTCTTATGCAAATGGTAACGAGTGAAAGTCAAGGTACACTGTGAGAAGAAACAGCGCCGAAGGGCTATTCAAGCAAGGTTAATTCCTAATTTTATATACGAGAAAAACAGATAAGAATTCGGAAAAGTATGTGCTGCTGCCCTTTCGCACTAATGGTACTCTCTTTAAATTGAAATCATAAAGTACAAGTAAAAGCGTCGAATTGAGCGACGTTACAGCCATTTAATTTAGATCTTTTTAAGTAAACAAAACAAGACTGCACAAGTACGATTTATACGTATTTTATCAAATTTATTGAAGTTTTACAAAATATATCAAGCGACGCTCGCCGTGAAGAGCATCAGTGTTCAAGATTGCGCTGTTTATTGTATGTAAAAGACTGCATAAAGGCAAGCTGTGTTAGGTTCAAATACTTCAAGAGATGCAAAACATAGTGGATTCATTTGGTGATCTTCCAGCATTGAATAATTCTCACTTGGAGATATATTTATAATTCAAGGATATGATTAAAAAACAGAGCGCAAAAGCTTTAATATTTGTGGTGAATTCAAAATCGCAAGAGAGAAAACAAATCTAAAAAGGTAAGAAAATACCACTGATGCGAATCACTTTCTCACATTCACGCAGCTGCTTTCTTCAAGTGTGCGTGTGTGCAAGAGAACTTGTGTGAGTGCCGAATCTTGCGTACGTAGATATATGCTATATGCTTATATGCGTGTACGGTATATTCTTGAAAGATCAACGTATCGTGGATATGTCTTAAGTATACTTAGTTTATGTGTGCATGACGCCGAGGGCCATGTTTCCTGTTTTATCGGTGTAAGTTTTCTATGAGTGCCCTAATACTAAGACGGGGCATTTATTTTTGGAGGTTTTTCGTTGCGCAAGGAATAGTTGATATTTGAATGTTGAATGGAGTAGAGCTCCAGCTAAAGCTTAGCATAAAATAAGTGGATATGATAATTTCTCTATCGACAGTTTTAATTCTATTGATTCATAAATTTCGACGTATACGTCGAGACTAATAAATATTACAGCGACAACGAAACGAATCTCGAAAACTGCTGGCTGCTCGCGTACATGCGTGTGACTAATCATTTTGTAAGAATATATATCAAGATCAATTCCGTAAGTTTGGGCACACTTGAAATAGAATTTGACTCTAAATGAGGTTACTGTGTATGGGTATTTGCTTTTTTTAGCGACTTTGGAAAGTCTCTTTATTTACCTATTTGAAAAAGTGAAATATTTAAAAAATTATTATACTTGAAAGTTGAATCACCCTCATAATATTTGCACATCGTGTTTGAATTTGTTAAACACTAATTATTATGGTTTTATTGTTATTTTTATGTTTTATGTTTTTATTATTATTTATTAGCATTTGATTCAAACCATTATACAACCAAATAATATGTGAATTTACTTGATTTCAGGATCTGGAAATCTTCCATTGTCATTCAAACTTTTTTATAAGTATAAGATGAAGGAAGAAAAAGGTACATCATTTTCTGTCATCAATTTTTTTCAATATGAAAATTAAAATAATATTGTTTTTAATATTTTTACAGTTGATTATGATTTGCTGACAGCAGCTGCTCAAAGTGGAGCTTTGACTTTAACTAATGCTGGAGCTCTTCAGTTTAATACAATTATTGCTCCAAATAGTAATGAGACTATTTCTATAGTCATACCTTGTTTACCTACACAATTAGCAAATTTGTCAAAAAATGGAATCTTACCTCAAGTTTTGAATAAAAGTTCAGAAAACAATGTTGTTGCTATTAAAGACACACCAAAAACACCGGTACGCAAAGCGCCACCTACTCGCATAAAGGAAGATAAAACTAAGGGTTGTCCATACCCAACATGTAGTAGATATGGTCGAGCTTTTTCTCGTGCTCATGACCTCAAACGTCATATAGCCCGACATGAGCAACGTGAAAACAAAACATTAACTTCAACAACAACGCAGCAGCAAGTTATACAATCTGAAGTTCCCCTTTTTCCTTGCCCTTTATGTGGATCACAATTTTACAATGAAGTATTGCTTGAAAAGCACAAATCAATGGCGCATGGACCTGCAAATCTTCCAATATCTCAAGGACCCTATCTGTGCCATGTTTGCAAAAAAGTATTTGAGCATGAAACACAGTTTCATTCTCATATGTCTACTCATGTTAAGGTAAAATTATACATTATTATTATGTACCTAATTTATATATTGAATGATTCCAAATTCTCAATGATGGTTTATCCTTGCTCGCAAATTATTTTATGACGACAAAACCGGCCGTTTCAGTATGAGCCTGTGGCTTGCTGAAATGCTGAGAGATGAAACTTAAATTAATCATAACTTATAGATTTCATACTCTTTCATGCTGAATTAATTGAATATGTTTCTAATTCTAGAGCGAATCACATTCAAACACTATGTTAACGTTCCATCCACAAATGACATCCCCACCTCCTTTGGCACCTATTAGCAGTACATCAAATAATAGCTCGCAATCAACTTCTGTAGATGATGATTTTCGATTAGAAGATATGCTGTTGATACGTAAACCTCTTGGACAACAGCCACAAAAAATATCAAATTCACCCTCCACAAATGGTAAAATACGCTGTGAATACTGCAGCAAGACATTTAAAACTAAGTGGACTTTAAGCTCACATGTGGCTGCACATGAAGGAAGATATCAATATCAGTGCTGTATCTGTACCAAAAGATTTGTAAGAAAGAGTCATTATGAGAGTCATGTACGCTCACATAATGCAGCAAGACCTTTCGTTTGCGAACATTGTGGTAATTAATTTTTTCCATCATATAACATCTCATAAAAACGAATCAAGATTCTAAAATAACATTTTTTTGACAGGTAAAACATTCAAAGAGAGCAAGCACAGAAGAGAACATTTAAAACGAAAGCATCCTGCTAACAAAAACAATGCAATACAATCACTTTTAGATAGTTTAAGTGCTAGTGTAAATGAGGATTCTCCATCAACTGTACATGAACAAAAATTGGTGAATGATCAAAAACTTACAGTTTTAATGCCCATGAATTTTACGACTTAAATTTCTGAAATTTAGACGGTTTTATGGAGACTTCAACTATTATATTTAATAATTTTATGGAATGCTACGATATTTGAAACTATAAATTCAAATTATTGTAGCATTAAAACAGTGATAATGGAGTTAGAAGGTATTTTAACAATCTAAATTCCAAAGAAGAAAAGCTGTTGTAAATTTAGACGATGAGTTTTTATTTATTTATTTATTTTTTTTTTTCATGAAAGAAATTAACCCATTAGGTTCGGGGTGGACACATTTTTCATACTTTTTTGAACCGTTATACTTTTGCTGAAAATGGGATCTGGAGAACTAGCGAGTAAGCATAGTCTACACAAAATTTAATGAACTTTCCGAATCCGGTGTCACATATTCGATATAACAAACAGGTCAAAAGTTATATATGGTTTTATCCGAAAAAACGGGATTTCGAAAAAAAATTGTTTCTTCTTTTCGAATTTTCACATGAAAATCTTTTAAATCCTGACGTCTTTTGTACAAATAAAGCGTCCACGGGTCCTTATTTTAAAGTTATGTTGTTTCCAATTGGTAAAATATGATTTCAAGTACAAAAAATGGCGATTGGAAAACAAAAATATATCAGGAAATTTCTGGAATGTTTAACTCAAAAACGATCGATTTGAGGACAAAATTTTAGCGATGAATGAGTTCTTTGATAAATTCTAAGAATCCATCGTTTTTGAGTTAAAAATTCCAGAAATTTCCTTATATATTTTCGTTTTCCAGTGGTCATATTTCACTAATTGGAAAAATCATAACTTTAAAATAAGGACCCATGGACGCTTTATTTGTACAAAAAACGTCAGGATTTATAAGATTTTCATGTGAAAGTTCGAAAAGAAGAAACAACTTTTTTTCGAAATCACGTTTTTTTGAATAAAACCATATATAACTTTTGACCTGTTTGTTATATCGAATATGTGACACCGGATTCGGAAAGTTCATTAAATTTTGCGTAGAATATGCTTACTCGCTAGTTTTCCAGATCCCATTTTCAGCAAAAGTACAACGGTTCAAAAAAATATCAAAAATGTGTCCGTCCTGGACTTGATGGGTTAACATGATCAATGAGGCGTTAATTAATAAATAAATACCTTTATGATTTTTTTTATCTTACTTTGAAAAGCTCTCTTTTCTTCTCAATTGAGATTAATTATTAATTCATACGAATATTTCAAGTGTTAATAATCCATGTACTTAATGTAAGGAAAGAGTATTCATTTCTTACAAAAAAATGATTTATTAATGCTTACAATTGCAAATGTTATGCACTGCATTGATCAATAACTATTGTATTACAATATTATGTAGGCAAGATTTGAAGAATTTCTTAGCATTTTGTGTTATCTATTTATTTCTTATAAAATACTTTTATTTGCCATTAGAAAGTCAATATTAAGGACTAATACTATAAATATTAAGTAAAATTACTACATAAACTGTATTCTTTTTTTTTAAAACATCTTAAAAGACGATTTATTCATTTTTTGAGTGGTCGTCCTATTTGTATGTAGTGCACATACGCAGGAAATAAGGGTGAGTTTACAGATCATCAATTGATGCGCTCTAATTTACTGAAAAGGTAGAGAGTGTATATTCACTAAAATAGACTTGAGTGTATAAGTAAAATACAATATAAGCACACATGAACTCGCTAAATTTATCTTTTTAGTATGAACAACAAAGTTTGAACTGATTGAATAAATAAACATTTTATCGCAGCCATATTTTATTTTAAAATATATTATATCTTAAAATGAATGGGTTTACATTTTAATTATGTTTATTAAAAACATGGATACGTCATAAGTTTTGTAAAAATAAAAAAAAAACAACAAGTATGTTAATATAAGTCTTCAAGTAGAAATTGTGTAATAAAGATGTTAACCGATCGACCTAAAACTAAGCACATCAAGCGATGTATAATAAATGTAATCTGATTTTTTTAATGTTTGAAAAAAACTGTAATGTGTATAATCGAACTTGAATTGACTTGTTTTTAATATAATTTATCCAAAATTTTTATTCAAGCTTTGATAATGTTCTCATCAACTATTTAATGATAAATTTGTTAAAACCAACTTTCCTAGATATCAAATATTTTGAGTGGGAAAATCAAAAAATATACAATGATATAATGACTGCATAACAGGATTAGCATATAAATTTTAAATTGTCAGTGGCTATGACTTTTATTTTTATTTTCTAATGAATATGTTAGATCAATTAGTCGACTAAATTTAATAAATGAAAAACTCTTGAATCATGGCATTTATAATTTGAGAATCGTGCATTTACTAATAATCCGCTTTAAGAACAAGTACGTAAAAATGACGAAAATTTAAAATCTTTGCTGAGACTAGTGCTCCTGGCAATATTAAAATGATAGTCAACAAGGTTTTGGTTCAAGCATCTTTTTCTCGCAAGAAAAGCATCAATAGTTTTTCTTCATTTTCATTGGACTTTTTTTCAACCTTTTCGAAGCGAAGATAAAAATAATTTCTTTTTCCACAACATAAAAAATTAAGGCAGCCACTCGTAAAAATAATTTGCTTTTTTATCTCCATTCAATGTAATTTGATATTTGCCTGAATAATTTGGAGGCAAAAAAGGTTTTCCTTCGAGCCGGATTTGAACCAGCGACCTATGGATTTCTACTTTTGATTTCAACCAACTACAGTCCACCGCTCTACCAACTGAGCTATCGAAGGATATATGGACTTGGTGCTAAGTAACGTGTTTCGTTCAGCCCAATTAATTGAAGAAAAAAAACCCGGCTCTCACTTTCAATGAGTGCCAAGTTGACAAGTAATAAAAAATGTATTTGTTAATCGCCATATGGTTATTGAGTTTTAATTTAATTAAAAGCTAGTAATATCGTTATATTGGCTTCAAAAGATTACTGATGGAATGATTAGTCATTTTTTGAAATAACTCTTTTTATTTTGCTCTATGCTCATAAAAAAACTAGGACAAAGTAATCATTTAACATTTTGTTGTATTCTTATAGACCTAAACATTATTTATCTGATAATATTTATACCTCAGATATATTCATAAAATTTGTATTTAAGAGTACCATGTTTTTTTTTTTTTTTTTTTTTTGAATAAAGTTAGTAACATGGAAAGATTCGGTTCCATATTGTTTATAATTGTGGCTATGATTGATTTTAAACAAATTTTGCCATGTACATGTTTAATAAAATTAGGAAATACGTAGAAAAAACTTGCCTACCTTCAAACCTATAATATTGTTTGCAACGTAAGTAAGTACAAAACACATTTGTAACATTTTTTTATTTCAGGTCAGAGTACGCTATTTCTTCTAGTGTATAATTGAACATTTACTAGTAGAAATATAACAGTTAAAATACTTGAACAAAATCTAAATTGTACACCGAAACTATTCAGTTCACTTTAATTTCAATTTTCTTGAAAAACGCTATTCAACAAATAAATTCTTCAGTGCTATGTATTCTTTTTTTTTTTTAAAGTTGCCATGATCATTCCGGTATTTCCGTTAGGGAATCTGAAACTGAATAAATTGTCTATGAATTAAAAATTCTTGATGATATTTAAAATTATCGACTTAAATTTACCTTATATTCTTATTCTTCAGTGCTGCAGTTACTGCTGGTCTTATTTTGCAACCATTTAAACTGTTTGAGCCCCGACCAGTAATGATAAATACATCTCGTTCTCCACCTGGAGGTGTTATGTCAATTTGACGTTTTAAGAATGTTTTCAGAGCATCCATAGCTTCAGAAACGTGGAAGTAATGTAAATCGATAGTATTTTCCGTATTTTGTACATGTACTTGAGCTGCCAAGTACATGGATGCAGCTGCATTATTTGCTGATTGCACTTTCTGTAAGTGCAATTTTGCAACATCAGAATAATATGATGCCACTAGTCCATTTTTTGATCTATATGCTACAGCTGCCTTATCATTATTTTTTTTATACAGTTGAAGCTGTCTTTGCGCTTCCATACGAGAATTTTTGGCCATTTCCATCACAGCCTCGTGAGTCAATAGATCATTATATTCATATCCAGCTGTTGCTTGGTCATCCTGAAAAAAAGCATTCATTGAATACAATATTTTTTTCAAATTTCATTTCTTCCTTAAAGCTTAGTTAAAATACATAATAAATCATCAAAAATTGAATAATTCCAACTTTATTGTAACATAATAATTAAATAGAAGTGAAAAAAATTAACTGAAGGTTGTCTTACTATCGACCTTTTGATACCACATACAAAAAAATATAATATTTTTTTACAAAAAATAAATTTGAAACATTTAAAATTATTTTATTACCTCATCAGTTGCTGGAGATGGTTTTACTTTGCTATATTTGTGTAACTCATTTATCAAATGTTTTTGTTTTTTTACAACATCAGCCATTGTTAAAGTTGATTTACTATGACAGTTGTCTTCGATAACAGCTACAGTTTCTTCAAAATTTCGTCCATGTGCTTCATATATATCAAGTATCATATCTCTATCATATTGCGGAAACATTTCTTCTAATGTCTGCCGCGCAACTCTTAAAGCCATATCTTTGGGTACTTCTTTTTTATAATGACGATTCTATAAGAATAAAATGATTTTTAGCTTTTCACATGTTGGGAATATTTTTTTGTACAGAATTTCACGCTTTAAATAAACTTACATTAGAATCAGTACACATTGCTAAAGCCATTTCCATATCCATAATCTCTTTTAAATTTGGAGACTTATCTTTTTGTTGATCTGTTGTTTGGTTTAGAGCACATGCTCCTTCTGTTTCTTCTAGGGATCTTGCGTATTCTGCATCTGCAATAATTAATTGAAAATAACCCAATAAAGTATAAAAATAATCACTGTTAAAATTCGCTACATACCTTTGGCAATCATAGCATCTAATTGTTTTTGCATACTCCATAGTTGTTGTTGCATACTTTCCATCCAGAGAGAATACAATTGTTGCGCCATAGATTTTCTTATTTGTATAACAGGGAATAATCCATCAAGTTTTTGGGGATTAGAAGAATCACCAAACTCAGATTCGAGAATATTAATGAACTCATGGCCTAATTTGAGTTCAATAGTTTCTTCTTCGTCATTTGAATAAATATCTAAATTGTTTTCCATGTCATGAGTATTATCTGGGTGTGGAAAGGTACTGGTTGGCAAGAAACATGATTCAGAATTCACACTAGGATCATAATTTTCTTGAATCTGTTGTGTATCAGCTGAACTAGAAGCAACATCAGCATCAAAGTTTATAGTGCTTTTAGGATTTTTCCAGCGTTTAACTTTTTTAGTATGTTCTGGATAACTTTCCGCACTTAAAATAAACATATTCTGAATTTCTTTTTCTAAATTACTGATTTCTTTGTTATGTAATTTATTTCTAGTGCCTTTCGAACGTTTTTTTTTAGCAGATACTGAAGTGGTTCCATGAATTGGTGATGACGATCCAGAATCACTTCTTTCCGAATTTTCGTGAGTTTGCTCAGTGGGTATATTATCACGATGGATTTCAGTAATGCAACTTGTATATTTGAGTGCTTGTTCTTCTGGTAGTTGGGATAAAAAATCACAAGCCCAATCAAAACTCTGATGACACAGGTTCATGTAAACCTCTTGTATTAGTGCTCTAGGAAAGTCTCTGAATTTATCCTGTAACTCGTCGATTCTATTTTCAGTGTCAGCTACTATTGCGCTATCAAGTGAAAATGTTTCAGTCATCGTGCCTTTATTTAACTTTAATTTTTTGGACGGAGTTTTTTCTTCTAAAAATAAAAGTGATGATTTATAAAATAATTATATAGAAACAGTATGATTGAGAGATTCATTTTTGGTTGCAGGAATTTATTTTACCTGTTGACTGCTCACTACGTCGATCATTTTGATTGATATCTCGATAGTGAGGTGTAAGAAAAGAATAAGTTGAATCTTCAACATGATCAACGCCTATGTAAGCAATATTGAAATCGTATGGTTCAGTATAAGTGCCTTTATCCTGAGTAGTGGCTTCAACTGACTTTTCAATGGTCGAACAACTTATATGTAATGGCAAAGTAATTTCGCTGACCGGGAATCCCGAATCTTTCCAATCGATTAAATTTCGATTATCTATGGGAGAGCTATTTTGACATTTTTCTTTTTGATCTTTTGCATCATTCTAAATAAAATATTTGAAATAAGTATCAGATCAATACAAAGTTTAATGTTTATAAAAAGAGTGTCTCATGAACAGCAATATTTATTTAATACTATGAAATAGATATCTTTAGTAAATACTAATAAAAAAATGATTTTCAAGAGAGACGTCAATAATCGCGTGTAATTTCTAAAATATTTATAGATGATAATCTGACAAAATTTACCTTAGAAACATGATGTTGAGTTTCTTTTTCATCATTAACATTAACGTTATCATTTTTACCAACCAATTGTAAATCTGATATGGCATCACGAATAGCTTCAACTACTGTTATTGATATTGGACTCTGATTTTGACTATTATGCTGATCAACAACGACTTCTTCAGCTAAATCAACAAGATCGTTAGAAGATTCTGAGCTTGACAAAACTTCATCTTTATTTGTAGAAATATTTGCTAATGAGATTTCTTTAACAAACTTTTCTTTTTTAGATTTTTTGGTATTCTGCAATACAAATGATTAGAATAATAATCAATAGATTTCATGCAGCTGAAATATTCAAAAAAACATATGAATATATGAGATACTTACATCATTTTCAGTTAGAAAAAAAACGTCATCTTTCTCATCTTCTTTTTTTTGAAACGTATTTTTGAAGTAATCAAATAACGATGAAACAGCAACACTCCTTGTTTGTTCAGTATTTTCATTTTTAGTTTTATGATTGCGATCTTTAATATTATTAACAATATCTTTGGTGCCAGAATCACACATTTCATATTGAGATATATCAATGTCTGATGTACGTTCAGAACTGCCAGGAGAAGAAGAGGTGCCACTAGCATCAAAACTTTCAGGAGTATCATCTGTGCTTGACGGTGAAGCAGTCAGTAATAACATTTTTGCTTCACACGATTGATCTATATTTTTTGTGGAAGGTGACGATAATACATTTAATGCACTACTTCCAGCTTCAACAGTTAATGATTTTGGTTCACTATCTGTAGTGCTCCATTGCTATTTAAAAAATAATTTTCAATTTTCATCTCTTATATAATTTTTGATAAGTATTTAAATAAGTTAAAAAATGTAAAAATAAAAATTAACTTACATCATCATCATCGTCATCAATACTAACTTTACGGTTTGAACTATTTTCACATGAAAACATCATTAGATCAACATTTTGATCTTCGTCAGGTTTGTCATTATTATTAGCCAGGATCGGTTCGTCTTTTGGGCTGGTATCACGATTTTTTATACGTTCAGATCCAATGGCTCCAAGTAATCTCTGATTCAATGATTCCTCTTTGAATGAAGTACTTTCTACAAATGCTGCACCAAGACTACTGGCTGTCTGAAATTCTTCGTTATCAGAACTTTCATTTGATTCAGGATTCAAATCAACATTAGCATATTCTTTAGCTATAATATTTAAGGCTTCATTGTCAATGAGACGCTGAAAATGTAACATCATTGTAAAATAAATAAATTAAAATATTTAAAGTAACTTATGTATGGTACATAATGATACATAACATACCCGCTCACTAAATTTCTTTGATCCCTTTTTTGCTTTGTGAGTGTTTAAACTTTTTTCAAATTTTTCAAATCTTTTATTTAATTCTAATGGCGGGAAATCACGCAACTGTGGCGGTCGATTATGAGGTTGATAAGTAATTCCGTAAATACGTAGGAGACGCTCACCACTTATATTAGCTTCAAATCGGTTCAGCATTTGGTTTATTTTGGATAGAGGTATATCGTGAGTATTACGACGTTCTAATTCTCTGGGATTTTTGGCCCATGATGTACGGGGTTCTAAAGTTTCAATTTTGTAACCATATTCTGCCTGATTTAAAATAGAAAAGTATAATATCATGCAATAAAGTAATTATATAGGCAAAAGTTATAACTTACTCCAATGATAGCATAATACTGCATTTCCCAAGCTTGAGTATTTGTGTTATCAATGATGATCGGACTCACGCCCTTTTTGCATGCTTCCTTGAATTTCTTTTGATTGAAAGTATGCGCTTCAGATAATTTGCAGGCATCAAACTTATATTTACCTTGAACTGTAAAAAAATCATCTGTACTGTAGATACAATCTTGCTTAAATTGGAGACCCACTGTTCGTTGAATCAAAGTTTGAGCTAAATATGATTTTCCACACCCAGGTATTCCCCGCATAATAATAACAATTTTTAACCCTGTTTTTATCTCATCAATTAACTGTTCAATATTATCATGATATGCAGGTTCTTTAATAGTATTTTTGATGGCTGCCAATGAAGGAGTTTTTTTTGCAGCAGATGTCGTACTTGCAATTATACTGTATGGTTTCTTAACAACAGTAAGAGAACTCTGTTGCTGAACATTCTGCTTTAATGAAGTAGATGACTCAATTTCTAATGGCACAGTATAAAAATTTGATGCAGAGCTAGTAATATTTGTTGGTGGTGGTGAAGGTGTAGTCACACATTGGGCTTTAGGAAATGTATTCATTGGCGGACATTGGGTAGTTTTGGCGAAAAAGTTGCAAGCATTTACTCTGTATTGTTCTTTAGGAGAACTTAGTAAATAATCACTGCTTTCTTCTTCAATTACAACATCAGCATCATCATCATCGGAATGACTTTCTTCTTCTGCTTCGCTTTTGGATCTATACTGTACTTTTAAACCACAGAGTTCCACTTGTCGTTCATACTGTTGCAATGCTTCACGCTGCTCTTTCAGTTGTTGTTCATCCAAATTCAAAAAAGCTTCCCCACTTTCTTCAATGCAAGTATTCTCGATCTTTTCCATTAAATGAGATTTTTCATTATTTTTTATAGTTGATTTGTTAAAATTGCTGTTTGCATTTGAGATAATATCAGAAGATGAAAGTGTAATTAGAGTATCGATTGATTCATTCACTATAAAAAAAAAAAATTATTAGTAATTTTCAAAGTACATTTTAATATTGGGTAAATAATTGAATATGATCACCCATAATTTAATTATTTTACAATTTTTCTGAATAAAAACTTACACTTCCACTTGCAGTTTTCTCCCACAGCTGTCAAAATATCCGTTTCAAAAGATGGGAACATTTCTCTTAGCTTACTCATGGTTCGCTTTTCATTTCCATCATTAGAATTGTTTTTATTAGAACTTTTATTGTCATTTTTTCCATAGAATTTTTTATTATTAGATGCCATGATGGCTAAACTCAGTCGTGGCTATGAATTTTAACTTTCTTCTGAAAATAAATAACTTGATAAATATCTCTGAATACAGTTAATTAACTTATTTAAAGCTTTTTAAAATGATAAGTAATCAATTCAATATAGATAACATTTTTTTCATTCTTGTATTTCTGACACAGTAAATAAGTTTATCTGTGAGTCACTGATGTTGAATATGTTTGAATATTAATGTTATTTCTTTTATTGTTTTTTTATCGTAAGTAACCAATCAAATTAAGTACTAGGAAATTTTTCTTAACACCAATTTTTTCATCATATACAATTATTCAGAAAGCAAGAATTTAAAAAAAAAGAAATTTACAAGTTGAAACTAAAAAATTAATCATTTCTTATACTGCCTTGCGTTAGTTCGATTAAGTATATCGAGTGAAAAAATGAACTTTTGAAGGTAAATTGTCATGGATAGTACTTATAATAATATAATAATCTCAAAACGCAACCACGTGCAGGTTGAATTATTTTATGACAGGGATCACAAGCGGGCTATGAGATTTAAGGTACACAGATTGCTACAATACTTCAACGTTTTGAAACAAAAACGGATCTGATTTACAGACGCATTATCACCAGGCATAAAAACAATTTTGTAAAATAACGTTCAAAATATTAAACAGACAAAAGTACATCGCGTTGCGTCGAAGATCTGAAGAACAATATTTAATATGTCTATATGAACAGAATTGCACTACCTGCTGGATGTATCTACGAGATGACTGATTTTGTTTGCGTTGCTATAACGTACTCAGCACTGTACGACTGCGATAAGTCATTCTCGAGTCTTGCGTTGACTTTAATAGGTTAAGGTAGGACAATAACGCATGTGTATGCGTTAATGATATACATTACCTCGCTCATTCATATACATGCTTGCACCAAAAAACCAGATCTCGAAATAAGTATTATCTTAAAAGTCTGCGTCGTACATTGAGGCTTGCGCGATCGACATGGCCGTGTGTGTACATGCGCGCAAGCGGAGAGAAGAAAGAACAACTTTTGTTTAGATATAATATTATATATCTATATATATAAGCTCGCCGCGCAATGGTCAGCGCGTAGTAGGCAGCAAGGGCTTTATGTAGCTTCCGAGTACACCGATAAAGAGTTCGAAGAATCGATCGAACGCGTGGATATTCGAGACGATCTTTCCAAAGCAGCTCACAATATGTTCTTTGTGGGCCTATATCATATAACGAGTTAACAGTAACTAATGGATTAAATATGCAGAAATTTATTTTACGCTGCCTGCACGGGCAAAATTATACGGACAGTAGACTGAACACAGGAGCTTGCACTTAGTGACAAAAAACATGTTTAGAGGGAAAGGGACTTGAAAGAGAGGGAAAGGAATGCATGGGTGTAGCTTAACGTTTCGCCAATGATATTTTGTTAATATAATGTTGCATCATTCTAAGATTGTGTGAAAACATGAAATGCGACTATTGTAACACATGCGTGCAACGAGGGCTGCGTTACTCTCTTGCGTTATCACACTCTGACGCCTAATGATTTTAACAATTTTGGTGATTTTACGCCCACTATTGCACAATCTGTCCTGAAACTCATTGATTTTCGTTGAACTTTGTAATGAACAGTTCTTGCGACGGCATGATTAGTGATCCTGCCAACTCAATTGTTGCTTTTACCGTTTTGCGCTTCTGAGAATCACAAGAGAAAACTTTATTTTAAAACAATAAGTCGAAAAAAATCATACTTATTTCATATTTTGACGTATCTAGGCGCGCAGGTAGCGCTCTCTTCTGTCACCTCAAACAAGATGCCACAAAACTCCATAGTCCAAGAACGCGACGCGTTCGTTCTGCTACATCGTAGGTGATTTGTATTGGTCAGCACAGCTGATGACCAGACGGTGGAATAGTGAATGTATAATAATAAATAAAACGTCACACTTATATGGCGTGTTCAAACGCATCCTATAGTTGTATTGACATCATCGTTCGGAAATAAACTTTAGCAATCGAGCGGATAAATACAGTAAAAAGAAAAAGTCAAAATTTCGTCTTGCACATCGTCGACGTTGCCTCATTTAGTTTCTATAAGAGCAGTAAGTCAGTTTAAAACCTATTACTAAATGCATAAAATAAAAGGCTCGTCAGAGATGGAAGTTCCACCTTTGAGAAGTCTTGACGAATTCCTCCTCGATTCGGCGAGATTTCAATTGCCAAACTGGCGTGATCTTGAAAAATGGAATAATCGAGTTGTTAACAACATGCTCTATTATCAGACAAATTATTTCGTGACTGCTGTCATAATTTTTGCATTTGTTGGGTTCGTATATCACTTTTACTTTAAATTGCTTACCTCCGACCTCTACAAAATCTAGAATTTTTTTTTTTATGTCACAGATTTTTACAACCTGTCAAAATGCTCATTGGTACAATAGCGGTAGGTTTAATTATATTAGCCTTTGCTTATGTATCAAAAGAAGGCAGAGCAATCCATAACTTGAAAAAAAAGTACCCTGCACTTGGAGTTATTTCCATGCTTGGAGGGGCTGGATTCCTGACGTATACTTTTGGATCGCTTCTAGTGTTTCTTTTTGGTGTCTTGATGCCAATATCAGGTAATTTTTATTACATTGAATGGAAGATTTAATTGATTGAACATGTAAATAAAAAGTTCTGAAACTACAGTAATATTTGTCCACGCCTCGCTGAGACTAAGGAACATAAAAAATAAACTAGCAAATAAAGTTGAAGGAATTGGACTTAAACGCACTCCCATGGGCGAACTTATGGAGCAACTTGGTATGCAGCCTGGTATCTTTGATTAAAATTGAAATAAATATTATGTATTTTAATGAGTTCCATATTTTTAATCTAATTTCTAATTCTTAAGTAAAAATATATCTTTTTTTTGAGTTCTATTTTTCTCACCATTGGGGTAATCTTGGTGATTAATATTTTTGTCATACAGAATATCAATATTGTGATTATCATTGCAATTTTTAAAAAGTTCAACTCAAAAAGGCAAGACCTAAGCCTGCTATTTAATGAATCAATATATATACATATATAAAAGTAACATTTATTTTAAAAATCCTATGTCAGAACTTGGTAAAGAAAAAATTTTTTTTTAACTTTTCATAAAAAAAAATTGTACAAGTTGAAAAACATTTCTTTTTAAGTTGGCAAAGATTTTGTCTACAAATTTTAATTTCAGGTTTTTCATGTCTCATTCAATATGAGAGACAAACAATTTAAAATTATTAAGGCAAAATTTTAATACTCTCTCATAATATTTTTTTTAAGATTTTATCAGCGAATGCATATTTCATTTTCTAGGTTTTTGTTTTGTTCATGTTATTACAAATCTTTGATAATCAAAAATTGATTACTCATTTAAATTACTGAAAAAAGTGTAGATTGAAATGATTTCTGTGATATATAAATGATACTCACAAATTGTTACCAAACATGTATGATTACATTTATGAATTCAGATGTTTTAATTGTTTATCAATCTGTCAATTTTTCTGTCATTGATACTAGATTCACATCTTGAAAAAAAAATTTTAAAGATAAATATTATTAGTCTCTTATTACTCTCAATTTTTCTAAACAATTGTAATGCTTTTCAATGAAATATATTTAGAATATTGAATGTGACTATGACACTCAATCTACATAAAAATATTGTTTAATTGATCCGTATATACTCCATATTGCTCTAGTATTGTAAATAATTTAGAAGTGCCCTTTTAGGTATAGAATTTTACGTCATTAACGACTTGTCAAATATATTATTAAACCAAAAGTTTTAAATATTAATGAAATACTCACCTTAAAATTGTAAAATAATATTCTGTTTACATAAAAATTTGAATCAATTTTAAAATTTAAGTGGCTTCGTTGTATTATTTGATTAACTTTTCAAGCTTTTTTTTTTAGACTTATTTTTTGGTAAACTGGCTGTGCAAACCGAAAATTTATTGAAAAAGCAAGATTGAATACATCTAAAAAATTAGACGCGATTTCTATAAGGATTCAAAACAAAAAGACGTAATGGAGCTATCAACCATAGCGACACAGGTATCAAGGACTGCTCAATACTTTTGAAATTATTCAATCATTCTCTGTTTATATTACTCTATTTCATAAATATAAGTTATAATTTTTCGACAATGTTTCAATTTTTTTTTTGAAATTTCAATAACTTTTATTAATACCTGTATTACAAAGATAGTTATTATTTTGTAAACTAATGATAAGAAACTCATCAGATTTAAAATTTTTTATACCATAATATGTTATTACAAGGTGTTACAACAAAGTTATTGAGCGAATTTTACAGAAATATCAAGTTTTTTGTATATACATATTGAGTAATAAGAGTAATATGAATACTTCTGTTTATTTAAATGTTTAAATTTTATAAACCCTCTTTTAAAACAAATGAACTTTTAAAATTATTTTACATGTCTATAGAACGATCCTTAATCAAATAACTATATTTATTTTAGCAAAAATTAACTGTATTAATTATAACTAATTTATAATAATAATGTATTAATTTGCAAGTCATACTTTTACTGAACATACATATATTGTATGTATTTTCTTTCAAAATTGCTTATAAATTATTTAAAACGTACCCATACATTCAGTATTGAAAATAAAGACGTTTGATATAAGACAAAAATTTTAAAGAATTTTTCTTATGCGGCAGTGAATTTACAGTATTATTAATTTTAATGTACAAGTTATGATTGACAGCAATTAATATGTACAAACTATGTATTCAAAATTGAATTTGATGTTTGAAAATTATATTCATGATGAACTATAAAAGAGTAATGGTTTTGAAATATTCTTAAAAACAACTTTGATCAAAAGTAAAGATGAATGTAATTTAATAATTTTTACTTCACAATTTTTTAAAACTCACTAATAAAACGAATCAAAAAAATTTAGGCAGGACTATAAAATACACAGATACACTCTTTTTTCGACAAGTTTAAAACCACAATGAAAAAAGTTTCTTAATCAGAAAACTGTGAAAAATCACTTTTTTTCTCTCAGATCGACTATATTTTCGTAATAAATACTGTATTAGTAGGATAAAGTATAGTATCCACAAGCCTTATATCCATCGATAATTCTCCAATGTTCGTTTTTGGAAAAGGTATAAGAAAAGTGTATTCCGATGCAGGATAGCCCATTCTTTCCATTCTCCTCATGAAGTTCTGTTGGATAAGTTAGTTGTATAACTTAACATTTAAATTGATAATTCAATTATGACAAGGACTTACCTCAATTGTATCATTAGCCACAATAGTGATAGTTTCTTTACTACCATTTGGCAAACGAAGACACAGTTTTACTGTGGGTGCAGCTGGATCAATTGGAGGTTCTGGTTCTATTTCAATAGATTTCTCCATTTCATCAATTTTAGATCTTTTACTGATGAAATTTGCTGTTTTGGGTGCACTCATCACACTTGTGCTCGGTTTTGATTCCCTTAAATCTTTTTTAAACATTATTATGCGATAATAATAGCCCTTAATATTTAAAAATAGAAATTTTATATTGTATAATACCTGATTCAGATGTAGTCTTAGTACTAGTAGCACTAGCATCAATAACTCGAGATCGTTTTACATTTGTCATGTACTAAAAATAATGAAATTATTTTAGATTTTTGTTGTTTCTTTGTTTTTCTTTATGATACAACATTAATATTATAAATAAATTACCGAATTAGATGCAGCTTCATTTTGAAGATTTTCTGAAAAAGAGACTGAAGTTTTCTTTTTGATTGGAGTAGTTTCAACATTATCAGGAGATGCATGTGTACTTAACATGTCATTCAGATCAGATACAAGAGTATCAACTGTAATGTTGTTAATGATTGTGCGCATGCATTCACCCGTTCTTGGATCAATGATAGCCATGTACGGGTAGCTTGCCACATTATAAAAATCAATGTAACGTTTTCCATCTATTGAATTTGAAAGAACCTGAAATAATTTTAATCAGCTACATTATTCCGAAAACTTGTTTTTGTATAATTCTAGCCAATAGTCATATTTTTGGATCTGCAGCCAAATTAAATTTTCATTTTCCTTGTCTTGATAACTAATTCCCCACAAATTTGAGACATTCTTTTGCAGGCTTAGGTAGGATATTTTAATTGAATCATATTTATTTTTCATTTACCTGCCACAGCACAAAATGATCATTTATGATTTCACGAATTTGAGCATTGGGCCAAACATCACGATTCAAAACTTGACATGAAAATTCTTGTTGGTCTTGCACATTGACAAGTAACCAACGATTCATGCTTTTAGCATGTTCCCTTGCTTCCATAAATGAACCTAAAAACAATATGTCGCAAGGAGGTCTGAATAAATCTTCCAAACGTCTCTGTCTATTATTGCGATTGGTTGTTCTTCTAGCGCCTAATGCTCTTTGTGTCATTTCTTCTTCTTGTCTCCCTATTGAATTAACACATACAAATTTAGTAAACAATCTTTCATAAAATAATCAATAAAAAAAGTTGTATGTGGTACTAACTTGTTTCAACGGCAAAATCTCTAAATCTGTCAAATATGCTGTTAGAAGACCTAGGATAAGAGCATGTGACATCTGGCGGAACAAGGACTTCCTGAGTCGGCAAAATAGGCGGCCTAACTTCAGGTTCATCATCAAGATTAACTATTGGCCTTGGTTCTGTACTGTCAGCGATACCACCACCACCACCACCACCGGCTTCAAACAATAAACTTATTGCTGATTCTAAATTTCCATCGGTCAGAGACAGGTATTGAGCAGCTGTGTCTTCTCCTTCTCCTAAATTTGGAAATATATGGTTTTTCAGATTAATTATTATGAACATTAAAATTAACATGAATTCAAATGTTAATTGTGTTATAATTAATTAAAGTAAAGAAATTGAATAAATTTAAGCATTCTAATTATAATGAGTTGCAGTAAGTTGTTGTTCATAAAATATAAATTTCAACCAAAAGTTAATATAATGTAGATTGTTAATGATAGACCCAGTAAAATTATTTTGAGAGAATATAGAAGATAAACAAGGCATGTTCTAACAAAGAGTAGTTTACCAAGTCATCAACCGATTCTAACCTTTCTTTTACCAATAAAATACTAACTTACATTAATTAAAATCAATTTAAGGCTAATAGTATACGCTTAGTAATGCTTTTTTTATTTAAAAAGTAATCTTTTAGATAATGCAAGAGTTTGAAGAAGAAATATTGCAAGCTTCAAAGTTTCTCACTCTTTTTATATCATTTTTCTCGCTCTTTTTGTACATCTTTCGTACCTTCATATCGAAGGTATACGTGCATACTCATGACATGAGCTGCAGTGCAAAAAAAAACATTCATTTGTGCACAATTTCTATTTCAACCATACACATTCCCACCTCGTAGATACGTACCAGTTATTTCAATGAATTTGTCAATAAGCTCACGATCCATGTTCGCAGCACAATCAATAGTATGGACCGTGTTAGTTGTTACTCGGTATATAATTTTTTTCCTTTGCTAACGGCTATTATGCAGCTACGATCGCAGCACCAGCAGTAGCACCAGCAGCTGCAGAGAAGCGCAAAAATCGAACGAAAACTGATAAACTGAACTTTTATCGAGTGCACATGAATAACGATGCAGAGCGTATGCCGTATAGGTAGTCCCTGAATCGAACCGTTGAAAAATTAACTGCGCGTCTGATTATAAAGGATGTAAAAACGTTGAACGAAGGAGAAAACGAACCCGAAAAAGTACACCCGCACGAAGTACGGCAAATCCGAGTCTATTGGAGGAACAGCGACTTCTCGGTAGAGCGAGGCAGCACCAATTGTGCGAATATGAGATAGGAGGAAAACCTTCGGGCAGCAGAAAGAAGCTGCGTTATTATATCGCTGTCTCAGCGCCAGAATAACCTTTATAAGCTAGAGTTATAAAAACATCCTTAGTTCTGTAAGTGTTGAAATGATAGGACTAAGGCACATTTTTACCGCTCAAGTTTATCAAGGTGGTTCTTACGCTGAGACGGCAATATATAAATGTACATGTTATATATATGGTTCATTCTTCAGAAATCTGTTTACGCGAGGATTGAAAGTGAAAAACTTTTATTTAATTTGTCGGTTTGAATTATTTAACCTCGTTTAAGTAGAAATTCTGTGCACAAAATAAATCGGTATCATTGATTCTTTAAATTGATTAGTTTTGCCCACGGAGGTGATTCTAATGGAAGTGACGAATCGCTTCTTTAATTAACAACGTTGGATAAGTAATCAATAAATACAATTTTTCAAAAAGCCCAAAATTCGGCCCTAAAATAAAGAGCTTTATGAGAGTGCCGACTTCAAAAAAATTATTCCAGCTCGAGAATTTTGAGTCAATTCGATATTTCGCTCTAAGCACCTTGAAGAGATGTTACCTATCTTTGATGTCAAATATAACGATCACAAAAAATTTAAAATTTTAGTTTTGGTTTATTTGCGCTATTTTAAAAAAAGTGACTTGTAGATATGATAATGAGCAAATTTTTGAAGAATAAACCATATATATCCTGTATAGAAAAAGAGCTGGCAGCCCAGAGCTGTAGTGCCTATAGTAGGTATAGTTACTCGAGACGCCAAAGCTATGCGAAACGAACATCAACTGTAAGCTGGCCCTGTTGTTGGAGTGAAGTAGACAGTAGTGCATAGAAAGCCGGCATATTATTACATTGTTACGGTAAATTTTGCGATCTGTGACCGTCAGTTAAAAGGTATCTGCGTACTTCAATTTGGATGCACATCGCTTATTGACTATATTATACAGCGTGAGGACACCGTACCGTCGTATGTACACAGCGGCTGGAAGAAAGGGATTGCGGTCTGCAAAAACAACTAATGTTTATCGACGTATTTTAAATCTATGAAATCAAATTTCAAGGTTTTTTTCTCGAAAAATATCAACTTTAAAAAAAAATTACTGAAGTTAAAAACTCTCAAAAGTGCTTTAAAAATACTCTAGAATTTTTTTAGAATATTTTAGCAATTTTTTAAAAAATTTCAAAATTATACAAGTTCCAAATAAAAAAACTATTGATCACCAACCCCCCCCCCCTTTTTTTTCTCCTCAGCGGCCGGATTAACAAATCCAATGAGATCTATAGAACAGTGGAAGAGGGGAATGTAATAGTGTCCAGTCCAGTGGAAGCATTGCTATTGCTATCAGGCTAAAGCAGCAGAACAGTATAGTTGGTTACACGAGTGTGTATTTATGTTCGTTTTCATGAAGTTTCAGTCTACGTGTTTTGTTGACAATTGTAACATATAATTTGTGCCTTTTACGTGAGAAAATTTTCTCTTCGTTCTGATAAACACTTGGATATTTTTTCAAAGTTAAATTTACGTAGATATATTACGTAAAAAACCAGGCAGAGGTACATTTTTTCAACATTATAGGTTATTTTTATTGTAAACAAATGTTTTAGCTTCTAATTATTTATCTTTATTCTAGGTATTTGAAAAAAATTTTTTGTTACTTTACACTTGTTTACACTTTCCTTCCACAAAATGTCTATTCACAAAAGTACAAGGGAAATGTTGCTTTCGGTGGTTGATGACATGGAAATTATATCAAAAGAATTGATAGAAAATATAACTGCTGCAAAACATCTCAAGCTTTCCACTTCTGATCACTCAATTCTTATTGAACTACTTATAAATAAAGATAAAGAACTAAAAAGTTTTTTAACCAAAGCTGAAGAGCAAGCCAAAATCAATCAAAAAATGGAAACTTTAAAAGCAGAAGTTCATGCTCAAGATCAAGAAATTCAACAGCTCCAAAAACAGTTAAAAGAAGCTGAACAAATTTTAGCTACTTCCATTTTCCAGGCCCGTCAAAAATTACAGTCCATAGCGAAGGCTAACAAAAGGCCTGTTCCTTCGGAGGAGCTTATAAAATATGCTCACAGAATAAGTGCTTCTAATGCTGTATGTGCCCCTCTAAGTTGGCAACAAGGTGATCCTAGACGTCCTTATCCAACAGATATAGAAATGAGAGTTGGTTGTCTTGGCAGGCTTAGCGATTTACCACTTAATGGACAAATGGTTGGACCACATAGTAATATTACCGGTCTGCATAGGCCAAGTGGGCAACAAACAGAAACCATCCCACCGCAAGTTGGAGGTCCATTTGCTTGGCACCCATCTGGTGAAATACATATGTCAGTGACAGGACAAGGTACAGTTCCTATTAATACCCACAAACAAGAAACAGAAGATGTGGAAGTCATGTCAACTGATTCATCTAGTAGTTCTTCGAGTGATTCCCAATGATTTTTTATATATTACAATTTAAAAATAATGTGTATAGTTTACAATTATGTATAGAGATTAATTTTAACTTGATTCTCATATAGAAGCAACAAAATATTTTTTACGTGTAATATTTTTTTATTTTTATATTTGTATAAATCTTTTGGTAGTTTATTTTATGTATCTAAAATAATCATATAAATTTATAAATATATTCATGGTAAATAAAATAAATGTAAATATTATTCAATTTAAACCTATCAGTTTGTCACTTATTCTAATGTCAGGTTAAATATTTATAGTGGGAAAAACTTGTTTTAACTCTTAACTTCATTCTGATTGCAAAAATACTAATCTGTATCATGAATCACATGAAAGTAAAATTGAGTTAAACCTCACAAATTTTATTTAAGTTGATAATGCATTAAAAAATGATTATATCAGTATATAAAAAAAAAATGATTATATAGTAGTATATCAACAAAATAGAATTATAATTTATTCATCTCATAATAAATTATTTTAATAATGTTTAAATTAATAATTGATTTATGGTACTTGATTACCCATAAAAATCTTTTCAGATCTTTTGAACTTGATGATTTTCATAAAAAATGGATAATCAGACCCAAATTCTAATAATAAAAAATAATGTTATGATGTAGCCAAAAGATTATGAATATTCATTGAGAATTTAACGTAGTTTACGATTAGGTGCACCAAATTAATCCGACGACGTCTGGTTCAAAAACTCTTTATCGAGCCTATCCCAAAGCTTATTCTAGGAGGAAGCATATTTATCAAGCTAAATATTTATAACAGTATTCACTGAAAAATTAAAAAAACAAATAGGATACTTTTCATTTTCAACCTGACTTCAGCATCTGCATAAAAGCAACTTTGGGATCATAATAAATCCAATGTACATTTTATCAAGTCGTCCCTTGAAGGCAACGCAGCATAGTAAAATCACCTGATAGAGCGAAGCTGGCGAAAAAGCGATACGACTTGTTCGTCTAAAGAGAGAAGCCTTTGATGTTCGCGAGCGCAAGGGAAAATTTTCTCCTTGCGTGCGATAAATTAATGTGCCATCGTTACTTTGTCTCGGTACGTTTATGTTTTGGGCCATGCTTCTTTTCGCATTTAATAACCTGCTGTCGACAATGAGTAATTTCATCCCGTGTGCACAACTTGTGCCAACTTATCCCTGAAGTTTAATAACCATTGTATTTAGAATTATTTTGTAGGCTTCAAGATTTGAAAGTCGATATACTTTACGCAGTATATTAAACTTGCCCACCTATTTACTTGACGAAGTATCGCCCAAAACAAAAATTATTATTTTTCAAAATTTTCAAAATTTAAAATCTTATAGGGGACAAATAGAAATGATTGAAGTGCACAATAATGCGTACACGTTCTTTGAACGATGAAAGAGTTTTAAAAAAATCAATAAGAGACAATTGCCGTTCAGCATTGGTGCGACGCGCGAACAGTACATGCATTACGTTGCTTTAGTTAAATGCGTTAATGACCTAAACTATAGGGAAAAGAGAAGAATTTGACAGAGTTCAAGAATGTAAAAGTGAAAAATTATTGGTGCTACAACCTTGGACGTCACCGCAAGAATTCATCATTGTTCCCTTAAAAAAGTCAATGCCCAAGTAATTAAATTGCCTCTATTGTGTACGAACCTTCGCAATAGAACAATTTTTAATTTCATGTCGATGACTAACAATGAAATATAAGCGCAATTAACCAGAAATAATTAAAAATTCGATTACTTCCAAGTACTTATGGAATTATGATGATCCATTGCGCCCGATTATTCGTCAGTATATTTCATCAAATTCAATAGTTTCAAATCTGATCAGAGTAAAGTAAATTATAAATATCCGATACTGCCGGAATCGAGAGATTTGTCTGTTGAGAATTGGCCGTAAAATAAGTTCAAAATATATACTTCAAAATTATGATGCATTTCATCTTACTCGGGAGCTTTGAAATTTGGGCTACTAATGTTAAATTTCGGGATTCGGTAGTTTAGTTTAAAGATGGAAAATCTTTTTCTCGTACTTTTTCTCAGCTTTTGAATGATTTTATTAAAAATTCGCTCAGTTGAAAATAAAACTGCTTTGAAATGTTATTTTTCAGCTTTTTTCATATCCGCGATTCATCAGAAATTATTTGTTTTATTGTTTCGTACTCCGTTCTCTAACTAAGGATAAAAATTCGTTGGCAGAGTTGTAACGAGATTTGTTGATATGCTAGAAAGAGCAATTGCCAAGTACAATGCGAATAACACTCGAAAGTCTCTAGGGAATTAAACGATACAGCCATAGGAGGCTCTCATATGAATATAAGGATAAGTCAAGTGCGTACGTATTAAAGCACATCGATGTTTGAAAAGTCAATCTAGCGTCGTTTGATCTGCAAAGTTTTCCTATCCGTCCTAGGGCTGTACACGCATGCCGCTGTACATGGTCGCCTGTTTTTGCGTCATGAAGTGTATACAGCGTACGCTTGCATATAGCCAGGAATTGCTCAAATCTGTTTTCGACAGGGCCCGTCGATCGTTTCCTCGAGTACAGGTGCCTGCACCGCGTAAATGATATAATATATGCGCAATAAAGCTCTTTTCTCGTATCATTGACACCGATCGAAGGATCGAAGCGTCATGCTCATACTTTATTACTCGACGAATTGAAAGCGAACGAAATTGAAAAGAAATTGAACGGTACGATTTTTTATGAAATAAAAATATTCATACAGAAGATATGCTTTTAATTGGCAAAAAAACGCTGAAAAGCTCATAGATAAATATGAATTTATAAATAAAAGATTTATATAATCCATACGAGTAGCTAATAATATAATATCTATACGAATAATGCGGATACCGCGCATATATTTATATAAAAGTAAAAGAGACACAAATCTAAGAGATATGCTTGTGAGTACGATGGTCAGCTTCGTAGTGCTCAGCGAGATCGAGGAGCAATCGTCGATAGACGGCCAAACTGACGTTCATGGAGAGTCGGCGCAGGACGAACCACTCGCCGTAGCTCGAGCCGACGGTCAGGCGGTGCGCCAACGACTTGGGCAAACTGCCGCGCGTGCTCGCCCTCAACAACAAAATTCTCGCCCACCTCTGCGTCAGTACGACGACTCTGCGGCAGATAAGAATAGAAATAAATCGGCCTGCGTATCGAAAGGAGAGTAACGAGCGGTATAAGTTTTGTACCTGTAGATAAGCGCGAAAGAGCCGACGACAAAGAGGAAGACCATCCAGAACCAGACGAACACGAAGACCTTTTCGTTGACGACGTTGAGCGAGAGAACGCAGAGGGCGTCGTGCACTTGGCTCGAGCCCGTCGAGCCGAAAGTGTGCAGAGTGCACTTGGCCAGTTTGGGAAAGAGCCGGGCCATCGGGTCGACTCGCGAGCTCGGCTGGTAGCGCTGGCGCAGGGAGCTCGCCTCGGGCTGCGACAGGAGGAAGCTCAGGGCGTCGAGGCCGTAGCTGGCGAAGCGGCCCTCGAGGAACTTGTCCAGCAGGCAGAACTGGCCGAGGGTCAGCAGGAAGTTGAGCAGCTCGCAGCTGGCGAAGCGCAGGGCGTAGAGCTCGTGGGCCCTGCTGAGTCGGGCCTCGGCGAAGTAGGCGCAGACGCGCGACTTGACCTCCTCCGTCCAGGGGGAGTCGTCGGGCCCCAGAGCCGAGGAGATGCGACCGGAGCCGGCCAGCTCGTTGCTCAGTTGGCACATGAGGCCGGCCTCCCATGCGCGCCACAGGGCCCCCGACACGTAGTAGGCCAGGCCTTGCAGCAGCAGCACCAGGCACACCTGTCCCAGCACAACCCAACGCAAACGTGCCAAACCAAATCCATCTTTTGGCCATTACTATATATAAACTCAAGCTGCTACTGACCCATTGGTAATATTTGTGCTGGTATATCTCGTCGCCATCGGAGGCTTGAGCCACGCCTGGAGCGGCGACCTGTCGTCCCGTTACGCCTCGCAGGTGCCGCTTGACCGTGAACGTGCCGTAGATCCAGCAGTAGATGTTGACCGACTCTGTTTCTGCGCAACGATCGGTACACATGTTATATAACCTCAAGCGCCATCGTATTTTCTAGTGATCGATGGTATACCGAGTCCGGAGTGGTTGATGCAGACGATCGGCTCGCCGAAAAACTGCTTGGCGCTGACGAGGGCCGCGCAGCAGGCCAGAAGGGCGAAGCTCAGCTGCGTGTGCAGTCTGAAGCTGACGTTGTCGATGCGCAGTGGGTAGGGCCGATTGGCGGCCGCCTGTTGCTGTTGCTGCTGCTGCTGCTGCTGATGCTGACCGGCCAACAAGTCGCGCACCGGCCCCAACAGCTCGAACATGCCGATCTCTGCGCCTCTTTTTCTTATCGGATGTTCTAGCGCGTCGCCTCTTTCTTCTCTGACTCGATCTCTCGCTCTCGCGCCGCTAATCAAGCACTGTATTTGTTTGGCGGTGTAATTACTAGCGTCGATTGTTTCGCCTGGCGCTGCGCCAATAACGCGTGTCATTCGATATATTACTCGCGACGAGGTATCGGGCAGCTTATTTTTTTTTTTGTTTTCTGCATTTATACGCCGATGAAAGTAGGCCTGGTTGCCTTGTAATTAAGGCTGATTTTCCCAAACGATGATTCATTTATAAACAATCGAATGACATCTTTAGCCTCGAGCTTTAAATTTCAAAGCTGCAAAGAGGCGAGGGAAATTGGATTTAGTAAAAGTGCCAGCGCTCGCTTTGCAATTCCATTTTGCGCCTTGTATCCGGCAGCGCTCAAAAAATGATCGAGCCAGGCGTGCGTTTGATGTGTGCCACCCCCGCCTCCTGCATCGAGGCCTGCTCCTGACTGCGTATGTGCGTGCTACCCGACGCACTCATCATCATAATTACACTCTCGCTATTACGTTGTGTATTTAGAGGCGACAGGTGGGCTTTTATGTGACCATATTTATCGAAAATCTCAACTACTTTCGGAATGTCTGTACAATTTGATATGAACATTTTGTACCGAAAATACGATCTTGATCGATGATTATTAAGCTTTACATCCGCTCTTGTACATTGTAAGACGTGTCTAAGGATCGTACGAGATTAATCGGCAAAAATTAACGATATTCGTTCACAAATATTTCACTCACCGAATTTAAAATCAGAAGGTAAAATTTAATCGGTGTATTAAACGTGTAGGGCCTCAAACAATCGAGAGCTCTGATTAATTCAAGAGGCACCGATGAGTCGAGCGATACCTCAGATTAGTCTCTTTCACGATTATTAAAAAGTAATAAAATTACATGTCCGGTACGATCGGGGAAATTGAATCTTTTTGATGGAAAGGAGGGTCTATCACATAGGTATATGTAGGCAAGTTGGAAAGTAGCAAAGGGCATGGGGCAGATTCGAAGCGCATGCGTTTAACCCTGCTCGTAAAGTCGCGTACGCGTGTCGCGCACCTGAAAATTTGCTCGACGCTCGCGCGCAATCGAGCCAAGCACGCATTCCGGTCGCAAGCTAGTCCACGAGCTAGTCCACGCGCGAGTTGTACAAGAGCGAAGGGCCCAGACATGGGTTGCTTCGTTTCCTGCTTTCGAGTGAGTAATAAACTTTTAAATTGGCCTACGTGCGTCGTGTAAATCATGCATGTATTTACCGTAGTGGGATGGTCGATACATTTATCATTGTTTGTCCAAAATACGACGCAGGTTGAAGAAACGCTCAAGTACCGCCGAAACTCGCATTATTTCGAGCTTCATAACTCCTGCACGCCGATTTTTCTTGCCATTTCCGAACATAGCCAAGTTTCTTTGCCTCTACGCGATTTTGGACTCGAAGGAGCAGCTTTGCCGGTGAGTATAAATTTATGTACGTGAAATAAAAAATTATTATTTCTGAATCGATTTCTTTTTCGCCCTTGAAAAGATGCATCGAGGAATCGATCGACAGCAGTTTCCGACTTCGCATGGCCGAATTCAAACCATTTAACTTTTCTTCACTTTGCCCAGGATAGTGAAAAGGTTTCTTTATTTTTGAATGCATCACTTTGTTTCGCGTTACGCATTAAAACTTAGCCAAAAAGAAACGGTGTATTTAGCCATGATGCAAAATTCTTTACATTTTTTTTAGTTATAAAAATATAAAAATAATCGTTTCGAATCATACATAATTTTTACCAAACTGTAAATTTTTTCATAATAAAGTATTTCTAAGCAACTTGCGTGGTTTACATGTTACGAATAATTTCGAACGATATCTTCAACCGTTCCATTACGATTTAAAACGGTAGTTAGCGTCTGCTGACTCGGCTGCGTATACACACCGAACTTCTCGGGAGCTAACATTGGTTTGAGAAAAAATGGCACCGAATTGCAATTGCAATAAAAGTAAGAATTTTCCTTGTACCTCTATTTCATCGATAAAAAATTCCGTAAAGTTACACGATTTCTTTTCAACTAGGAGTGATGCGCGTCATCACAAAACTGGCTGTACGCGCTTTATGGCTGTATGATTTTTTCAAGAAGTTGGGTCAATTTTTAAATATTGTGGGCGTTATTTTCTTACCTATTTTCAAAGTTCTCGCATACATGGGACTCGGCGTCTGTAAGTCAATCGATTTTTATTTTATCATGCATTCAAATACTCCCTAGTAAACTTTCTTGCCGCAGTTATTTTGTTCTTTTACATAGCGATTCACAATCAAGCGGACATTTTCGATAACGAAGATGGAGGAGAAATTTTACAACTCGACGACAAGTCTCGATTCATTGATTTTCATTCTACTCGGAAGGAACTCATCAAAATGAAAACTGAAGTTATGAATTTTGAAAAATCATTGCAAAAAATGGTCAATTTTATTAATTCTAATGGTTCGGTGCAATCAAGTATCTTTTTGAATATATTGCGCGGTTTTTTTGCAAAGCTAAAATTGGTACCTTTCAGATTTGAGTATGGCAGATTTCGCATCAGAGTCAGCCGGAGGATTCGTTATTGATACACCGGATACGGAACCTTTTAGCAAAGTAGCTTCGACGCAATTGACCATCTTCGGCATACCCATTTGGAAACATACTTTTTACTCGCCGCGAAAAATTATTCAGGTATGATAATGAAGATTATGTTAAATTCCCGTGGACTTCGATAAAATTTCTCGGTTTCTTACCGTTACCAAAAAAGCCGTGGAGACAAGCCGGTGAGTGTTGGTCGTTCAAAGGATCGCAAGGGAAAATAAATATTCAACTTGCCATGACGATTAACATTGATAAAGTCACGATGGAGCACATTCCTATCAGCGCATCTCTCACTGGAAAAATCGATTCGGCGCCAAAAACATTCAACATTTTGGTAAGTTTTTTTTCAAGGCTTCATGGTTTCATTTATCAACTAAAAACGGAGTTTACATTTTGCAGGGTGAAATAGATGGCAAATACGTAATGATTGATACATTTATGTACGATAAAAATGGTCTTCCTTCGCAAACTTTTATTTTGAAGGTAAATATGACTTTTCGTTGAATCGATCATTAACTTCATTCAACTAATTTATCGAATTTTTTTAGAATTCGGAAATGAAAAAAATCCCTTTCTTGCGAATCATTTTAGAAATTGTATCAAATTGGGGAAATTCGGAGCATACGTGCATTTATAGATTCAAGGTTCACGGAAAGTTTTCTGAGACAAACAATTGATTCAATTATAAGAAAAAAAAAAGTAAATTTGGTAAATACGTAAATACCACTAAAATATTTCGAGAAGGAAATTTCAAATAAATTTACAAGACATTTTATATCAGTAAATTTTTTACAAAGGTATTGTCAAATTACAAATATTGTAATTCATTGTTTATAAATTAACCCCAGTTTTGCTGATTTCCGCCGCCCCAAGAAGATGAGTTTAAATCTGGTGCTGGAGAAGAGCTCCAATCTTCGTGTTCCTAAAAAAAATTATTTTTTATTTCCACATCATATTTTGTCAAACTTTTGATTTATAATTATATACTCACTGCGGCCCAATCAGTCGCACGCGCTGCAAATGGGTTATCGGCGCCAGCTGTATTAACGGGATTAATAGGTGGTGGTATGTCATCAGCCCAACTTTCAGTTGTTGGCACCGGTGTATCGTTACCCCAATTTTCAACTGGTGCTACAGCAGGAATAACATCATCATTACCCCAGTTTTCAACTGGTGTTGAAAGAGGAATATCGTTCACATCCCAATTATCATTTGCAGCGCTATCCATCAGTACTGGAGGATAACTTCCGATATCTTTGAGTGTTGGCACAGCTTTGGTATCAGCTTGTTCTTCTTTCTCGGACTAGAAAATTAACGAAAAATATTTTGCACATAAATCGTTCAATGTTGATTTGCTGTTGTGATGTACCAATTTTTCTCACCTCCTCTGGTTCTCTGTAAAAGTAGAGATCCACGACGACGTCCCATTTTGCTTCTCGCGGAATTGACCCCCGCATTCTAAGAACTTCTCTAGTCAAGAACCACCACATAAGACCAATACTAAATTTACCTTTGGTGTTGCAAGGTATGGCAATGTCAATATAACGAAGTGGTGTATCAGTATCACAAAAAGCAATAACTGGAATATTGACATAGGATGATTCAATGATAGCTTGATGGTCTGCAGCTGGATCAGTTACTATCAGAAGACGAGGCTCGCGAAATGCCGACTGTAAATAATTCAAGTTCCGTTGCAATTAACTCTTGAAACGATCGCGTACTTTTTTGTTGCTAAAGCTCCATTTTTTCTCATCAAATGATGTTTATCATACCTGAATTTGATTGGTGAAGGTTCCGGGCGTAAATCTTCCAGCAATCGCGGTAGCCCCAGTGTGAGCCGCAAATTTCAGAACAGCTCGTTGCCCGTGTGGACGTCCACTGATAACGAAAACTTCGGATGGATGCTCAATGGCGGTTATGACCCGAGCGGCCAATAAGAGTTTTTCCCAAGTGCGACGTAAATTAATTATATGAACCCCGTCTTCACGACGCTTGTAAACATAAGTTTTATTTTGAAAGTTAATATTCTGCGATCCCAAATGCACGGATGCCGAAAGCATTTTGGAAACGTCCTCCTCCTTGAGGGCGAGAATTTCATAACCTCCTGACATCTTAGACTTTATTTAGTCAAATACTCTTATCCGACCTGTAATGAGAAACCCGATAATTATGCATGAGTATTTTATTTACTACACTACTATTGATCATTCAGAATAATCAAAATCGCCTCAGGATTCATTCGCATAACACGACCGCGTGTGAGCCAACCTCAAAAAAATTATGGGATTGCAAATGATGTGAATCAATACATTGTTTCATTCTACGCGAATATTTATTTTGAAAGAATTGGATATTATTATCTTAAAAAATTGATTGTTATTGATTTAGTTGCGTGCTCTAATTAAACAAATGAAACGCGCGAGATACTCTAGCTTGGACGAGTGAACTTTACGCAGTCATATTTAGGTAGCTACCAAAAGATAGTACTTCACATACTTAGAATCGATTATTGTCAAAAATCGTTCATGTGAACAACCCGCACTTACTCTGAAGAGAGTTCCAAAGTTAATCTAAAATGATTGTAACCACGAGTAAAAAAGTTCAAAAAAAGACTTACTCCTTTGAGGGTTCAGGAAAAAATGAGAGAGAGAGATCCGGATATTGTAACTAATCGATGCCAATTGAGAAAACTACGCATTATGTCATTCGCTAATCCTGTCGATTGTTACGCGCCCTCCCGATCGGATTGTGCAATTATTGAAGGAACTATGCAAGGCAAAAAAAGTTCCGGTCTTTGAATTCAAAATAGCTTGAAAAATGAAAAACATTTTCTTCTCAACTATAAAGGAAATACGAATACAATGAAGAAACATTGTCACAGGTAGTATTTCGATCACACACCAATATGAATTTTATTGAATTTAAAAAATGAGATTCTTAACAATAGGTTAGTGCCCAAACGTCTGAATGTACCGATAAAGAGAGTCAATCATTGGCCCTCTGCGGTCCGCATTATCGTCTAGAGTTTGAGCGACGCGGCGGGTCGGTGCAAATTACTTTGAGACTGAAGGTGGCGCCACTACCTGAATAAACATCCTGATTCCTGAATCCGTTTGCGACGATTGAATGCGCCACTTGCAGTAGTGCAAGAAATCTACTATTCAAAAAAATATTGACCCTCAAAAAATATCCATGTCAAGTAATCAAAAAAACGAGCAGATTAGCAATAAATCATTCACAATCGCCCAGATATTTTTTCTGTGTCAATACCGTACAGCGTTCGTCATAATATATTCGGAAACTTGTGCATTCTTTTATGATTTCTTTTAATTCCTTATAAAATCGTGAATTCAAATTTAATTTTTTTAATAGTTAAAAATACAACTGCAACTGAAGAAATGTAAGGGAATCGCATTAATATTAATTTTAAAATATAAAATAATAAGCTTGACCAACATTCTTTAAATAAATAATTATGGGCTCGAGATCTTTTAGTTACGGATTATAATTATTTGTTTTTTGGATTAGCCCATACTTATACTTTAATGTTTTTTTGGAAGGGAGGGGACGATCATTACAGAACTTGATCGTTTTTTGCAAATTTAGTGGCTCAACATTTAATTAGTGAATAACAATAGTGCTTTTAGTGTTTAATAAGTAAAATTTACTAGTGTCGGGTGTTATAGAAGTATTAAAAGAAGATTTGTGAAGGTTTGTGAACATTTATTGGATAGATGAAAGAATGAAAAAAACCAAATTATTGGATTTTTGCCAACCGATGAAAATAAGCTTTCTGTCAATATTGAAAAAAAAAACCAAGTCCGCGAATTCATTTGGATCAAATTAGTCATGGTGCTCCGAAAAAACATGTTGCCAGCTAATTAATTGTAACTTGGGAAAAACTATTATTGGCCGTACGAGCCACATCGGCGATTGAACATCCATCTGAAATCTTTGTTATCAGCGGACTGCTGTTCTTAAATTTGCGGCTCACACTGAGGCTACCGCGATTGCTGGAAGATTTACTCCCGGAACCTTCGCCAATCAAATTCAGGTATGATGAACATCATTTGATGAGAAAAAATGGAGCTTTAGAAACAAACAAGAACGCGATCGTTTCAAGAGTTAATTGCAACGGAACTTGAATTATTTACAGTCGGCATTTCGCGAGTCTCGTCTTCTGATAGTAACTGATCCAGCTGCAGACCATCATACTATCATTGAATCATCCTATGTCAATATTCCAGTTATTGCTTTCTGACTCACCTGTTAGTTTTGTTGATATTGCCATACCTTGCAACAATAAGGGTCAACCTTGTATTGGCCTCATGTGGTGGTACTTAGCTCGAGAAGATCTCTGAATAAAAGGAGTCATTCCTTGAGAAACAAACTGGGATGTTATTATAGATCTTTTCTTCTATAGAAATCCAGTGGAGGTAAAAACAATAACTATGAAATTAATATTGTAAAAAAGATATATTTTACTATTTAATTACCAGCCTAAGATGATGATAAACTTATATCTAGAGTACTCATGTTATATAGCTTATTCTTTTCTGATCACAATTTTATTAATTTACACATTCAAAATTGTATTGGAAACAAGGTATTAAAATTCAAAACATTTTTCAGGTTGAAAAAGAAGAGCAAGCTAAAGATCTTAATCTCAGAAACTCCTTCAGTTGAACCCTGGTCAACCAATGATGTTCAAATAGCTCCAACTGAAAATTGGACTGATGATATTCCATTAGTTGCACCAGCAGCTGATGCAGTACATGATTCAGCAGCTGCATTTCAACTTGGTAGTGATTGGGTTTCAGAAGAATGGGCTAATTCTAGCAACTACCACTGCAATTCCGACTTAGGGTGGTGCTAATCAGTCTAATTGGTCAAAAGTATCTTAAATATAATTTTATTTTCATGACAAATAAAAATAAATACATTTTCAAAGTTGAAAAATTTTATTTATTTAAATTTTTTTATAGAATGCAGTATAATATTGAGTACCCAAATTTTTTTTCAAAAATCCTCTCAACTACTTCATTATACAACTGAATTACGCTTGTATATAGCATTTAATTTTAGAAAGTTAAATACTTATTCTCAATTCCAATGATAATGTATAAATTAAACTATTTTAAGTTTTGCTTTTTTATAATGAAATAAAATAAAATCTCAAATTTATGCGGCGAAAAAAATGTTGTAGAGAGCGCTAGTGTACAGGGCTCAGTGATCAGTCAAACAAAGTAGAATGTAAATTGTCAGATAGAGACATAGAGTCATAAATGATAATCATAACCTTAGTCTTTTAGAGACTATTATGTTTTATGTTTGAGCATTTTAGCCGGCTGCGCTTACTTTACTGTTATTTTTGGATACTTTTGTGTCCAACGTTCATGGAGTAAATAACTTTGATTTCGGTATAATATATTGTATTACTATAATGATTTAAATATTTTTTTACTTTATCATTCTCTAATTAAATATACACATTCGCAATGTTTATGATGTATAAAAAGAAAGAAAGTAAAATGAAAATTAAGTAAAAATTGAATATTTTAAGAAGCACTAAATTAAATGTTTGATGAAATCATTTGTTTTTTACAAAGTGAAATAAAGTAGTCAATTTATCGTTTTTTAGGAAACAGATAATCATGAGTTTAGATAATACATTTGACAGCCTTTATCCGGCTAATCACAAAACTGTTTTTGTTCTTGACCGAACACCTTATTTTGGGATATCCTCTGACTGTTCGATCGAATTTGATTGCCTAAAAGCAAGAGGTCCAAATGTTATGCCTATTCCATCTATATCAAAGTCTCTTTGGACTACAAGTATAGAAACTTCTATGGAATACTGTAGAATTGTTTGGGACTTATTTCCACGTGGTAAATTGGTAATGTAATTGTCAATAAGTTATAATTTTTGAAAAGTCATGTATCTTCTAAGACAATTGTACTTTCATAGATAAGATTTGTGGCGAGTGATCATATTGCTCATATATTGAATTCATGGGATCCTTTACAACAAACTGCATCACATATTATGAATGGATTTGGACTCATTGGAACTCCTTTGCCACATCAATCAGGCTCTGATTTTTCTGTGATTCATGGACTAAAGGTAGCCATAGAGGCTTTGTCAGAAATATCTAATGAACAAAGGCAAAGTTTATCATCTTCACCAAATTCTGCTAATAAATTTCTGAATCGAGGTAGAGTTATATGTATAACCAGTGCAAGAGACAACTCAAACTTGAAAAGTTTAGAAGCCATTTTTGCTAATCACTTATTAGCTCAGAATAAACAAATAGCTAATTCAGAAAAGTAAGTAAATAAGTGAAGAAAAATTTAATTACATTGAAAATTCTGTTTCAATAAAATTTTTTATTTTTAATACCGAATTATTTTAGTTTCCTGCCAATTCATCATTGTCATCTGGTTATAATTAATATCTTTCCTTTAAATATTGACTCTCAAGTGTCAGATAGAAAAATGTATGAGGTAAGTTTCATAAATGTTAATTTTTAGCAATATAAAGTATTTATATTGCCTTATTTATGATTTATTTGTTTTGATAATTTCAACGGGTAAAATAAAAAATAAATTTCCAGGTATCACCTATACTATCTATGGAGGTACATTCCATGAAAGCTTCTGGTTTACACGCTAAGCTTTCCCATTTAATATTATCACATTATAATCTTGCTAGCACAACTGTAACAGGAATACCAATGAAAGAAGAACAAAATGCAAGCTCTTCTGCAAATTACGATGTGGAGATATTTCATCCTGCTGGAGCTCATACATCAATTCTGAAAGGTATTAACTTCCATTTTTAAATTTCAAATTTGAGAAAATTTTAATTACTTATTATAATTATTGAATAGGTAATCCTGCAGACTTAGCGCTTTTAAAAACGCTTCGGCGCTTTGGAGAAGGAACAGATTATGAAACGATAACATTGAAGTGGAGCACTCCAAGAGGAGTGAGTTCTAGTGATTTACAAAATTGCACTGCCATGCACAGGATCACACCGTTTGATATTAACAGTAGACCCTCGTCTTGTTTGATTAATTTTTTGTTAAATGGACGTTCCGTGATGTTGGAAATGTCAAAAAAAAGTGGTGGTAAAGCAGTTTCTCATTTATTAGCCAGTCATGGAGGTGAAATATTTATACATACACTGTCCACTGCCAGAAGTGTATTAGAAGATCCGCCTAGTATAAGTGAGGGTTGTGGTGGGCGAGTTACTGATTATAGAATAACTGTAAGTTGATTTTTTTAGCAATTATACTTTTATTAATTTTTAATTTAAGTCAGATGAAATTAAATTGACAATGTTGCCATAGGATTTTGGAAACTTGATGAGAGCAAACATATTAGTACCTTTGAAACGACGCAATAATGATAGAGGAGAAGAACCTGCCGAAAAAATGAGGAAACGTCTGGAAAAATTCACGAAGTATTGGCCAATCAACATCTCTAACACTGTCATATTTAATTTGAAACAGGTAATTTTATAAAATTGATCATGAATGTATTTGTATAAAATTTTAAATAAATGTAACTAACAATTTTTTTTATGTAGTATTGCGATCCTTTGATCGAAGCAATGATGAAAGATGTTATTACTAAGGATGAAGTTGTTCAATGTAAGCAGATAATTTTCAGCTTACTCGGGCAAGAAGCCAAACATGAGCCTCTACCTCTTCCTAATTTTACTGGAAGAGGTCCTAAAGGAGGAGGCCGCAGAGAAGAACACTACCGTCTACTCTGGCTTGAGTTGGAAACTTTTCTTCGCGCGCATTCTCAAACATCGTCTCTTCATACCGAAGTGCTTACATGTCTACTCGAAGTGAGAAACAAGAGTGACAAAGACATAGATAAAGTGGAGCTTGATCAAGCTTTACGAGAACTCGATGGGTAAGTGCTTAGCTTCAACTGTTTCAAATGATTTTCAATCAACTTAATACCTTTGTTCATAGAATTGGGAAAGAAGATTCGGTAACAGCTGCAACTAGAGCGACTGTTATAAGGGCTACTACGGACTCTCCAATGTCACCCCCTAGCATAATTATGAATATGGGCAAAAGCGGTGTCCACGGAAAACCACTCAAATTACAGAACAAAAGTCTTATGGACATTTACTTGGCAGCATCTGTGCCTAAGAATCCTAGACCTGAATTTCATGGGCGTCTAAATTGTACTCCAAGTAATCCAAGAACTAAATTGTACGCTAATCTAAAAGATCAAGATAAACGAGAGGGTAGAGGAGGGGACGTTCCAATGGAAGCATAAAACTTTAACATACATTTTCAATATATTTTCAGTATATTCATATTAGTGTAAATTAAGTGCCTTGTAAATAACGTATTGTATTTTTTGTACACAGTGTAAATAAATGAAATTAAAATTTGTAGACAAGGATGATCTGTAAATAAAATTAATAAAATAATAATTAGAACCTTATTGGATAAAGTTTAAGATAGTATGCTAGTAATTAGATTAGTTCGACACCTCTTCCGGAAATGAGGAACGAAGAGTGGGAAGTTTTAAATGTAGTTACAAAAGCCAGGACATGTGTAAAGAAATGTAAGAAATTGTAGTTTTTTTGACGGATACTTGGAAGTTTCCCTTGTTTTTCGAAATAATCAATATTTATTGTAACAGTCATTATGCATGAAGCAATCGCCACTTATTATTTAATTATTATGATTCATTGTGTATAATGAATATATTGGCCTATTAGTACGTGCTCTTCTGATCAATTTTTCCCCCGTCATAGTATGTAGCATTAAAGTTTCAAAACCCTTACAATTGTATGAATTTGATAAATTCGGTTGCTGACAATTCAGAGGCGTAGCTGATGCTCTCAAATTCCTTCGGGGGAGCCTCGAGCTCAAGGTACAAATATCTACCAGTCGAGCAACTAGGTGAAAAAAGTTATTCAATGTAAACCCGAGTAAGCCAAGTAATTAAATCAGTCCACCTTTTACTGTTTATCTAATAATAAAATATTTAAACTCAAGTAGCGGAATTAATCACCACAGGGCGTGCGATTCATTTGAACTTTAAATTGTAATCGTAAGTAATCGAATCGTGCCAGCTCGTGACTTTCTTTTTTTTTATTGCATGTTGGACAATCAAAAAGATTGTCAGAGATGAGTCGATTGGATTACTTACTAAAGTTTATCTGTACCCAAAAAATTGCAAAGTGTCTAGTCGCTTCGGATATTCTAGGTCGATGAATTAAAAAACTACACGAGATCGGTCGCTTCAGTTACTTGGAATTCTTGAAATTACCAAGGTTTGCATATTTAATTATTAAGAAGTGCACGGCTTGGGTCGATTGGAACGCTTTTGGTTACTAGGGGTTATTTGGGTTTGCATATTCAAAGATTTAAAGAATGGCATGAGCTGGGTCACTCGTCTCAAGTAGGCACCCATAATAACTCCGTCTGAAAAATAAGTCCGACATCGAAAAGATACAATTATCCACAAAAAATTGAATATCTCTATAAAATTTGAGAAAAATATTTTTTCCTCGGGTTTTTATCCCAATTAATTTATTTTATTATAAAATTTGTAAAAAATTTTCAAAGCCTCGAAATGTCCAGTATTTCGTTCAAAATTTTGAAACAACGTAAGTTGTGTTTAATAATCTGAAACGCTCTAACTTTTAATAAAAAGTTGAAATGTGATATTTTTTAAGGAAAAAGCTTAAAATCTAAATTTTCCCACTTTTTCTACGGAATTTCAATCTCGCTTCTTATTGTAAAGGGTCATCGGATTAAAATCTAAGAGTTAAAAAGAAAGTTGAGCTAAAAAAGGTCATGAATTACAAGTATTATTACCAGTATGCAATCAAACCGAAGATATAATTATAAAATCTATGTAGTGGTAAAAAAGTTAGATAGCTGAAGTAGCCAAAAGAAAGAAAGAAAGAGAAAAGGAGTTGAAAGGGAAAGCGTACATCTATATCTATACATACTTATATACGAGTACATAAAGGAATTTATACCAAGTAGTGAATGAAAGTGTGCGCAAAGAGAAGGAGAGAGAGAGAAAGAGCAAGCATCAAGTGAAATGAGCAGTGTGAAAAAGTCGAACTGCGGGCTTGGAGAAGGAGAACGAAAAGGTAGCATCAGGGTGGAGGTACACATATATAGCAATAGTACGGCATTATAGGTATATTATACAGCCAAGGAAGGGAGTGCGATGCCACAAGTTGCGTGTGACGTAACACACTTCATTCATCTCTCTCTCTCTCTCTCTGCTGTTGCTGCTGCTGCTGCTACTTCTCTCTGTTATATATGGTTGATTCTCCTGAAATCTGCTTTTTGCATGTCTTTATGCCATATTCTTAAACTAGTGAAGATGAGCCAAAACTGGCTCGGTCATTCATTCAATATTGTTGTATTCTTCATGATAGGACATAAATATTTCAATTTTTTAGGGTCAGTTAAATTTGCCGTGAAGATATACATGCCAAATGTCACCTCCGTGGCATGTCTACATCTCAAAATCAACTCTATTTGCATGTACCATGCATTCTCATTAGCACCTGACCCTATAATAACTATGAGACCAGCTTCTATACATCCAGAGTAAAGTTTAAGTCTATTATAGGGCTTTGAAAAATGTTTTAAAAAAATTTCCCACGCAATTGAAAAATGTCTCGGATTTTAATCATGCTTCTGAATAATTTCAAACATACCGCCTGCTTTGGGTCGCTAACTCATTTTTGATGTCGCTAGATACGTAAATGTCAAGTATTATAGCCCAGCTTTCGATTGGTGTAGGTTGCGGGTTCAAATTTTACATTTTATCGATGCTGCGATAATTATTCTATTGAAAAATTCACGTGTGTCAAAAAAACGGTCACCTCCGTGGACATGAATATCTCGAGCTATGATCATTCTTTTTAACCGCTCGCCCCGTCAAAAGACTCGTTTTTCATGACCAAATTTCGGGTTGTGCGGAAAATTTTGTGCGTTTCTTATTTTTCTTACATAGTTGATCAAAGCAGCGATTTGTCACCTCCGTGTGTGTCACCTCCGTAACCGAAAATAGTCGATTTTAAGCATAAAATCGGACATAGTTTTCGTAAAACGAAATCTCAAAGCCCCAGATTCAATAATTATTCATATTTTATGGTTTAAAAAAGGGTAAACTAGTTCGCGCCGTTCAATATGACAAAAAAATTTTCACCATTTTTTCGTTTTCCATACCCGAAAAAGCAGATTTCGGGAGAATCAACCATATACGTGTGCATATATATCATGCAGAAGTTTACCGGTCAATGGCCTTGCCGCAGTCTCGCTGTCGCACACACAGACTCGTAGTAGCATAAGAGGGTCGATTTAAAAGGCTCGAGTATACACATGCACAGCGCGTAGGTATTTGAACTAGATATTATACGGAAAAGTCGAATAGACGTGTTTTTACGCGAAGCAATGCGTCGAGTCGTCAAAGGGCTGATATTTCAGCTCGACTCCGTTCCTGGGGTATTGACTGATTTCATTTACACGCGATGTTCCATTAAAAATACCTCATCGCGCATAAGAGCTTGTGTAATGTCGAACCAATAGACGAGAAAAAATCAGTCGTAAAAATAATAGCAATACTACATAAAAGTATTGTTTACAAAGCGATGCTTTGAATTCGCAAAATTTGCATGGTTTCGTCTTAATTCTGAAGAAGGAGAAAAGTTGAAAAGTCGAATTAAATACTTTTAACGAGACATTTGTCCACAATTACGAATAGCCGGGTTTGATGAAAATTTGCGCGCTTTTAAACAGCTTGAAGTATTGATATGGCTTGCCGTAGTGCCACGACGACGAGCCAGCTATATCATATCGATCGGTTGGTCTGGCAACGTACTTATACATACACCAATTCGACATACAAACGCAAAGCCGCCCCCTGTGCGCTCTCGTCACCTCTCTTCACGTATAAATCTGTCCAGCAATTTTACTCGAGAGGATTCGTTGGACGAAATGCCGGCCACCCGAGATGCGCAAGGAAATTCAAAAAAAATTTACCAATTCGGAAAAATTTGGTCACTTTGTCGAACGTGGGTATGATAAATTAAAACGTTGCTGCGCAAGCTATCCGAGGGGACGTTTATGGGTGCGGACCGCTCACGTGGAGGGGCATACCGGTAGTGAGGAAGGAGAAAAGAGAGAAAGTATTGATCGGGGACGTTGAAGCACGTAATATAGACAAGTTCAATTTCTCTGCGATTTTATTCTTTTTTATTTTATGGTTTAACAACACTCCGCGAGTTTTATTAAAAAGTTTAAACATCCCTAATAGCAATCTCTGTAGTATAAAATGACAATAACGAGCTGCCTTAGACATTTATGAAATTCAGAAAAGAATTTGTGCAAAAATCACGATTAATGCAGCTACGAATATGGCTCTGCAGATCCGCATTTTTTGCTTTTCACCGTGCGTGAATATTGAAGATGATTTTCATGAATATTAAAGCTCTGCGCGGGATGAGAGGCGTCGGTTGGGCCGGCGTTGAAAGTTATATAAATTCATGCAGTAGACTCTATTTTCCCAAAAATTGCTTATTACGTATCTGTATCTCACGTTCTTAAGCTAATCGAATAACTAAAAACTAAGTACTACAACCTAAATACTTCATTTATGCAATAATTTGTTGTATTTTTATCGATTTAACAAAAATTACCATAAAATAAATTTGCGAAATGGCATCTGTGTAAGTGGTGAATGAAAAATATAATACTTTCGATCTGGAATCTTATCATTTTTGCTCACGCCGTCAAAAAGTTCCTTTTTCAAGCTGAATTTCGGACTGTTCGGAATACTTTTGAATACATTGTGTAACTTATTTTGGAAAAAGTAATTAATTTTAATCATAAAAGTGTAAACTTATTTGTGAATAACGATATGTGGCAGTCTTTTTCAACTTTTTTCAGAATAAATGGTATACGATAGTTTTTGTATACCCATGCAGCAAGGGTACAAGTACATAATGCAAAGCTTTTGAACTCGTAAAAATCGTGATACACAGTGAAGCCTGAACATCTGTGAATGGGCTCCAGCTGCAAGGGAAAAGAGCGAATAAAAAACAACTCACAGTCTGTCAAATATATCTGACTCGATAAATTTTATTTTGTTATATGAAGATCATCAATGATGATCAAAGGTCGCCGAGAACTTTTAAAATGTAATTAAATACTATCTCTCTATACCTCTGTTATACGAATTTCTCTCTGTATATTTTTGAATGACCCAGCTAGTACTCTTTTACTAATCAAAAAAGACGATATTTTGAATTAGTTATCGATAGAAGGGGATAGTGATCGAAAAAAGAGAGGGGTAGAAAACTTTGACTCGTAGAAAATTGTTTAATGACCTGGCTTAAAATAATGCGAGATCAAAATATAAGAAAGAGTTTTCCGAGCTCTTTATGCCAAAAAACTGTATATAACGAATTTCAAATCATTCTCTGTAAACTTGGTTAAGGAGAGGTTTTCGAGGCGTTTCATGGTCAAGTTGAAGGCAAACGCGTGGATCACGATTCACGTGCATACCATAATGTAGGGGCGAAAGCAATACAATGGCGCGTTTAGCGAAGAAAAATCGACGTAATTTTTTTACGATTGTCATTGACATTTACATAATATATACGCAGACACACGACGCAGACATACGAAGGCGCGCAATATGCATTCATATAGCATCATTGTTAAGTAACAGGCATATGATCGTAAGAGAGCGAGCTCGGGTCGAGGAGTTCGTTGACATTTAAGCGTAAGATACAGTAATTTATTGTACTCGTTGCACAGGTTGCGTCATCGATTCACGACGTTTTTCCCTGCGCATGAACGGGTACACGAGTCTCGCAAAATCAGTATTTGCAGTCATTGGTGATTGACCTGCAACTTGTGTTTATCATAAGTATGAAAAGGAATCGTGTCTAGGTGCTGTGCAAATCGTGCCGAGTAGAGTGATTACGAATCGATGCTATGCACTAAACATGCACCCCCGAGTGACAGGGTATATCGCGTAGGCAGATCAAAGCCTCTCGCTACAGCTACCTAACGTGTTTATATACAGCAACTGCGTGAGCGTAAATCAAAAGGGGGATAGGATAGCACGATAGCCTTTCCCCCTTTGGTTTCGGAGCGTGTACGAGAGAGAGAGAGAGAGAGAAAGAGAAGCTCGTACGTACTACACCGAGTCTGACTTTGTATGCGCTCTATATACAAGCCTGTAAGTACGTGTACATGTGTGCATGTGATTGGCTCCAAGTGTGAGTGAGAGAGTTTACACACCCGTTGAAGGTCGAATCGCGGCGTTTTACTAGGTCACGGCCTCGACTACTGTATCTCGAGAGTATGTATATATGTATATACCTATATAGTACAGACATAAAGCCTCTGTGCAAGTATGTGTCTAGCCACTGCGTGACCTACTTATGCCTTTTCAAATTCTCTTCCGCCTTCTTCTCTCTCTCTCTTCCTTTCCTTTTCTATACTTGTTCCGCTGATAATGTATACTTACGTACACGTGCTAGTATATAAACAACTCTACTGCACCCTCTCGTATTAAACACTGCACTACCGTTTTTCGGGTCGTTGACACTTGCAAGCTCGATGACTTGTTTACGTATTATATAGCGTCTTATTATAACACGTATATGTATATAGCGATCGTTTTTCCTTTGCTTCTGGAAAGATAACGCGTGACGGGGAGTTATGCATGAGTAATATCGATGTAATTAATCGACGCTCGATCTTTTCTCAATCGTTTTGTTTATTTTTTTAGCTTACATATGTAATTATAATTCGCTATACATAATCGAATTAACTGTGCTGCACATAAACACATACATACGCAGACCGGCAGCCGCGCGTACACACAACTTGCCCTGATAGCACGGAAAGTTGCAGCAACGTTGCGGCAACCATATTTTTGAAACATTGAAACTTTAACATACTCGTGTCATGAACGTTGCGGCAACGTTGAAGCAACGCAGTTTATGTCCCATATGGTAACGAAGTAACGTTGCTGGAGCGTCGTCGTTCAGCGTCCGCGAGATTTCGGCAACGTTGCGGCAACTTTCAATGATTTTTTGTATTTAACGTGAGTCCGCGAAAGCAATGTTCCGTCAACGTTCCCGCAACTTCACGAGAGCCTACAGCTTAGATTACAGGTTCGTGAAAGCAATGTTCCGGCAATGTTCCGGCAACATTCCTGCAACTTTACGAGAGCTTATTTGCATTGAATTCGCTAACTTGCAGAGTTTTGAAAAATAGACAGTATCGGTTTTTCACAACTAATGAACAAGGGTATATACTCGCACTAAATTTTTTTCACGATGCATATTTATTTTTATAAAAAAATAATACATAAAATAGATAGTTCTGGAAAATGGACAGTATTGGTTTTCAACCTTTCATGAACAACGGTATCCTATACTCGCACTAAATTTTGTTACAATGCACATTCATTTTTATAAAAAAATAATACATAAAANATCATTTGGAAAGTTCTTCGACGATAAACATCGATTCAGTCTCACTTTGATAATTAATCGTGCCAAAGATTCAAAGAGGTGAAAAAGTTTATTAAAGAGCGATAACATTGCTCGCTTGAAGCTCAACTTTTTTAAACTAGTATTAATCAACTTAGACGGCAATGTCACATCAACGACTTTATTCGATTTCAGTGTCCGCTTTTTCAGATGACCTGTGAGTTTTTATACCAAGAAAAATAATACAACTACTAATAAAATTGCACACAGAGCTTCAATTATTACAAAACAGATCATGAAAATTCCCACGAATAGATTACGCTTACTCTGTCAATGTGGTTGCGGAAAAAGAAAGTACCACGAGCACGATTATTTATGATTATAAATATTGTTTTTATTTCAAATATTACACATAATTACGCAGGTATAAAGAGATGATTTAAACCTTAATTTCTGTACATCGCTTTGAGAGCCGTCGTAAATAAATCATATTTTTACTCGAATTGGGTGGCATACACGGCAAAATCGAAAAAACAACGCAAAGTTCTATAAATTACAAGCGATTTTATTAGACATAAAAATTAAGTAAGTTTACGCGTATACATAATAAAAATATAATGAAAAAATGCAAAGGTAAATCTAATAGAAGAGCAAAAATACTTAACTACAATCATAATTATTCGGTATATAATACAGGTAAGCATAAGCATTGGCTTGGAATGTATCTTGTTTCATATGCGTTTTGTGAATGATTACATTTTCGATCGATTTCACACTTTTTTATTTGTTCAAGAAAAGAAATTACTCACAAACGATGCGATATACAGTTAAAGTCAAGAAGTGCAATTCTTCCATCGGCCATTATACGTATTTTTTTAACTTAATAATAGAAAAAAAATCAAATAATAGAAACTTTGAACATTCGCGTACTGCAACAATTTCTTATTTATTTTCTTATTTTCAAACGGTATATAAATCATACGTACATCATTAATGTTCATTTTAAATTGATCATTTATAATCTATTAAATTGTTAACTTTTGAAGTCTATGATAAAAAAAAAACATAGCTTTCAAGATGAAATAGAAAAGATATAACATTCTTTCGATATGATCGTAAATTATGCTTTATACATATATATAAAAAAAAATACAATTCATCATAATTTTTTTAAACTGCATCATATACAAACAATAAACGAGCTCAATATTCGACACTCGTCAAAATTCACAATATCTTTTTCAGTGATGATGACTTTTTCGTTTAGAGAATTTTTCAAGTTTTTGACGTTCAGAATTCACTAGGAGCATTTTCGCATTTGCCATAATGTTTTTTAGGTAGTGTCTGTGCAGCTGTGCACGAGGGTAAGTGTATTGTTCAAGTGTGTGTACGTATCGCTAAATTACAAATATATATAATATGTTTACATGGATCATTGTGTATTTATTTATAAAATTTTAAAAGGATCGTATTCTGGCAGAGTCAATTGCTCACTCATGAGTCACTAACACGCACGTGCATGCATACAGCACTATTTTTTATTAATACACTTTTAGGTTTCCTAAGCACTCGCTATTTTCACTGCTAAAGCACACATTTGTTCTTTAATTTTTTTCTCAACGTACAGTAGCTATCTTCTACATTTTCCATAATTAAATTGTTTGTCTCCTAAAGTTTAATTGTAGATTTTCTTAGATTATTTTTTTGTAGCTTTTTAAGTTTATTGTAAAACGTTTTATTTTAATCTTAAAATTTTAACATTTACTCTCACTTGCATTCTCAAACTTGTTCATCGACTATTATTCCTTCCTCTCTTCGATTTCACACGACATTATGCAAAAAAAAATACTAATTGTATCCCTGTACAGAATAACCTTTGTTGAGTGTGATTTTTTCTTCTATCATGTCACCAAGCTAGAGCTAGATATCTTTCAAGATGTTAACCTGTATGATCAGGTAAGTCATATATCTTCAGTCATTCTCAAGACATCGAACGATTTCTCGTATAGTTACAAGATAATTTGGTTTCAATCGATTTTATAAAAATTTTTTGTGTTTCATGGATTTATGTTATGCTCCATTTCATTTGCGAGCGCGTTTTTTCACTTTTTTTAAATTAATTATATAAATTATGGTAATGATTCTTTAAGAATTACAATAGAAATTATTTATATATTTTTATTACTTAAATAATAGCATAATGATCAGCGCCACCATCTGTTCCTTATCATTAAACCGCGTCGTTATATATAATATAATATAAACAAAATTCTTTGCTGACGTGTGTAATGATGCACATAATAATCGATTGTTATGACACCAACCCGCGCATTCTAATAGGCAACATCAAAAGAACGCGAAAATCTTTTTTGTCTCATCAAGTCTTACAAGAGTTCGCTATCACAGCAAATAAAATCGCGTAAATGACGTTAACAATGCACAAACGAAAGAAAAACAAGCAGTTGCTTGATTTCCTCCGAGTATACAGTGATGCTAAGCTGCCGATGTAGGAATTGCCACCATCATCGTCATCATCAACTTAGTATTAAATCGGAAAAGGACCCGTAGCCATATCTCTGAACCAAGCTTGTACTTTTTTTCTCATAATCGCCATCTTGTCAAACAAAAAACAGAAGAGACGAACACCGTACAACAGTGCTGAATACACATACATACACTTCTTTCGCTCATTTACAGTTATCGCATTTTCGACTTTTTTTGTGTGTGTTCAATGCACATGTATGCATGTACGTACGTATGTGTATATGTGTGGTCTATTAGTAAACTATAATTATATATTTATATATCTTTATATAGTCATCTAAATTCGCACATATATATAATTCATATATATATAATCTATATTTATTCATTTAATCAACGATCTCCTATCGTTTTGAAAAAAATTGTCCATACTACGTCTGAGAGGCTTTGTATATACCATAAAAGAGTCCACTCTTTTACTTCCAATCGTTACTATTATCTACCACTTTTGTGAATTTCATTTCATGTAGCCATTATATTAAAAGTCGCTCATACGCACATTTTCTGGCAGGCGTTTTTAATGTATAAGTTTAAGCATTCTTTGACATTCATGTTTTGTTATTAGTCTCTGTTGTGTATGACAAGCTTGTTTCATCGGATCTGGCTTTTCACATGAGTTTGAAAATCGTCATCATCGCGGTGAATCTTCAACCTTATAGTTACACGGTGCCGATGGTGATGCTGCTGTCTAATTAGCCAGTGTGAACTGACACAGGTCACTGTTTGAGTTTCTTTGTTGGTGGTTCAGATACGTTATCCTGAGAATCGTCCCCCTCGGTGGGCTCGCTTTCTTCGTCGGTCGGCCTTGGCGTCGTCGCTGGGTTACTGTTGCTGCTGTCATTAGTGGCAATCGAATCGTTTGTCGTGTCTTCACTCACAACGTTGTTGACGTTGTTTTCAGTGACGACGGGCGCATTTGGTGAGTTCGTCCTGTCAAGCGAATCCTCGTTGAACGAAGTTGTGGTACTGTTTTCATCAAGGGCAGCTACTGGAGCAGCATTTCCGTTTGTCGTCGCGACAGCTGGTTTACCGTCTGTCGTTTCTTTTTTTTCTTCAGCGGGTATTACTTCAGAGGCTTGATTGCTATCGTCAGATGGCTGATCGCCGTTCGTTGAAGTGCCATTCTCAGTATTGCCGTTGACTCCGATTGGAACGGCATCGGCATCAGGAATGCCAGTTAGTAGCTCGGGCTTCATTTCGTTGGCAATGTAATGCGTCCATAATGCCAATTCAACGCTGTGTGGGCTCCAAACAGTGCCATTTGTATCTAATGAACGAAAACAAGCGTACAAATTAGTTTAAACTTATTGTTTGTCAAATTTAGCAATGATTAAGGCTGCAAAAAAGAACTCACTCTGTTGATTGAGCCTGTCAACGACGGTTTGGATGTGTTGAACGAAGTTCAAGTATTCCTTGGTAGTATAATCGTATCCTTCAATATCTGGAATAGCCTTCAGGCATTCGTCAGCCATAAAGGGAGCGTGTTCGGGCGAGGCAGCGGCTAAAAGAGCCGAAGCCATGGTGGTACCGACACCTTTGAGATTCGAAAGAGCAGTAATGGCCTGCTCGAGGTTGGGCAGTTTCTTGAAAGCCTTCTTGGTTTCAGCCATGACGGCACGCGGTGTATTCACCTTCACCAGGTATGACAGTTGCGGGTAAAACTTGCCACGCTATAAAAGCAAAAAATCGTTGTGGTTACTTGTCTTTGCGGTCACTCATGATAGCGCAAAAAATACTAAGTCGCCTTTTTTAGTGAAAAAGAAAACCCTTTAAAATGTCGTCAAAATTTGGATATCTTACCGTTTGCTTCCATTTCATGCACTGCACCAGTTCGTCATGTACTAAATGAGCATCTTTTCCTCGTGATCTGATTCTCTTAGGAAGTTCATTTTGGTACCTGAAACACAAAAAGCAGATGTTTTAGATAACGTCAATTTGATATTGAATGTACGCGCATAAATTACGGTAAAATAAAGCATGAAACTATGTATTTTATTGAATGACTCTCAATATGTCATTGAACTCGTTCAAAAACGTCAAAACAGCGATGAAATTAAAAGGCTAGCTACACATACGTATCGCATAGCTGAACGTATATGCAGAGTAAGATGAGGCACGTGTAGTGCCAAATAAATTCCACGAATTATTTCCGTTACGCAAATTTCAAAACAATAGTCTCTCGATAGCGAGTCACTGACTCAATACGATCCCCAGTTCACGCAGACAAGCTCGTTCAAAAACTAAAAAAACAAGAAACGGAGCGTCAACGTATACATCGCATGCAATAGTGTATATAGCTATATATGTAGACGAGATGGTCCCTCTCCATGCGTGAACAAAAAAAGGAAAGGATTTACGCGTGCGGAAGCTGAAAAGAAAAAAAGAGATGAAAACGAATGTGCGAGAGTTTATGTGCCCGCCAGCTACATGTGTACATGCGAGCCAGTGACTGTGTAAAAGAGAGAGAGAGAGAGAGAGAGAGAGAGAGAGAGATCAACTCTAAGCAACCTTGACATACAAGTCGCCGGAATAGGGAATGAAAACAACGGTTGCGGCGGCATGCAACGTGTGTATGTGTGTGTATATGATAGGAGGTGGTGACACATTGCGCACGCGGAAGGAGAGACAAGCCTGTGCAAGCACTACTGCAGCAAAAGTGCGAGTGTGAGTGTAGGAGAGAGAGAGAGAGATTATTACACTGCATGCACGATGCTGGTATTTGTGTCTGGGTACTGTATTTTCTTTCTCCCTCGCTCTTTTTCTAGTACTTTAGACTTTTACTCGTGTACACGTGATTGTGTCTGCTAATACAACGAAAGAAAGAGAAAAAACATGTTTTGGTTTATCACAACGCGGTCGAGTGAGTGGGTGTGGTACGTGCTAGAGGTGGCATTTAAAATACCGAAGCATTTAAAGGTCAATGACAACTAACGAGCAAGAGATGAAAAGAGTCACCGGCTTACGTATATAACCTATTGTCGATGATGATACGATATGCGTAGCCGTAACGTGATGTCTTTGCGTATTACAAGCGAGCTCGTCAATTGATGTGTGTATATGTACGCGCACGAGTATGTGTGTAGTCCGTTATACATGTGTTTAATAAGAAGCTTGAGTTTATTGCACTCTTTTTCTGAGACTATTTTTAGCATTGAATACCAATAGGCTTTACACACCAAGACACAGACATCATACGACTTCTTCTATAATTTGTATACAAATAGACGCATAAGAAAAGTCACGCTCAGTTTATTTTAAAAAAAGTATTGTAAATAAACAAACGTTTTCTTATACGAGTTGTTTGTTGTTAAAATTTCGTACCAATACATCTAAGGCAAAGACTCGTATTAAAGTATACTATGATGAATATCTCAGCAGCAGGCGCTATCAACTTATAAATTTTCACTCATATCAGACGATCAAGCCCGCGAAGAGTCGAGTGATAAATTATTTGATGAATGTTTATTCTACCTGTCTCACAAATAAATTAATGACTAGAAAAGCAGATCATGAGCTCGAGGGTCGCGACTTATTGAACGCAGCAGTGTTTGCCCGAGGCGACTTTTGTAGGGCGCGGATAATTCGTCTGTAATTACTGATACTCGGTCCGAGTCAGATTATCAAGAACGAATATGATTTCAGCCTGAAATTGTGAACTTTTGCAAATAAAAAGCAACGTACGGCAGCATCGTCATCGTCCTCGCCTCTATTTATCCTCGCCACCATTTTGAATCCATCATCCACACCCACGGAAATTCCAACTTGCTTTGCACAAGCTAACTCCCAGCGAGGCAAAAGCGAGTTGAAAAAAGGCCCGATAAGCAATCATCGTGAGGTAACCAAACGCATCTATCTCGTTACTTTGCTCCAAAAACATCCATCGCTTAGGGAATATACGTATATATACGTAGAATACAATGAGCATCAGTCATAGCGCGATATCTTGCCCTCCCCTCCTTCGGCCGTTAGCCGCTAGCGCCGCTGCTGTGTGTGTGTGTGTAACAGGCCGTAGAAATCGAAGCCGCGCAGGAAGCAACTCTCTGGCCTGTGCTGCTGTTGCTGGCTCCACGTTCCCCTACTCTCGCAAAGTCGGAGCGAAACAGGAGGGGGCGAGCGAACATTACACTACGTGGAATCGAGCAGTGCGCGCGCCTTCGACTCGAACGCACACAGACGCACACGTACGAGCAAATCTACGTATTCGTCTCTCTCGCTTCATCCTTATTCGCGCTAAGGGATATGTAAAGCACCCCTACTCGCTATCTCCCTCTCGTCCATTGGCGAAAACCACGAAATTCAAAAACGTCCTCTCGACGCACACCAACGCACTCGACACCCTCACTGATACGAATAGAGAAAGCTCCGATATTTTCACGCGAGCGGTGTGTTGCCGCTGCTGCTTCTGCGACTAGACGTATTCGCGGATGTAAGAAAAGGACACGAGAGCGGATGAGCCCGCTAAAACTGATATGCGTATCGCGAGACTCGATTGAGCTATTATGGAAAAACGTGCGCGAGCGAGTGCGTGTGCAAATTAGACGATACGAACATCATCGGGAGTTCATTGTCCGAGGGAGCGAGAGAGAAGTAGCAGTAGCAGTAGCACTGTATAAGCAGCAGCAGCAGCAGCAGCGCGCGCGCGCGTTCTATCGCTAACCGAGTGGAGAGAAAACAGGCCGAAAGATGATCTGTCTCGTGCTTGTCAAAGCATTCGCAGACCCTTGTCGAAAAAATTTCCTGCACTTCGAGTCCCTTGTAAATTTCGGAGCAGGCAGTTATACGTGCGAGTGCAGCATGCAGCATTTGGTGCTCATATATTATACGTATGTGGCTGGCACACAAGAGCGTTCGCCATTACGGAGCAGCAGCAGTAGCGTCGTGTATCTCTTGTACGCACACGTATTTATGCATGTTACACTCGCACCCAAGCACACAAATTGAACTAAAGCCAACGTTACTCACCAATTATCGAGCTTGATCAATTCCTCGGCCTTACGGGACTTGTGACCCTCGGCCTTGCAGCGCAGAGCTTGCGGATAGAGCTTCAGCACGTACTCGAACTGAGCGGGTGTACCTTGAGCGAAGAACACGGCTGTGTCTTTTGCGGAAGCCATGGTAAATTGAGCTTCTTCCTTATTTATAATAAACAAATCAAAAATGCTGTATCAGCCGAAAGTTGCTGGAGTCACTGGCTCTTTTCGTCTCTCTGTCAACCAAGTGTCACGCGTGGCACTCACTGCACACTCGATGCGTATATATGTATGTTCTATATATACGGCTCAAGAGCACGTAACGAAACACCAGGCACAAATTTTAAACGAGACGAGAGCGACGAAAATCGGTATGCGCGTGCATATATATATGTAAACGCCGACTGTATAACATATATAAATTATATACGTATGGGTGTGTGTTAATGCGAGCGTGTGTGAGTATGTACAGTTGTAGAGGCTACGATACCCGACTGCATGAACTAACAGACTCGAACTAACTGGGCGCCCGTATAGGCGAGCCGAGAGCCAAAGAGCCGTGTGCGAGCATATAGCTATGTGCGCTCAATGCTAGGTGGCAGCACACTATGGCCCGATCGGATTCGCTAGCTCTTGGTTTCTCGCACGGCGAGCGCCCCTCCTACGGCCGTTTCTATACGCTGCGCGCGTATACCGCTCTGCTTTCAACCTTTGGCACAAATGCCCCCACCAACGTTTACCGAGCAACGATTTCCCCTTCGTTTCGACTCCCTCTTGCGCCTTTAATCTATCTCGCTGCTGCTGCTGCTGCTGCTGCTGCTGTCTTAATGCTCCGAACTTGTGTGCATGTGCTGCCCGTATGTGTACTTTGATTGCGAACTGTCGCCGTCGTGTATATGCTCGTCTATATATGTTGGATGCACCACTGACCACGCGGTATTGAGCACACACGATGCAAAAGTCCATAGAACTACTGACACAGCATATGTGAACCGGTGTCGCGCTCTACGCTCGTTGCGCTAGACCGATGCCTCGATCCTCTTCATATTCTATTTTCTCGTTTAAAATATTTCATTCCTCTCGAGCAATTTATCGCTCGAGTTCGAATCTATGCCTTTTCCTGGCGAAAATCAGAGAAACTATCGAATGTAAAAGAGACCATTTTCATTTGTCTGGCTTTTTTAATGAATTGTTCAATCGATTCGAAATACAAGCGCAAATATCATTAAAAGCTCGAGAGCTCGTGTCTGTTGCGTACAGCGAAAAACGTCGTTTCAAAACAAGCGTATATAAGCAGCACACATACGAGCAGACTTTGGCGCAGTGTTGTCTACCTCATGCAGCGGCCGCTGGCACATACGAATGTTCAAAGTGTGCGCGAAGGGGAGTGGGCCGCCAGGCGGCGCTGCGCTCTGCCCGCTCGAGAATTCCGCTCTCGACGCAGTTCTCACCACCACCAGCACCACCAGCACCACCACCGACATCGCTACCACCCATCGCAATATACCAGTGCCAGGCGCTCTTGTGCGCGATCCATATAGCAGCCCGCGTATATGCTTGCGACCGGATCGCCCCTATATATACGGATTATTCCGTATAGCCGTGAGTCGAGTCGCTTCTCCCCCTCTATTTAGCATGAGTGTACGTTGCTTTTATGCCTCGCTCTGCTGCTACCTATGTATATCTCTCGGGTTCTGCGCTGCGGCTTTCCAACGTTGCCTGATACAAGTGAACGTTAAGGTTGTTTTACACATGCCTCTAGCCGACGAATTGAGAGATGGTATTTTTCGAAACGTAGCAATGTGTCATTCTCCTATATAATGTAACACAAGAACGCGTGTCATGCCCGATTTTTACCTGTTCATGTGGATCATACCCTGAAATACGATCGTTAACATGAATGAACTTTTACTCTTTTCTCAGTTATTACAAGCTTTGAAAATTCACGTACTTTCCGCGTATCTGTGCTCTTTCATTTGAACGTGGGGATACATCTCTGTTTTTTCTTCATCTTCTTTATGATCGATTTTCAGAGTTTGATATTATTTTCGACTTTCGATTTTGAAAATCCAGCTTTCTCACCGTTCACAATGGCTTTTCCATTATCTAATGGTCATAAAAAAGTGATGAGCTATATGAATATTCAAATAGTAATTGCTTATATTATATTAACTTTATTTGTGATAATTTTTTTCAATTGCCATTCAAATTCTATTTTCGTTTGTAACTTTATTATTCCTTATTTTCAGCCCTATTTCTCATCGAAATAGGTTCTAATATTTTTCTTTTTTAACGTTGATCGACATTATAATTTTCAAGATTAAATCCATTTGACCAGTTGTCCGTAGCATATGTTGAAAAAATAAATCGATCCAAGCAATCATTATTCATATGTATAAGTATATTTTATGAATGAAAGTAATTGCAATCGAGAGATGTAAATGGGGCTTGCGAAAAACTTGTTTACTCTTTAAAACGGCCTGTGATGGTTGTGTATCAAAGCTGCTCGCATGCGAACGATGAACGAAGCAGCTCTGCATAGAAGAAAAACGAGCAACGAATTGTCGGCGATAGCGCAACGAGTATATCACGAGGATAGCCTCGCGATAGTGGAAAAGCGTCAGACGCGCGTTAAAGCGCTGCCAGCGTAAGTCCGTCCTTCTCTCACTGCAGTCTGCGACATGCATTATGTATAGTCGAAAAAGTCCGACCATTGCGCAGCTCTTCGCTCTCGTATACGATACACCGATATAGTGTGTATAGCTATTGCTACAGAATACTCGAGAGCTGTCAAACGTCATCGCGCGCTCAACACGCGTGCAAAGGCTTTTTGCGTGTATAGCTCGCTCCAACTATTCTCGAGACGTGCTCGAGAGACTCCGAGAGAGTAGAGACAGACAGGGAGCCGGCAAAATAGCGCTCCGCCACTAACTTTTAGGTTATGCGAACGAGATCGCAACTAGGCAAGAAAAGCAGCTCAAACGCGTTACTATAGCCGCGTCATCGTCATTGTCTGCTTTTGAATGTTTCCTCGCTCGGCGAGTTTGAACTTTCAAAAACCAATGAATCGCTCGCGCGAGCATTTCGCTTTTTCCCATTACTGGACGTTATTGAAGCTTGTATTATTATTTTTTTTCTGAAATAATTTTCATGTTTCGCAATGAAAGAGGCAAAAAACGGTAAAAAAAGGAAAAAAGTCGTTTGAAAATTTATTTCCAACTCGTGAAAGACGGCTTATATACACGAGCGTCGAGCAGTGAGCGGCAGCTCATACATATATACGCGAGCGCTTAGCTCGAGCGAAGATGACGAAGCTCGCTCGAAGGCGAACAAGCGGCAAGCGCGCGACTGCCTGCCTGACTGTGGGCTGGCGGATATTTTACACATGTATATATACGTGTACACGTATACACATAGCCTCGCTCGGCTCGACAGCGGCTGCAGTATTAGCAGCAGCGGCAACAACACGAGCGAGCGAGCAGAGCAGCGGAGGTTATAAAGGGAGAGCCGCCGAGTATAGCAGGCAGCGTGTATAGCGCACGCGAGAGAGAGAGAGAATATAACGAGAAGCCGAGCGAGAAACGGGAACGCGCGCGAGGTCTGAATATATACGTGTCTATATATGCGCGCTGCGTGCTCCGCTGTGCTGTGCTGTGCCCGTGCCAGCAGTACAGCGAGGCAGCAGCAACGCTTGGCGGAAAGTCGATTCGTTGCCCGGCTCCGACTCCGTCGCCAATGCTGCTTCGCTGCTGCTGCGGAGCGCGCACGTGTGCTACCTCGTGTGTATGTGCACGGCCGCGCTTGTGCATGTGTACGGACTGCGACGCGCCAACTGCGAGCCAGAATATAAGCGAGCAGCGGCAGCAGTAGAGAAATGGAGAAAACCTCGGCCCCGGCACGTATGTGCGCACATGTACGTTCGAGCGAGGGCGTCACGGGACTCTTATATCTGCAGTCTAGCATATACCTAACTTGCGCTGCGTTGTAAAAGCGCTCGACAGCGACTTGGCTAGCAGTAGAGCGACTCAACTTGAATGTAAACTCGCGCGCTCGCGCGCGCGCTGATAAACCAGCTCGATGAATATTGCTTTGCTTAACAATTTTTTGCATTTATCGCTCGCGATTCTCGCGACGTCGATGAAAAATTCAACTTGTTCGCAACGACGCTCGGTAGAAAAATTTTTCAACGCTCGATAATATCGAGTTTTGAAAACGAGACTCCGTTTCAACATCAAAGCCGTGCGTATGCGCGACGGATTTTGCAACGTTTCGAAACGCCGAGCACACCAGCTAAGTGCTTTTATATATCGCTCGCGCCGCGCTAATGAGTTTCTCCAACATCCGCATTAGTGGCGCGCGTAATAGCCTCAGATTTGAATTTTTTTTTACCTCGAATAATTTTCCCATCAAATTGTTTACTCGATCGTCGTCCCGTAAAGTAATTCCAAGGAGATGAAATTAATCGAGCTCAAATATACGTTCGGGTACTAGCCACGATCTTCTGTATTCGACAATGACAAACGATCGCAGCGAGCTCGAAACCCCTCCCACGGTGAGGTTTTATAGGTTATAGCGACGAGCAGCTAAGTACGCGGCGTACGTACGTAATATAACACATTCGCTGCGTGGCATCGCGGGAGCTCGGCACAACGCAGGCGAGGGACGCGAATCGATGATTTTGTTAAGGTTAGGGCTCCCCTTTTTGTCGGAAACGAGCTCGAGTTGGACGCAGCACGAGCCGCTCCCATGCTGCAGCCGGCCTTTTTCCCCTGCCTGAAATGAAAGGCGCAGAGAGAAAGAGCGCCGACGGCGACGGCGCCGATGGAAACGCGATTGCACCGCTATTATATACCTATATAGCCAGTGCCAACGCAGATACATATAGCTAAGCGAACATTTCGCTTGCAGGCTCAGCGCACATTCGCACGGCTGGAATTTGCGCTCGCGCAAACGCTCCCTTCTTTTATAACTCTCTGGAAGCTGTAGCGCTGTGTGCAGTATACGTGAGCCGTGTACATGTGCAATGGTATTGCCTCGTTCTGGCTGCCGCTGCGCCAGTGGAGTGTGCATGCGGCTCGGCGCGCCTCGTTCTGGCCGAGGGAGCTAACAGGCCTTGAGAGAATATATAAGACAATCTCTGGATTTTCTGCAGCTTCAATGTAGGTTCGAGTTAAAGCTCCCTTCTATCTATAGAAACGAGCTACGGTCGATCGTCCTGCCTGACTCGGGAGCCGCATACGTTGACGCGAAAATCGAACGTCACGCTTCATTCGTTGCACTTGGCGTGCATCGTAATGCAGCTGCGTAAGCATCAAGGTTGTAAAACTCCAATGTAGTTTATCATTTAAGCACCTAACCTCTTGTCGCGCAGATTCGATAAGGCCAAAATGCTTAGCGAAGCATGTTCGCTGCAGCACATGTATTTTATGATAAAATATTGAATCGGCAGGCAAGTGCGCGCGCGACTGCGACTGCGACGCGGCCTGTTTTCCACGGATCGCACAGCGCGTGTTAGATAGCACGCGAGCCCGGCTTATCTATAGTCAAGTCTTGCTTGTGCCAATATGCGGGCCGAA